AGAAGAAGAAGAAGAAGAAGAAGAAGAAGAAGAAGAAGAAGAAGAAGAAGAAGAAGAAGAAGAAGAAGAAGAAGAAGAAGAAGAAAAGAAGAAGAAGAAGAAGAAGAAGAAGAAGAAGAAGAAGAAGAAGAAGAAGAAGAAGAAGAAGAAGAAGAAGAAGAAGAAGAAGAAGAAGAAGAAGAAGAAGAAGAAGAAGAAGAAGAAGAAGAAGAAGAAGAAGAAGAACCAGATTTAACCCCATGGAGTGAAGGCAAAACATTGCACGGGGTTTTTTTTTAATGTATTTTGGAGGCATTCAAGAATCTACTTTCAAAACTCACGTTAAAGCACTGGCTGTGGAATTCTGGGAGTTGAAGTCCACATGCCTTAAAATTGTCAAGGTTGAGAAACACTGCGTTAAAGTGAGAATTGATGGGGAAAAATCCCCTTTGCCCCTTTCACGTACTCTGATCTGTAAGGGTCAAGTCTGAAAGGTTGGCTATTTTGAATTTCCAGGGATCTATTTTGATTCGAAAGTGACCCAATTGATGAGATGGGTGGCCTGTAAATTTAATAAACCCTCCTCAATCTCATTTCTGATCTCTTAGTTCCCTCCCCCCCCCCCGGCAAGGTTTAGTCTCCGGGGAAAGGATTCCTTGCTCAAACTGATTTTTATTTTTGTTTTTTTTAAATTTCGGTTCCTTCCTTTTGGCTTAGACATGGGTACCGGGTTCAAATTCTGATCCGCAACCCTTTTGCTCCCAGGGTGCCTACGGAGCAGCGTGGCTTCGGCTGGCCCTCGCTTTGCAAAGTTCCTTCATCACTGCCAACTTAGAAAAACGGGTCATTATTTTTACAAAAAAAAAAAAAAAGAAAACGATGAATAAATCATCTCTCTCTCTCTCTCTCTCTCTCTCTCTCTCTCTCTCTCTCACACACACACACACACACACACACACACACACACAATTGAGTAAGGGCTCCCAAGAATTGTGTAGAGTTTGCCACAGATTCCTTTCGAGTTGCGAATGGCCAAATATTTATCTTTAGAACAGTGTTTATCAGCGGTGGCCCCTTTTAAGATGGGTGGATTTCAACTCCCAGAATTCTCCAGGCCTGGGGAATTCTGGGAGTTGAAGTCCATCTACCTTACAGCGGTTCAGGTTGAAAAATCCACTTTTAATTCCTATAGATTCCCAGTAGCAACTGATGTGTTTTGGGCTGCAGAGGTTCCCCCCTGCTCAGCCTTTTCTGGTTTTTAATGTGGAGTGTGTATGTGATCCCACTTTCTCTCCCGTGTGTGTGTGTGTGTGTGTGTGTGTGTGTACGCCATCGTGTGTGTGTGTGTGTGTGCGTGTGAGTGAGTGTATATAAATAAATATATCTCTGTACATATCTTATCTACAGATTCTGTTTGAAAGAGTCAAGCTTTTTAACTTTGCCCAACCTGGGTCTCTCAGCATTGTGGAAATAAACCGCTTTTTGGGAGGAAACCTGATTTTTTTTGGGGGGGGGAAAGAGGGTGTGCTTTTGATAAGGATATAAATGTTGGCGTGTGCGTGTAAAAAAAAAAAAAAACACAAATCTCTCTGCGGGTTTTTCCTTGTCTTTTCTTAACAGTCGTTTGACTCTTCCGGTTTTAGGGGTTTGGCAAAAGGGGATACTGAGTATTTTCTTTTCCAATAAATTTCATATGCAAATGTCTTCATGTCTCTGTTTTAATTTAAATTTTTTTTTTTTTTTAAAGGAGGAGGAGTAGATTTGCAAACAGGCAGGTCAGCTCAAAACCCGAATGGGGAGGGAGGAAGGAAAGGAGGGAGGGAGGAAAGGGAAGTGAGAAGAGGAAGGAAGGAAGGAAGGAAGGAAGGAAGGAAGGGGGAGAGGAGGGAGGGTGGAAGGAGGGAGGGAGGAAAGGGAAGTGAGAAGATGAAAGGGAGGGAGGGGGAGAGAGGGAGGGTGGAAGGAAGAGTGGGAGAGGAAAGAAACAGGAAGGAAGAAAGGGAGGAAGGCAGGATGGTAGGAAGAAGAAAAGGAAGGGAGAGAAGGAAGAAGGAAAGGGACAGGGAGGGAGGGAAGAAGGAAGGGAGGGCAGAAGGAAGGAAGAGGAGGATGGAAGGAAGGGATTGAAGGGATGTGAGAGAAGAAGGAAAGGGATGGAGGGAAGGAGGGAGGGAAGGAGGGAGGGAAGAAGGAAAGGAGGGTGGGTGGAAGGAGGGAGGGAGGAAAGGGATGAGAGAGACAAGAAGGAAAGAAAGAAGGAAGGAAGGGGAGAGGGAGGGTGAAAGGAAGGGGGAGAGGAAGGCAGGATGGAAGAAAAAGGGAGAGAAGGAAGGACAGAAGGAAGAAGGGAGGGAGGGGATGGAAGGAGGGAGAGAGGAAGGAAGGAAAGGGAGGTGAGAAGAGAAAAGGAAGGAAGAGGAAAGAGAAATGGGAGGCAAGCAAAAGAGGGAGGGATGAAGGGAGAGGAAGGAAGGATGGCAGGAAGAAGAAAAGAAAGGGAGAGAAGGAAGAAGGAAAGGGACGGAAGGAGGGAAGGAAGAAGGAAGGAGGGTGGGAAGGAATGTGACAATGTGGGGAAAAAATCCCTTGATCATCTCTGATATCCTTTTCTGAAGCTCTGAGACCTTCTGTGTGTGTGTGTGTGTGTGTGTGAGAGAGAGAGAGAGAGGGGGGGGAGGGAGGGAGGAGGCACCCCTGGTTCAAGCAAGATGATCCCAAAGGGTAACCCAACCCCGACAAGCAGCAGAACCCAGAAATATGTCCGTCAAGATCAGAAGGTCAGAAGGGAGGCTGGGGCCACCAGGTCCAGCTCCGTGCTCCAAGCAGAAGCCTCCTCAGAAGCTGTGGAGCCCCTAAAACCTCCCAGGAGGAGAGGTCCACCGTCTCTCTCTCTCTCTCTCTCTCTCTGGTCAACGGGTTCCACGGTCAAGAGGTTCTCATTACGAGGAAGGGTTAGTAAAGTTGCGTTGGGTTTCCCATCCTGTCATCTGAACGCCTTTTTGGGGTGCCCTGGACCTGGGACGGGGTGAGGGCAGCCCAGACATCTCACACAGGACCCTCCTCTCCTCCTCCAAAGAGCAGAACCTCTACAGGGTGGAGCCCCAAGGCTTGCGGGCCTTCCAGAAGGACATCAACGAGACGTCTCAAGGGAGAGGAACGGACGGGCCACCTTCTCCGGGTCTCCAGCAGAGCCACCGTCCAGTCAACCAAGGTGGTCTCTGCCCTGTGAACTTGAATCCCGTAGATAATCCCCAGACCCCCCCCCCCGACCTTGAGGGGAGCGAAGGCCACGGGCTGGGAGACTGTGGGCTTCCTGGGGCAGGAGGTGGGCTTCTGGGAGAACAGAGAAGGGCAGAGCTCCTGTGGAGGGCAGAGGAGGGAGGGAGGAAGAGAGGGACGAAGGAGAGCAGGAAGGAAAGAAAGAAGGGAGGGAGGGAGGGAGGGAGGGAGGAGAGCAGGAAGGAAGGAAAGAAGAAAGGAGGGAGAGAGAGGGAAGAAGGAAGGAAGGAAGGAAGGAAGGAAGGAAGGAAGGAAGGAAGGAAGGAAGGGGGAGACTGGAGGAAGGAGGAAGGGGAGGGAGGGAGGGAGGAAGGAAGGAGAGCAGGAAGGAAAGAAAGAAGAAAGGAGGGAAGGAAGGAAGAAGGAGGGAGGGAGAGAGGGAGGAAGGAAGGAAAGAAGGAAGGGGGAGGGGAGAAAGGAAGAAGAGAAGAAGGGGAGGGTGGAAGGAAAGAAGGAAAGAAGGAAGGAAGGAAGGAAGGAAGGAAAGCAGGAAGAAAGAAAGAAGGGAGGGAAGAAAGGAAGGCAGGAAGGAGAGCAGGAAGAAAGAAAAAAGAAAGGAGGGAGGGAAGGAAGAAGGAGGGAGGGAGGGAGGAAAGGAAGGGAGGAAGGAAGGAAGGAAGGAAGGAAGGAAGGAAGGAAGGAAGGAAGGAAGGAAGGAAGGAAGGAAGGAAGGGGAAATTGAATAATGGAAGAATTAGGACAAAAGAACTTTTCATACACACCCCTTCATCCCACTCTGGAATTCCTGAAATGGCCATCAGCTGGGTTGGCTTCAAACAAGGCTTGGATCAAGAACTCAGGGCCGCCTAAGAACCCACAACAGCCAGCAGGGAGGTCCACAAGGTGGGCTCCAAATGTCCAGGTGGTCGGTCCCAAGGTTTGACTTATGGGCCTCGAAACACCATCTTGGGGTTTTGGACCCTCCCTTGTGGACACCTGCAAAATCCACAGAATGGCCACCAGGAACACTGGGGGCTTTTAAGAAGAGACCGGACGGCCATTGTCTGAAAGGGTCTAGGGCAGGGCTAGGGAACCTTGGCTCTTTTATGACTGGTGGACTTCAACTCCCAGAATTCCTCAGCCCGTATGAGGGAAACTTTGGCCCCTTCATGACTCGCAGACTTCAACTCCCAGAATTCCTCAGCCAGCATGGAGGAACTATAGCCCCTTCATGACTCGTGGACTTCAACTCCCAGAATTCCTCAGCTCGTATGAGGGAAACTTTGGCCCCTTCATGACTGGTGGACTTCAACTCCCAGAATTCCTCAGCCAGCATGGGGGAACTTTGGCCCCTTCATGACTCGTGGACTTCAACTCCCAGAATTCCTCAGCCAGCCATGAAGGGGTTGGACTAGAAGACCTCCGAAGTCCCCTTCCAACTCTGGGATTCTGTTACTCTCTAAGGGTCTCCTCACCCTTCAACCCCTCCCTCGCCCCCTGTGGAGGATGTCACAAACAGAACAGGCACCAACAACAGCCAATGGGAGCGTTGGAAGGGGCGGGGCTCAAAGTGCCCCCAGGCAACTGTGGCCAAGAAAGGGGAGGAGCTCCCCTCTGTCTGAGAAAAGGGGCGGGCTCCGGTGCCTGATTGATGGCTGGCATTCTGAGCAGCTGGAATTGTGAAGCGCTCTTTGACAGAAGCTAGGGGGGTGGGACTTAAGCCAGAGGGAGCCAATCAGGAGGGACCTTGCCCTTGAAAGACTGCTGAGAACTAGACTTGGGTGGCAGTTAAGGCTGTGAGCCCTGGGGGCACCCACTGGCAGGAATTGAGGGAGGGGACACCCCGGGGGTCTGTCTCCCCTCTTTTCTGGCCTGGAAGCGAAGAATGACGGGCGCTTGGCTGCACCTGCTTTGGGTGCTCTTCAGACTGGGTGGGTAGAAATACTTGGGGGGGGGCAAGGTGTCCAGACTGGGGGGGGGAAGAGCGGCTGAACTACAACTCCCAGAAGCCAGCCAGCCAGGCTCAAGTTGAGGGGTATTGGGAGTTGTAGTTCCCCCGTTCCCGGAGACTCCAGAGTCCCTTGGAAGAAGACAAGCAGGTGCCCAGCTCCAAACGCTGAGTTTTATTCATTTATTTACTTATTTATGAGACTTATATATACCGCTTTAAGTGCAAGCACTCTCTAAGCGGTGTACACCAGTAAGCAATGTATATATATATATATATTTACATTGCCCCCCACAATCTGGGTCCTCATTTGACCTACCCCGGAAGGATGGAAGGCTGAGTCAACCTTGAGCCGGTGAGATTTGAACCGCTGACCTGCTGAACACAGTCAGCTAAAGTGGCCTGCAGTACTGCACTCTTAACTGCTGCGCCACCTCGGCTCACCGAGTTGGTGCCTCGGGCTGGCAGGATCGGAAGGAATCAACCAGACGAGACGCCTCTGAGCATCAAGGAGAGGAGAAGCAACCTGGAACTAAGGAGAAACTGCCCGACACTGAGGACAGTTAGCCAGTGGAACAGCTTGCTACCAGAAGTCGTGGGCGCTCTGTCGTCGTGTCTGAGACAGTGTAGGGTCTCCTGCTTGAGGTGGGGGCTGGACGAGAAGACCTCCAAGGTCCCTTCCAGCTCTGTTAGGTTCTATTCGACATCCAGAGTGCCTTCCCAGCACCAAAGGAAGCAAATCAGCATCTGCTTTGCCCTTTGCATAGTCTTTGTAACTAAGATGGAAATCCTAGACCTCTAGATCCCAAAATATCTAGGGGAGGCAGGCTTTTCCTGCTGTCTGTCTGTCATCTATCTTTTAATCTATTTTCTATCATTTATCATTTGTCTTTCTGTCTGTCACCTATCTTCTATCTTCTAATCATATTTATCTATCACCTACCATTTATCATTATAATCTATGTCTGTCTGTCTATATCTATCTATCATCTATCTATCTATCTATCTATCTATCTATCTATCTATCTATTTTCTATATATTGTCTGTCTTCTATCGTCTATATTATCTATAATCTATCATCTATCTATCTATTTATCTATCACCTATCATCTCCATATCTATCTATCTACCTACTATCTATCCATCTTCTATCTATCTATCTATCTATCTATCTATCTATCTATCTATCTATCTATCATCTCTATCTATATTCTATCTATCTGTCTATCTATCTATCTATCTATCTCTATCTCTCTATATCTATCTATCTATCATCTCTATCTATTGTCTCTATCTATATCGTCTGTCTTCTATTATCTACATTATCTATAATCTATCATCTATCTATCTATCATCTCTATATCTATCTATCTACTATCTATCCTTATTCTATCTATCTATCATCTACCATCTACCATCTATCTACCATCTATCTATCTATCTATCTATCTATCTATCTATCTATCTATCCATCCATCCATCCATCTATCTATCATCTCTATATCTATCATATGTATCTTATGTACCTCATAGAATCCTAGGACTGGAAGGGACCTTGAAGGTCTTCTAGTCCAGCCTCCGTGTCCAGGCAGAAGTCCTTATAATATCTGAGACAAACAGTTGTCTAATCTCAGTCATAAAGACGGAGCCGGGTTTTTCCGTCAGCAGGTGTCATGCCAGCTTATTCTTTTGTCAGACGCAAGGAGAGGCAGAAGGAGATTTTACTCACAGTCCTGACAAATGGCACTTAGTGGATCTGAGCTGGTGACTGGACTGGGGATCTCCCGAGGCTATCCATCCCACCCCTCCGCCATGCCAACCTGAGACTAGGCCATTTTTGTTTCCTTTCTTTCTAGGATCAATGGAATCTCCCAGCTACCTTTATTCTGAGGTGACGGTGCCTACTTTGCTGGAACAGCCCCACGGTGCCTACAGTAAGGTAATCTGGATGGTGCTTCACCAGTGGAATGGCTGCCCGATCCTGGCTAGTAAGGAAAATCCTTGAAGGTTGAAGAGCGGCTTTCCCCGCCCCAGGTCCATTCAGAGGGTGTGCACTGAAGCTCCTCCAGTCACAAACCCATTAGTGCTCACAAAGGCTGGGGCTGATGGGAACAGAGGAGGGGGAGGAGGAGGAGGAGGAGGAGGAGGAGGAGGAGGAGGACTATCTGAGCTTGGTGGTTTTCTTGCAGACGTTTAATGACCCAACTAGGGAACATCTTCAGTGCTAGAAGGGAGGAGGAGGAGGAGGAGGAGGAGGAGGAGGAGGAGGAGGAGGAGGAGGAGGAGGAGGAGGAGGAGGAGAAGAACTGTGGGGTCCTTGGTACTCTCTGAGCTGGGTGGTTTTCTTGCAGACGTTTCATGACCCAACTAGGGAACATCATCAGTGCTAGAAGGGAGGAGGAGAAGAAGGAAGGAAGGAAGGAAGGAAGGAAGGAAGGAAGGAAGGAAGGAAGGAAGGAAGGAAGGAAGGAAGGAAGGAAGGAAGGAAGGACTGTGGGGTCCCTGGTGCTCTCTGAGCTAGGTGGTTTTCTGGCAGATGTTTCATGACCCAACTAGGGAACATCATCAGTGCAAGTGAGGGTGGCGTTTGCTCCCTGTTTATAAAGAATGGCTTCCTCTGCAGCCCATACCCAGATAAGCAGGGATTAACTCCAGACAAACAATCAAGCAGAAAACAATACCTTAATCAGAGAACTGTGAAGAAGAAAACCATACCTACAGCAACACCAGCAGGGCAAGCTATTTTGTATAAATAGAGAGCAGACCCCCACTTTCCCTGACACTGATAATGTGACGTAGTCAGGTAATGAAATGTCTGCAAGAAAACAACCAAACTCAGAGACTACCCAAAACTTCACAGTCCTCCTCCTCCTTTCCACAAACCCCCAACCCTTCTAGCACTGATGATGTTCCCTAGTTGGGTCATGAAACGTCTGCAAGAAAACCCACCAAGATCAGAAAGCACCAAGGACCCCACATTCTGTCCCTTCCTTCCTTCCTTCCTTCCTTCCTTCCTTCCTTCCTTCCTTCCTTCCTTCCTTCCTTCCCTCCTTCTCCCCCTTTCTTTCTTTTCTTCCTTCTTCTTCCTTCTTTCCTTCCTCTTCCTTTCTTCCTTCTCTCCTTTCTCTCCCTTTCCTTTCTTCCTTCTCTCTTCTTTCCTTCCTTTCTTCCTCCTTCCTTCCTTCCCTTCCTTCCTTCCTTCCTTCTTCTCCTCCTCCCTTCTAGCACTGATGATGTTCCCTAGTTGAGTCATGAAACGTCTGCAAGGAAACCCACCAAGATCAGAAAGCACCAAGGACCCCACAGTCTGTCCTTCCTTCCTTCCTTCCTTCCTTCCTTCCTTCCTTCCTTCCTTCCTTCCTTCCTTCCTTCCTTCCTTCCTTCCTCCTCTTTCTTTCTTTTCTTCCTTCTTTCCTCCCTCTTCCTTCTTTTCTTCTTCCTTTCTTTTTCTCTCCCTTCTCTCCCTTTCCTTTCTTCCTTCTCTCTTCTTTCCTTCCTTTCTTCCTTCCCTTCCCTTCCCTTCCCTTCCCTTTCCTTCCTTCCTTCCTTCCTTCCTTCCTTCCTTCCTTCCTTCCTTCCTCCTCCTCCCTTCAAGCACTGATGATGTTCCCTAGTTGGGTCATGAAACGTCTGCAAGAAAGCCACCCAGCTCAGAGAGCACCAAGGATCCCATAGTCTGTCCTTCCTTCCTTCCTTCCTTCCTTCCTTCCTTCCTTCCTTCCTTCCTTCCTTCCTTCCTTCCTTCCTTCTCCTCCTCCTCCCTTCTAGCACTGATGAGGTTCCCTAGTTGGGTCATGAAACATCTGCAAGAAAGCCACCCAGCTCAGAGAGCACCAAGGACACCCACAATCTTTGGGTCTCACATTGCTAGCCTTAGGTGAACCAAACAGCGAGAAAGCAAACTCCTGACACAGGGGGGAAACCTGTGGATACACAGTCCAAGGAGTTTAATTAGACATCTTTTTTGTACATTCCAGAAAGAAATATCTTATCTGATGAAAATTGAAGGGGTTCACAGGATTCTTCACCTTTATCAGAAGTAAGTGGTTAGGATGGTGTAATTTTTTTCCCCACCTTTCCCCAAGTCTTGAGGGGAAGGATATTAGACACTGCCTGCGTTCAGTGGGAAGGCCACACTTGGAATACGGCATCCGGTTTTGGTCCCCACGATGTAAAAAAGATGTTGAGACTCTAGAAAGAGGGCAGAGAAGAGCAACAAAGATGATTAGGGGACTGGAGGCTAAAGCACATAAGGAACGGCTGCTGGAATTGGGTAGGTCTAGTTTAATGAAGAGAAGGACGAGGGGGGGACATGATAGCAGTCTGCCAGTATCTCAGGGGCTGCCCCAAAGTAGAGGGAGTCAAACTATTCTCCAAAGCACCTGAAGGCAGGACAAGAAGCAACAGATGGAAACTCATCAAGGAGAGAAGCAACCTGGAACTAAGGAGAAACTTCCTGACAGTGAGGACAATTAACCAATGGAACCACCTGCCTCCAGAAGCAGTAAATGCTCCAACACTGGAAGTTTTTTTTAAACAAATTTTATTGTTTTTTTTAATTTTTAAGACCAAGTGCTCAAGACACACCATGGTGTTAGGGTAGTCAAACATCCAAAGACAAAATGTATATACGTAATTCAATCAATACATCAAGTATTCCCTCTTTTTCCCTTAAGTAACATAATTTATTTAAAATAGTCCAATTCTAGCTTAAATTTATTCAACCGATACCTGTTTTTAAAGCTTTATAAATTTACACTACCATAATCAAATTAACTTTAAGTACAAACATTATCAATTTGGGTATCCCTTCCAAATATGTTCTAGTTCCTTAATTTTATCATAATTCTTATTTATTTCTTCTTCCACTAATATCCCTTAATTAGAATAAAATATTAATCTATCCTATACATGTCTTATCCATCAATTAATCAGTCTCTTTAAGCTGACAGAAGAAAATCAGACCTTAAATCATTTCAATCCATTAGACGGAATTCAAATTTCATCCAATTTGACGGTTTGTATCCTTAGCCAATAGCTTTTTGCGTGGAAAATAATCAAGGAGAGAAGCAACCTAGGACTAAGGAGAAACTTCCTGATAATGAGGACAATTAGCCAGTGGAACCACCTGCCTCCAGAAGTGGTGAATGCTCCAACACTGGAAGGTTTTAAGAAGAGACTGGACGGCCATTTGTCTGAAATGGTATAGGGGGGCAGGGGGTTGGACTAGATGACCTCTAAGGTCCCTTCCAACTCTATTCTATTCTAAGAGACTGGACAGCCATTTGTCTGAAATGGAATAGGGTTTCCTGCCTGAGCAGGGGGTTGGACTAGATGACCTCAAGGGTCCCTTCCAACATCATCATCATTATCATGGACAATTAGCCAGTGGAACCACCTGCCTCCAGAAGCGGTGAATGCTCCAACACTGGAAGCTTTTAAGAAGAGACTGGATGGCCATTTGTCCGAAATGGTGTAGGGTTTCCTGCCTAAGCAAGGGGTTGGACTAGATGACCTCCAAGGTCCCTTCCAACTTTATTTATTTATTTATTATTACTATTATTATTATTATTATCATTATCATCATCATCATTATCATTATTAGTGTTTTGTAAGTCACTTTTTTCAACCCTGTTGTGATTTCAAATGGTGCTAAACAAAGGATTATAAATGGAGGACTATCTGTGACTTAATGACTTCTGGGAATTCAACATCTTTTTTCTATTGCGGTGACCAAAACTGAATCCAAGTATAGTCTGAGAAATTTCTTGACAGTGAGAACAATGAACCAGTGGAACTACTTGCCTCCAGAAGCGGGGAACGCTCCATCACTGGAGATTTTTAAGAAGACACCGGGCAGCCATTTGTCTGAAATGGTGTAGGGTCTCCTGCCTGAGCAGGGGGTTGGACTAGATGACCTCCAAAGTCCCTTCCACCTCTGTGATTCTCTTAAGAAAGATAAGCATGCTTGAAGTTGACGTTTCATGAGTTGAAGTATAACTTTAGCTTTGATTCTAAGCATTTTACCCAGTGGTGAATAGGTGAACAAGCGGCCCTCTCTGTGGATTCCGCTTCCGGAAGTCCATTCTGGGCCTGGGCAACAAAAAATTAGCTACCGGTTCTGCCGAATCCCACCACTCATTTTACCTTTAAAATGACTTGCTTGCAATAGAGACATCTTAGCTGCATAATGCTTATCCATTTTTTGCATTTAGACCAGGGGTAGGCCACCTTGGCTCTTTGATGACTTGTGGACTTCAACTCCCAGAATTCCTCAGCCAGGCACGCGTGCCTGGCTGAGGAATTCTGGGAGTTGAAGTCCACAAGTCATCAAAGGGCCAAGTTTGAAGACTCTTGATTTAGAGGGTCAAAGCAGACGTCCCCACTGCACAGCCAAAGAGGACCCCTATTCTGTATTCTTTTGCTAAGTCAAGGAACAGCTGTTACAGAGCAAATACCACTTCTTTTTTTTATCTTTTCGTATGCAGGTCCTTTGTGATTCAGAATATGCCTATTTACTATCTGGATTTAAAAGGAAGGAGAACGATCCAGCATCCTAAACCAAGAGTAAGTCACTCCCTGTAATAAAATGTGGGCTTCTCTCCCTCCCTCTCTATCTATGATCCTCATCCATCAGTCATCGATCCCTCTATCCCTCCATCCATCCCTCTATCTATCTATCTATCTATCTATCTATCTATCTATCTATCTATCTATCTATCTATCGCTATCTCTCTATTTATCTATATCTATTGATCATCATATTTATCTGCCTATCTCTATTTATCATCTCTCTCTAGCTATCTAGCTATCTATATATCATCTCTTTCTCATCTCTCTCTCATCTATCATTTATATTTATCGATATCTATCTATCTATCTATCTATCTATCTATCTATCTATCACTATCTCTCTATTTATGTATATCTAGTGATCATCTATCATTATATTTATCTGCCTGTCTCTATTTATCATCTCTCTCTCTAGCTATCTAGCTATCTATATATCATCTCTTTCTCTCTCATTTCTCTATCATCTATCATTTATATTTATCAATATTTATTTATTTATTTATTTATGAGACTTATATACCGCTCTATCTATCTATCTATCTATCTATCTATCTATCTATCTATCTATCTATCTATCTATCTATATCTATTGATCATCTATCATTATATTTATCTGCCTATCTCTATTTATCATCTCTATCTAGCTATCTAGCTATCTATATATCATCTCTTTCTCTCTCATCTCATCTATCTATCATTTATCTGTATTTATCTATATCTATCTATCTATTTCTATCTATCTATCTATCAAGCTATCAAGCTATCTATCAATGTATCTATCTATCTATCTATCTATCTATCTATCGCTATCTCTGTATTTATCTATATCTATTGATCATCTATCATATTTATCTGCCTATCTCTATTTATCATCTCTATCTAGCTATCTATATATCATCTCTTTCTCTCTCATCTCATCTATCTATCATTTATCTGTATCTATCTATCTATCTATCTATCTATCTATCTCTATCTATCTATCTAACTATCTATCAAGCTATCAAGCTATCTATCAATGTATCTATCTATCTATCTATCTATCTATCGCTATCTCTCTATTTATCTATATCTATTGATCATCATATTTATCTGCCTATCTCTATTTATCATCTCTCTCTAGCTATCTAGCTATCTATATATCATCTCTTTCTCTCTCATCTCTCTCTCATCTATCATTTATATTTATCGATATCTATCTATCTATCTATCGCTATCTCTCTATTTATGTATATCTAGTGATCATCTATCATTATATTTATCTGCCTATCTCTATTTATCATCTCTCTCTAGCTATCTAGCTATCTATATATCATCTCTTTCTCTCTCATTTCTCTATCATCTATCATTTATATTTATCAATATTTATTTATTTATTTATTTATGAGACTTATATACCTATCTATCTATCTATCTATCTATCTATCTATCTATCTATCTATCTATCGCTATCTCTCTATTTATCTATATCTATTGATCATCTATCATATTTATCTGCCTATCTCTATTTATCATCTCTATCTAGCTATCTATATATCATCTCTTTCTCTCTCATCTCATCTATCTATCATTTATCTGTATCTATCTATCTATCTATCTCTATCTATCTATCTAACTATCTATCAAGCTATCAAGCTATCTATCAATGTATCTATCTATCTATCTATCTATCTATCTATCTATCTATCTATCTATCTGGCTATCTGGCTATCTATCTATCAATCAATCAATCTAGCTAGCTAGCTAGCTATATCTGGTTAATTGTCCTCACTGTCGGGAAATTTCTCCTTAGTTCCAGGTTGCTTCTCTCCTTGATGAGTTTCCATCCATTGCTTCTTGTCCTGCCTTCAGGGGCTTTGGAGAAGAGGTTGACCCCCCTGTTTTCCATGGCAGCCCCCCAGATATTGCAAGATGGCTATCATGTCACCCCTAGTCCTTCTTTTCAGACATACCCAATTCCTGCAATCAGGAATTATTGCTCTTCTCCGGGCCCTTTCCAGAGTCTCAACATCTTCCCGTGTCTCCTCTGTTTCTGAAAGGCTGAGATAACTTTTTCACCTCTCGGCTGCCACTGTTCCCCCCAAGGTCGTTCTCACACACACCCTCGCACCTCGGTTTCCACTCCCCGCAATGCCTTTTAATCACTTCTGAAGCAGGATGTCAACGCTGCGTTACATCGGATGTTCTTGCTTTGACAACATATGGAGACCCGTCCTTTTTCTTTCTTATGCTTTACTCCTAGAGTTAGGTGATACTGGGGGAGGAGGAGGAGGAATGTGATGGGAGTTAAGTTAGACATAACAATGTTGCAATAGTGTGTGAATTCAGGGCTTTTGAAATAAGAGATGATAAGGAATGGCAGGTTGGAATAAAGGAGGGAAGGCCTGCATTTCAAGCTAATTGGCGAATGTGATTTGTGACTGTGAATTGGAGGAGGGAATTGTGCTTTGATACCATGTGCTCAGGGAAGGGGAATTCAGATTTTGGCTTGGCCTATGTACGTGCCGATGCTATGCTACTGGAATAAAGATTCTTTAAGGTAAACAGTGCCTCAAAGTTCTTTGAAGAGTTTCATCTGTCGGAACCAGGACACGGCCTTTCTCTGCCCCCTTCCCCTCCTCCTTTGCAGATTGACTGCTATTACAGTGGCTACGTGGAAGATCTTCCCAGTTCAGACGTGGTCATCTCCACCTGCAACGGTCTTTGGTAACGGCTTGGCTGTGGGTCCCGTGCTCTGCAAAATGGCACCTGACTGATAGGCTGGGTGGGTGGGAAATACAGGTGGGTCCTGGATGCAGGGAAGGGGAGGCTGGGCCTGCGGGGAAAGTGGCAGACTTGATCAGTTAGAGAAGTGAAATACACAGGGACTGAGCAAGGGGCTCCCATCTGAGATAATTCCGTCTTTGGAAAGATACCAACCACTTTGGAAAGTGTACATTTTCTTGTACGCCTGAACCTTTTAGATTTCCTGGAATGAAATCAGCTGCACAAGAAAATAATAGAATAGAGTAGAGTAGAGTAGAGTAGAGTAGAGTAGAGTAGAGTAGAGTAGAGTAGAGTAGAGTAGAGTAGAGTAGAGTAGAATAGACATAGGAATGAATAGAATAGAATAGAATAGAATAGAATAGAATAGAATAGAATAGAATAGAATAGAATAGAATAGAATGGAGTGGAGTGGAGTGGAGTGGAGTGGAGGAACGGAGCAGAGAGAAGAGGAGAGGAGAGGATAATATATGGAATGGAATGGAGTGGAGTGGAGTGGAGGAGCTGAGCAGAGTGGAGTGCAGCAGAGTAGAGTAGAATATATGGAATCGAATTAGAATTAGAATAGAGTAGAGTGGAGTGGAGTGGAGTGGAGTGGAGTAGAGTAGAATATATGGAATGGAGTGGAGTAGAGTAGAATATATGGAGTAGAGTAGAGTAGAGTAGAGTAGAGTAGAGTAGAGTAGAGTAGAATAGAATAGAATAGAATAGAATAGAATAGAATAGAATAGAATAGAATAGAATAGAGCTGGAAGGGACCTTGGAGGTCTTCTAGTCCAGCCCCCTGCTCAAGCAGGAGGTCCTATACCATTTCAGACAAGTGACTCTCCAGCCTCTTCTTAGAAATCTCCAGTGATGGAACACCCATGATTTCTGGTGGCCAGCTGTTCCACTGGTTAATTTTCCTCACTGTTAGGAAGTTTCTCCTTAATTCCAGGTTGCTTCTCTCCTTGATTGGTTTCCAACCATTGTTTCTCGTCCTTCCCTCTGTTGCTTTGGAGAATAAAACTATTTTAGTCCTTAAAATATTTAGTGTTCCAGTCTTCCAGTATCTCAGGGGCTGCCCCAAAGAAGTGGGAGTCAAGCTCTTCTCCAAAGCGCCTGAAGGCAAAATAAGAAGCAACGGGTGGAAACTCATCAAGGAGAGAAGCAACCTGGAACTAAGGAGGAATTTCGTGACAGTGAGGACAATTAATTAATGGAACTCCTTGCCTCCAGAAGCGGTGGATGCTCCAACACTGGAAGTTTTGAAGAAGAGACTGGACAGCCATTTGTCTGAAATGGCATAGGGTTTCTTACCTGAGCAAGGGGTTGGACTCGATGACCTCCAAGGTCCCTTCCAGCGTTCTGTTCTGTTCTATGAAAACTACTTCTGCTGAGATGTGAATTGAGGGTCCGTCGTAAGTCGCCTTTCTCAGCGCCGTTCGAATTTCGGACGGACACTAAACGAATGATTCGAAGTCCAGAGGAACCTGGACCGTCCCGGGGAGACGGTTGTCCAATTTTTTCTGGAGGACCTCCAGCGACGGAGACCCTCGTTCGGGTCCTGGCTGTTCTGTGGTGTGATGTCCTGCAATCTCCTTCTCCAACGTCCAGGGGTTACGTACAGATCGGGAACCTGACCTACCAAATCCAGCCGATCGACAACTTCAGCGGGTTCAAGCACCTCCTCTATCGCAAGGCTCCGGAGCCGAATCCTCCGTGCCGAGGGGTGGTGGTGGTGGAAGAGATGGGCCTGGGGGCCAGGCCGACAACGGTCCACGCACCGGAGCCGAAGGACGCCGTAGTAAGTTCTCTCCTCCCTGATCCGCCTTGGGCAACGTTAAGATGTGGGGAGCTTGACTTATTTGTTTATTTTTATCAATCGTTCAAGGAGACGAAGGTCATCATTCCCCCCCTCCTCCTGTTGTCCCCACAACAACCCTATGAGGTGGGCTGGGCTGAGAGGGAAGGACTGGCCCAAAGTCACCCAGTCAGTTTTTATGCCTGAGGCAGGACTAGAATTCACTGTCTCCTGATGACGGGCCCATCACCCAGCTACTTTCCTGCCTGAGGCAGGACTAGAACTCACCGTCTCCTGGCGATTGGCCCAAAGTCACCCAGTCGGTTTTCATGCCTGAGGCAGAACTAGAATTCACCATCTCCTGGCGATTGGCCCAAAGTCACCCAGTCAGTTTTCATGCCTGAGGCAGAACTAGAATTCACCGTCTCCTGGTGACTGGCCCAAAGTCACCCAGTCGGTTTTCATGCCTGAGGCAGAACTAGAATTCACCGTCTCCTGGCGATTGGCCCAAAGTCACCCAGTCAGTTTTCATGCCTGAGGCAGAACTAGAATTCACCATCTCCTGGCGATTGGCCCAAAGTCACCCAGTCAGTTTTCATGCCTGAGGCAGGACTAGAACTCACCGACTCCTGGTGATTGGCCCAATGTCACCCCTTCAACTTTGGTGTCTAAAACATGAACTAGAACTCCCCGTCTCCTGGTGATGGTCCCCAAGTCACCTTTCTTTTGCCTCCCACCCCTGAGGTCTCTACTTTCCTTTCAGCCACATTTCCCGGGGAAGAACACGCCATCGAGATACCTGGAATACTTTGCCGTTTGTGACCATTCTGTGGTAAGCAACCACCATAGGTTAACCGGGTTAGATCCCGGTTAGCCTCTCCAGAAGCAGCTGCAGAACATTTTGCTCCTTCCTCCTGTTCTGCTCTACTAACTCTGTAGCCCATTGGTTCTCAAACGCCACCACTTTAAGATGGGCGGGCTTCAACTCCCAGAATTCCTCAGCCAGTCCACACATCTTGAAGTTGAATTCTGGGAGTTGAAGTCCACCCATCCTGAGTGTGAATTCTGGGAGTGGAAGTTCACACATCCTAAAGATGAATTCTGGGAATGGAAGTCCACACACCTTGAAGTTGAATTATGGGAGATGAAGTCCACATATGTTGAAGTTGAATTCTGGGAGTTGAAGTCCACACCTCTTGAACTTGAATTCTGGGAGTTGAAGTCCACACATCTTGAACTTGAATTCTGGGAGTGGAAGTCCACACATCTTAAAGTTGAATTCTGGGAGTTGAAGTCCACGCATCTTAAAGTTGAATTCTAAGAGTGGAAGTCCATACACCTTAAGGTTGAATTCTGGGAGTGGAAGTTCACACATCCTAAAGTTGAATTCTGGGAGTGGAAGTCCACACACCTTGAAGTTGAATTATGGGAGTTGAAGTCCACGCATCTTGAACTTGAATTCTGGGAGTTGAAGTCCACCCATCTTGAAGTTGAATTCTGGGAGTTGAAGTCCACCCATCTTGAAGTTGAATTCTGGGAGTTGTAGTCCACCCATCTTGAACTTGAATTCGGGAAGTGGAAGTCCACCCATCTTAAAGTTGAATTCTGGGAATTGAAGTCTACCCATCTCAACGTGACCGAGGTTGAGTATCATTTAGCCCTTCCACACAGTTCTCTCTTCTACAGTCACAGACTCGGCACTCAGCAGGACACTCAGACCCACATCTGGAGAATCCAGAGGTTTTGACCCAATGTGCAATTGTCTTCAGTTCAAACTCTCCTAATGTGTGTGCCACATTAGGAAACAGGCACACAAGGGGCAGAGTAGCACCTATGCCACGGTGATGCCCGTTTCATCTTTTCTGGCATAAGAGTTTTCGCCTTCGGATTGCCGGGAACTAATTGGTGCTCCCTTCCCACCCTAATATTTATTTCTTTAATTTATTAGTTCAACTAATAGGCTGCCCCATTATCAATCCTTTAGTAGAAGGGCACAAAAAGTGTCCTCCATGACGGCCCAAAATCTCTCGTCCATGGCCAAAATCATATTCTCCTGGACAACTTTCCATGAGAAGTAAAAACGAAAAGCCCCCACAAGCAGGTAGTCCTCAATTTGCAACCCGTTCGTTTAGTGACCGTTCAAAGTTACAACAGGCACTTAAAAAAGGGACTGGTGATCCGTTTTGCACATTATTTTGCACATTATTTTGCAGCGTCCCCATGGTTACGTGATCAAAATTCGGATCCTGGGCAACTGACTCGTAGTTACGACGGTTGCATTAGCCCGGGGGTGTGTGTGTCATGTGACCCTCTTCCGACCAGCAAAGTCAAAATGGGGGAAGCCCGATTCGCTTAACAACCATCTGGCGCGCTCAACCTCTGCATTGATTCACTTAAGAACGATGGCAAGGAAGGTCATTAAAAGAGGCAGAGCCCGCTTAGCGACCGCCTTGCTTCAAACGGTTGCAACTTCAAATGGCCACTAAATGAATGCAAGTCGAGGACTGCCTGTTCTTTAAGTATCCCCCCCTCCCCCGAATGAAAGGCCCCGAATGGGCGGGTGAGGGAGGGAGATCTGCAACCAGAGACTGGGGGCGAGGGAAGCCCCAGGAAGAAGGGGGTCGGTCTGGAAAAGAGCCACCATCCCGGGGGTCCCGAAAAACCCACGCAAGGAGTCTGGCAGGATGGGTGCGCACACAGCACCCCTGCAAAGGCCCTTCTCTCCTCCATCCTCAGTTCCAGTGGGCCAAGCAGAATGTCACTCAAGAGATGCTGATGGTGCTTCAGATTCTCTCGGTGGTTCACCATGTAAGTAAATCCCAGAATCCGAGGGCGGGAAGGGACCTTGGGGGTCTTCTAGTCCAGCCCCCTGCCCAAGGCAGAAGACTATGCCATCCTGGACAAATGGCTGTCTGGTATTTTCTTGAGGGCCTCCAGCAACTGAGCACCCAGAACTCCAGGGGCATCCATCCCTCCCTCCATATCCATATCCATATATCTATATCCATATCTCCATATGCATATCTATATGCATATCTATATCATACATATCTATCATGCCATATTTATCTCTCTGGATACGTATATCTATCTATCTATATATCCATCCATCATCTATCTATCTATCTATCTATCTATCTATCTATCTATCTATCTATCCATCATCTATATCTATCTATCTATCTATCTATCTATCTATCTATCTATCTATCTATCTATCTATCTATCTATCTAATATAAATATCTCTTATGTATCATCTATCATGCCATATTTATATCTGTCTGTCTGTCTGTCTGTCTATCTATCTATCTATCTATCTATCTATCTATCTATCTATATCTGCTCTGTATCTATCTGTCTATTATCTATCTATATCTTCTCTATCTATCTATCTATCTATCTATCTAACTATCTATCTATCTATCTATCTATCTATTATCTAGCTATCATCTATCTATCTATCTATCTATTTATCTATCTATCTCATCTAAATATCTCTTATGTCTATCATCTATCATGGTATATTTATATCTATCTATCTATCTATCTATCATCTAAATATCTATATATCTCATCCAAATATGTCTGTCATCTATCATGCCATATTTATCTCTACCTGTCTCTCTATCTATCTCTATCTATCTATCTATCTATCTATCATCTAAATATCTATATATCTCATCCAAATATGTCTATCATCTATCATGCCATATTTATCTCTACCTGTCTATCTATCTATCTCTCTATCTATCTATCTATCTGCCTATCTATACATCATCTATCTATCTATCTATCTATCTATCTATCTATCTATCATCTAAATATCTCTTATGTATCATCTATCATGCCATATTTATATCTGTCTGTATCTATCTATCTATCTATCTAACTATCTATCTATCTATCTATTATCTAGCTATCATCTATCTATCTATCTATCTATCTATCTATTTATCTATCTATCTCATCTAAATATCTCTTATGTCTATCATCTATCATGCTATATTTATATCTATCTATCTATCTATCTATCTATCTATCTATCTATCTATCTATCATCTAAATATCTATATATCTCATCCAAATATGTCTATCATCTATCATGCCATATTTATCTCTGTCTGTCTGTCTGTCTATCTATCTATCTATCTATCTATCTATCTATCTATCTATCTATCTATCTATCCACCCACCCACCCACCCACCCATCCATCCATCCATCTATATCACAGCTGACTCAGGAATTCTGGGAATTGAAGTCTGCAGGTCATCCAAGGACCTGGTTCCCCATGCCTGCTGTAAGGCATCCATCTCCAGTGTGACTCACCTGGCAGGTAAGAGGATGGCCACGCCTACCTTTCCCCTCGCAGGTGTACAGCGACATCGGCCTCCACATAGTCCTGACAGGCATGGAGGTGTGGACCGTAAAGGACCCCCTGCCCCTCAGCAAACTGTTCGGGGAAAGGGTGCTAGCCTTCCAGCACTACGCCAATTCTGAGCTTCAGCGCCAGACCCACTTTGACCACGCCACGTTATTCACGTGAGAATGCGGAGTTTGCTGCGGGAGAGACGTAAATCTTGGGGTCCTCCTCTTCCTTGGAGGACCCCAGCAATTGGGGTCGCCATGCTCCCCGTTGTCCGCCTCCTACTTGGAGTCCCTGACACTCTGACCGTCGTAAATAGGAACCAGTTGCCAAGCGTCTGCATTTTGATCATGTGACCCCCACAGGGGGGAGGCTGCAGCTGTCCTAAGTGTGAAAAAGGGTCGTAAGTCACTTTTCCCAGCGGGTTGAAATGAATTGCCGTAAGTCGAGGACTGCCTGCATTTCAATGCGAATGCTTAAAATCAGGTTAAGACGATAAAAGCCAGTGAAAAACTTAAAAACAGCCAACAACGTTGGAACGGTCTGAGTCGAACGGGGTGTTTTCCGCCTTGCAGGAATGTGGCTCAAGACGACCTGTTCGCAAAGACGTGGAAGTCGCCCGAGTGTCTTCAGAAACAGGTCTCCGTTTCTGTGGTCAAAGTAAGGAAAGGGGCGCGTGGGGCAAAGGGAGTGGGGGGCTCAGACTGGGCCAGGGAATTCCCTGGCTCTCCAAATAGGTCCACTGTAAGCTTTGTGGACTTCAACTCCCAGAATTCCCCAGTGACAGGTAGAAAAAGAGGGGGGAGGAGAGAGAGAAATAGATAAAGGGAGAGAGAGAGAGAGAGAGAGAAAGAGAGGGAGAGAGAAAGAGAAATAGATAAAGGGAGAGAGAGTAAGAGAGAGAGACAGGGAGAAAGAGAAAGAAAGAAAAAGAAAGAAAGGGGGAAGAGAGAAATAGATAAAGGGAGAGAGAAAGAGACAGAAAGAGGGAGAGGGAGAAAGGGAGGAGGGAGAGAGAAAGGGAGAGAAAGAAAAGGAGAGAGGGGGAGAGAGAGACGAGAGGGGGAGAGAGAAATAGATAAAGGGACAGAGAGAAAGAGAGACAGAGGGAGAAAGAGGGAGAATGAAAGAGAGAGAGAAAGAGAGAAGAGAGGGGGAGAAATAGATAAAGAGAGAGAGAAAGAGAGACAGAGAGAGGGAGAGAGGGAGAAAGAAAGAAGGGAGAGAAAGGGAGAGAGAGAGAGAAGGAGAGAGGGAGAGAGAAAGAGAAAGAGATAAAGAGGGGGAGGAAACAGCGAGAAAGAGAGAAAGAGAGGGTAAAAGAGAAAGAGAGAGAGAGAGAGAGAGAAAAAGAGAAAGATGGTAGAGGTGAGTAGCTGTGCAAATAAATGGGATGGATGGATGGAGAGGGGGAGGGAGGGAACTCTCCCGGAGTCGTGGCTGCTCCATCGTTGGAGGTTGTCAAGAAAAGATCGGAGAACCCTTTGACCAGGATGGCATTAAGCTCTCCTGTCTTGAGCAGGGGGTCAGACTAGAAGACCTCTAGGGTCCCTCCCAGCCCTGGGATACTGCCATTCTGGGATTCCACTTAGGTCTGCTTCACCGCTTCCTCTTCCCTCCCTTTCCCTGCCCTGCCGGGCCCAGATTTCTCCGTCTGCCACGGACGTCGGGGTCTCCGCTGCGCACCAGCTGGGCCACGCCCTTGGCTTCGCCCACGATGACTTCCCACGGGCGGACGGGCGGCCCTGTGGATGCAACGCCACCACCCAAGCCGGCCACTGCCTCATGCATGCGGCCACGGCGTGAGTAGCCCCCCCCCCAAATTTTCCCACGCCAACTAAGACGGGGGTTAAGTGAGTTTTCCCCTGTTTTGCGACCTTCATTGCCACGGTCGTTAAGGGAATCACTACAAGTTGTTAAATTAGTACAGGTAGTCTTCAACTTACGTCTACAACTGAGCCTCAAATTTTTTGCTAAATGAGACGTTTGTTGAATGGGTTTTGTCTCATTTTATGACCTAGCTCGCCAGCTTTTTTAAGTGAATGACATAATAATAATAATAATAATAATAATAATAATGATGATGATGATGATGATGATGATGATAATGATAATGTTGGAAGGGACCTTAGAGGTCATCTAGTCCAACTCCCTTCTCAGGCAGGAGACCCTATACCAGTGGTTCTCAACCTTTTTAATGCCGCGACCCCCAACCGGTCGTAAGTCGAGGACTACTCAACTGTTGTAGCACCGTTTGCAGAATGGGACTTTTGGCGGGCTCAGCAGGGCAGAGACAGCCTGGACAATTCCTATTGGCCTTTGAAAGCCAATAGAATTAGACTCTGTTCAAGAGAGTCTATTCTATTGGCTTTCAAAAGCCAATAGAATAAAAGGGAGTAGCACAGCTAAGGAAAAGGGGGAAAAAAATGGCGGACTGCGTTGTTTGGCGACCCCCGTGAAATGGTCGTTCGACCCCAAATGGGGTCCCGACCCACTGGTTGAGAACCACTGCCCTATACCATTTCATAACAACAACAACAATAATAATAAAGTTGAAGGGACCTTAGAGGTCATCTAGTCCAACCCCCTGCTCAGGCAGGAGACCCTATACCATTTCATAACAACAATAAAAACAATAATAATAATAATAAAGTTGGAAGGGACCTTAGAGGTCATCTAGTCCAACCCCCTGCTCAGGCAGGAGACCCTAGACCATTTCAGACAAATGGCCGTCTGGTCTTTTCTTAAAAACCTCCAGTGTTGGAGCATTCAACGCTTCTGGTGGCAGGTGGTTCCACTGGTTAATTGTTCTGACTGTCAGGAAGTTTCTCCTTGCAGATATTAAGTTACTAACACGGTCGTTAAGCGAATCCGGCTCCCCCCGTTGACTTTGCTCGTCAGAAGGTCGCAAAAGGGGAGCACGTGACACACACACACCCGGGACGACGCGACCGTCGTAACTATGAATCAGTGGCCAAGTGCCCGAATTTTGATCACGTGACCCCGGGACACTTTGAGGGTCATAAATGTGAAAAATGGCCTTAAGTCCCCTTTTTTCAATGCGGTCATAACTTTGAATGGTCGTTAAATGGACAGTTATAAGTCAGGGACTCTCTGTAACACGGTCGTTAAGGGAGTCAGGCTTCCCCTATTGATGTTGCTCGCCAAACGTTTGCAAAAGGGGATCAGGTGACCTCTGGACACTGCAACCGTCGTAAGTACATGTCTGTTGCCAAGCCTAGCAGCAAGGAGAAAAAAAAATATTAGTTCTAAATATGAGATAGTAGATATAAAGAGGAGGAGAGAGAAAGTGTTAAATGTGGAAATAAGAGAAATGTTTGGTTAATAAATTTAAGATTTTAAAGTACCTGAGAGTTATCAGAACAATTAACCAGTGGAACCACCTGCCTCCAGAAATGGTGAATGCTCCAACACTGGAAGTTTTTAAGAAGAGACTGGACAGCCATTTGTCTGAAATGGTTTAGGGTTTCCTGCCTGAGCAGGGGGTTGGACTAGATGACCTCCAAGGTCCCTTCCAACTTTATTACTACTACTATTATTATTATTATTATTATTAATTTGTTGATGTAGATGGTGAGAACCTGCATAGATAACATGTGTATTCTGAATATTAGACTTTGGGAGGTACGGTGATAAAGGAAGTGGGGGTCATTTGAAGTGTGGCAATGATCATTATTAAACGTTAAATTTAAATATTAATGGGAAATTAATATTGAGAAAAACTGATTCGGTCATTGATTGTCTAAGGATTGAAAGTTAAAGCAATTAAGATATATGTTGACTTAAAATTATGGATAAAGGTTAGAAAGTTACCTTTTCTTTGATTGACAGAACAAGAATTATATTGGTTAAAACAGGAGACAGTCGATATTAAAGGAGAAAGAGAAGGAATGGGGGTTGTAACAGTTTGAGATCTGTACTAATGATATCTATGTGTAATGGAGCAGGGGGTTGGACTAGATGACCTCCAAGGTCCCTTCCAACTTTATTATTATTATCATTGCTCTTCAGATATTCTTCCAAAGCCATTTTTTCTTCTTCAACCATCTGATGTACTTGTAGCATTCCACGCCCACCTATTTGCCTTGGTAGATAAAGTCTATCAACGTCACTGCGTGGATGAAGGGCATGATTCATTGTCATTATTTTTCTGTTAATTATTATTATTATTATTATCGATCATCGCACAGTCAGCCAGATGTTCAGACTGGATTTGGCATTTTGTCTACCTATCGAGTCCTTACCCAGGACCTGGGATAGGCAGATGTGGATGTTTGATGGTATTACAGATATCGTCGCAGGATGGAAGCAGTTCCTAATAAGGCTGCCTTTTGCAATTGACTAATAGCGAATTTGTCAATGCCAATGGTGTTCAAGTGGTGCTCCAGTTGTTTTGGGATTGCACCCAAGGAGCCTATGACTATTGGTACTACCCTTGCTTGCTTTTGCCACAGTCTTTCTATTTCTATTTGTAGGTCTTTGTATTTTGTTATCTTCTCCAGTTCTTTCTCTTCTATTCTGCTGTCTCCAGGCACTGCCACGTCCACTATCCAGACTTTTTTGTCTTTCTTATCGACAATTGTTAAGTCTGGGGTGTTATGTTGCAGGTGCTTGTCTGTTTGAATTCTGAAGTCCCAGAGCAGTTTAATTTTATCATTTTCTATGACTTTCTCTATTTTATGATCCCACCAGTTTTTGCTTACAGGCAAATGATATTTTTTGCAGATCTTCCAATGCACCATTGTTGCTACTTTGTCATGCCGCTGCTTGTAATCAGTCTGTGCAATCTTCTTGCAACAGCTTACCAAGTGGTCCACTGTTTCTTCAGCTTCTTTGCATAGGCGGCACTTACTGTCTGTTGCTGTCTTCTCAATTTTGACTTTATATGCATTTGTCCTTAAGGCTTGGTCTTGTGCAGCCAGAATTAGTCCCTCGGTCTCTTTCTTCAATTTTCCTGCTCTTAGCCATTGCCAGGTCTTGTTATTATCTGCTTTCCCAGCTATTTTTTTAATGTATTGGCCATGTAGTGCTTTGTCTTCCCATGCCTCTATTCTGTTCTTCATTTGGTCTTTCTTGTAGGCCAGTTTGGTCTCTCCAGTAGTCAGTAAGCCTTCCTGATATACTAATTTCAGTGCATCTTCATCATTGTTCTTCAGATATTCTTCCAAAGCCATTTTTTCTTCTTCAACCATCTGATGTACTTGTAGCATTCCACGCCCACCTATTTGCCTTGGTAGATAAAGTCTATCAATGTCACTGCGTGGATGAAGGGCATGATTCATTGTCATTATTTTTCTGGTCTGCCTATCCATTGCTTTTAGTTCTGCTTGAGTCCAGTCCACTATTCCAGCTGTGTACCTAATGACTGGGATTGCCCAGGTGTTGATTGCCTTTATGGTATTTCCTCCATTGAGTTTGGATTTTAAGATCTTCTTCACTCTCTTGATGTATTCACCTCTAATCTTTTTCTTGACTTCAGTGTGCTTGATGTTGTCAGCTTGAAGGATACCCAAGTATTTGTAGTACTCTTCCTCATCCAGACTCTTAATGTTATTTTCGTGGGGCATCTTGATTCCTTCAGTTTTCACTATTTTTCCTTGTTTGATAGTAAGTGTGGCACATTTGTCCAAGCCAAACTCCATTACAATATCTTGGCTATATATACGGACAGTGTTGAGCAGCGATTCTATTTCAGATGATGTTTTTCCATACAGCTTCAGATCATCCATATAAAGGAGGTGGGATAGTCTGGCAGATGTTTTTGATGTTTGATAGCCATGTCCTGAGTTATTCAGTATTGTTGACAGAGGAAACAGTGCAATAACAAATAGTAATGGTGATAATGAATCTCCTTGAAATATTCCTCTCTTGATATTAACCTCTCCCAGCCTCTCACCATTGATCTGCAACTGTGTCTTCCATTGTGCCATCGATCTTTGCACAAATTTTCTGATGTTTCTACTGACTCCTGTTATTTCTAGGCACTTTATTATCCAATCATGTGGCAGAGAGTCAAATGCCTTTTTGTAGTCAATCCATGCCACATTCAGGTTGGTCTTCCTTCTCTTGCAGTTTTCCAAGATCATTTTGTCTATTAGGAGTTGATCTTTTGTTCCTCTGCTATTGGGGCGGTTTCCTTTCTGCTCAGGTGGAAAGAGATTGTTTTCAACTAGATGCTGTTGTACTGCATCAGCTACCACACCAGTTAGTAATTTGAAAGTTGTTGGTAAGCAGGTAATTGGCCTGTAGTTACCTGGTGTTGCCCCTTTTGCTGGATTTTTCATTATTAGGTAGGTTTTCCCAGTTGTTAGCCACTTTTCAATTTCTCCTCCTTGTAGTATATTGTTGAACTGTTTGGCAATGAGTGGGTGTATAACAGTTAGATGTTTCAACCAAAACCCATGCAGTTCATCTTCACCTGGTGCTGACCAATTTTTGATTTTCTTTGCTCTTTTTTCTACCATTTTTGTTGTTATTACTAGTTCTTTCATTTCAACTTCTGTTTTATTTGCATCCACCTCTTTTAACCAAGCCGCATCCTTGTTGTATTTCTTTGGGTTATCCCATATCTGCTTCCAGAACTGCACTGTTTCTTCCTTGTCAGGTACTGACTGATTCCTTGCAGTTTCTCCATTGATGGATTGGTAGAAACGTTTCTGATTGGATTGAAATTGGAGGTTCTGCCTATAGTTTGCAATTTGAGCTTCATATCTACTGATTTTCCTGGCTATAGCTGTTATTTGTTGCTTTATTATTTCCAGTGCTTCCTTGATCTTCCTTGTTTCTAAGTGGTATTTCTTGATTAGGTATTCTTTGGTCTTCTTGTTCTTCAGCTTCTTTTCTTTCATCTGTTCTAGCTTGCTTGCATGTGATCTTAACTTGCTGATCTTATTTTCTAGTCTAACCTTCCATTTTTCTGGTGCACTGTTTGTTTGTTTTTCTTTTTGTTGATTTTGCATCCCAGGTATTCTGTTATAACTGCAGCTGTGCTGTACATTAGTTGGTTTGTTTCTTGCAGTGAATTGGTGCTTATACTTGATATTGCAGTATTTGCATCTTTTAATGCTTGTGCTAGCTGTTTCTTTGGAACAAGCTTCAATGCAGGTAGCCTTATTCTGTTGTTTTTGTGCTGTTCTAGATGCTCAGTTATTCTTTGTTTCAGTTCTTTTATTTCTTTAGTTAGAGGGTTTTGTTCTTCCTGAGGAAGAGGTGCCTGGTTTCCAAATGAGAACAGTTGTATATCTCTGCTGGATTCCTTCACTGCCAACTCCCCCTGGTTTGCCTCTACATTCTGGATTACTTCTGGTAAGGCTTTGATTTCTTTGCCCTGGGTAAACCTTTGCAGTTCGTCCAATTCTGTTTCTGTGAATATTTTATTTCGTGTTATAAATCGGCGTTGATCTGCTAGTCTCTGTTCTGTTATTTCTGATTCTGGATGTTGTTCTTTCCAGAACTGGTGCATTCGTTTTAGATATCCTCTTCTTGTTGGACTTGATCTGTAGTAACAGATCATTATTTCTTTGTTTTCCATCACTGTGTATCTGCGACGGGTAAAGACCTTTTCTTCCAGTAGTTCTGCAGCTGCTGGCCCTGGTTGCTCAGCCAACAGTCCTGAGTCCTGTAACCCATTTTTCACCAGATATCCAGGAACTCCAACATCTAGTGCGGACCTTGTTAACCCGGGTGACGTCCAAGCCGGTATGGCATTCTGCAATTTACGTCTCACCATATTTTTTATGGGAGAGACACTCTTTGTCTGACTCCTCTGATGAGACTTGTCCAGTATGGTTGAACCTCTGGCATAGCTCTCATCTTCCTCAGAGTACACAAGCCCCACAACCACGTCAAGGTAGTGCCTCACTGGGGGTATTATTATTATTATTATTATTATTATTATTATTATTATTATTGATCATCACACAGTCAGCCAGATGTTCAGACTGGATTTGGCATTTTGTCTACCTATCGAGTCCTTACCCAAGACCTGGGATAGGCAGATGTGGATGTTTGATGGTATTACAGATATTGTCGCAGGATGGAAGCGGTTCCTAGTAAGGCCGCCTTTTGCAATTGACTAATAGCGAATTTGTCAATGCCGATGGTGTTCAAGTGATGCTCCAGCTGTTTTGGGATTGCATCCAAGGCACTTATTATTATTATTATTATTATTATTATTATTATTATTATACCCAGCCGCCACGTTTGCTTTCAAGTATTTAAATGTAATATTAGAAAATCAATAAAAATTTACCAAAAACAAAGCCTCTGAATTTTGATTGCGTGATCCCGGGGGACACTGCAACGGTCGTAAGTGCGAGTCACGTTTTTCGGCGCCGTTGCAACCACACACGGTCGCTGAATGAACAGTTGTAATGTGAGGACCGCCTGCAAGTCACGGATCCTCTCTCTTGTTGCAGAAAACGCTACGCGCTGAGCAACTGCAGCAAAGAGACCTACTTCGCGTTCCTGCAGGGCCCAGGGAGGGACTGCTTCCTCAATTTGCCCAAAGATGTCACACCGAAAAAGACGTGCGGCAACGGCATTGTGGAGGATGGAGAGCAGTGCGACTGTGGCACGGATGAGGTCAGTGCCTCTGCCTCCAGGACAACGCGCTTCATTTGGGCGCTGTCTAACAAAATGAAATTCAAGGGTGGAAAAAGGCAGGTTCTACATTTAGGCAAGAAAAACCAAATGTACAGGTATAGTATAGAATCATGGGTCTTCAAACTTGGCCCTTTTATGACTCCTGGACTTCAACTCCCAGAATTCCTGAGCCAGCTATGCTGAGGGGAAAGGGAGGTTTCCAAACTGAGCCAGGCTGGCTGAGGAATTCTGGGAGTTGAAGTCCATGAGTCATGAAGGGGCCATAGTTCCCCCATGCTGGCTGAGGAATTCTGGGAGTTGAAGTCCACGAGTCATGAAGGGGCCATAGTTCCCCCATGCTGGCTGAGAAATTCTAGGAGTTGAAGTCCAGAAGTCATGAAGGGGCCAAAGTTTCCCCATGCTGGCTCAGGAATTCTGGGAGTTGAAGTCCACGAGTCATGAAAGGGCCATAGTTCCCCCATGGTGCCTCAGGAATTCTGGGAGTTGAAGTCCCCATGAAGGGGCCATACTTTCCCCCATGCTGGCTCAGGAATTCTGGGAGTTGGTCCCCAAGTCATGAAGGGGCCATAGTTCCCCCATGCTGGCTGAGGAATTCTGGGAGTTGAAGTCCGCAAGTCATGAGGGGGCCATAGTTCCCCCATGCTGGCTGAGGAATTCTGGGAGTTGAAGTCTGCAAGTCATGAAGGGGCCATAGTTCCCCCATGCTGGCTCAGGAATTATGGGAGTTGAAGTCCAGGAGTCATAAAAGAGCCAAGGTTGCCTACCCCTGGTATAGGTGGCCCCTTGCTCAATAGTAGCAACTGTGAGAGGGACCTCGGAGTCCTAATGGACAATCCCTTAAATAGGAGCCAGCCGTGTGCTGTAGCTGCCAAAAAGGCCAACACAGTGCTGGGCTGCATTAACAGAGGGAGAGAATCAGGATCACGTGAAGTATTAATACCACTCTTCAATGCCTTGGTAAGGCCACACTTGGAATACTGCATCCAGTTTTGGTCACCACAATGTAAAAAGGATGTTTAGAAAGAGTGCAGAGAAGAGCAACAAAGATGATCAGGGGACTTGAGGCTAAAACGTATAAGGAACGGTTGCAGGAATTGACTATATCTAATTTAATGAAAAGAAGGACTAGGGGGGGACATGATAGCAGTCTTCCAGTATCTCAGGGGGTGCCCCAAAGAAGAGTTGGGGGGTCCATCTATTCTCCAAAGCACCTGAGGGCAGGACAAGAAGCAACTGATGGAAACTCATCAAGGAGAGAAGCAACCTGGAACTAAGGAGAAATTTCCTGACAGTGAGAACAATTAACCAGTGGAACAACCTGCCTCCAGAAGCGGTGAATGCTCCAACACTGGAGGTTTTTAAGAAGAGACTGGACAGCCCTTTTTTGTCTGGAATGGTATAGGGCAGGAGTGTCAAACTTGCAACCTCACGTGACGTATCGCAACTTTTTTCCCACTGCCAGCAATGGGGTGGGAGTGATTTTGCCATGACGCATCCAGCCCCTGGCTGGCAGTTTGACATCCCCTGGTATAAGGTTTCTTGCCTGAGCAGGGGTTGGACTAGAAGACCTCCAAGGTCCCTTCCAAATCTGTTATCCTATAAGCCAAGGTTTCCCATCCTTGGCAACCTTAAGATGTGTAGACTTCCCCTCCCAGAATTCCCCAGCCAGTCCACAGATCATAAAGTTGAATTCTGGGAGTGGAAGTCCACACATCTTAAGGTTGAATTCTGGGAGATGAGAATTCTGGGAATTGAAGTCCACCGCATCTTGAAGTTGAATTCTGGGAGTTGAAGTCCACATATCTTAAAGTTGAATTCTGGGAATTGAAGTCCACGCATCTTGAAGTTGAATTCTGGGCTTTGAAGTCCACACATCTTGAAGTTGAATTCTGTGAGTTGAAGTCCACATATCTTAAAATTGAATTCAGGTTGTTGACGTCCACGTATCTTGAAGTTGTCAAGTTGTGGAACACCATCCTAGAGATCTCTGACAGACAACCAACCAGCTTCTTTTGCATCTAAGGCTTTGAAGTCCACGCATCTTAAAGTTGAATTCTGGGCTTTGAAGTCCACACATCTTAAGGTTGAATTCTGGGAGATGAGAATTCTGGGAATTGAAGTCCACGCATCTTGAAGTTGAATTCTGGGAGTTGAAGTCCACATATCTTAAAGTTGAATTGTGGGCTTTGAAGTCCACACATTTTGAAATTGAATTCTGGGAGATGAAGTCCACATATCTTAAAGTTGAATTCAGGGTGTTGACGTCCACGCATCTTGAAGTTGTCAAGGTTGTGGAACACCATCCTAGAGATCTCTGACAGACAACCAACCAGCTGCTTTTGCATCCATGTGAGAGATATGTAAAAGATCAGGTTAAAAATCAAATCCTGCTCTCCATTCTGGTCTCCTCCAGACGTGCTGGTCCACAACTACCTAAATTCACCCCCCAGCACAACCAAGAGGCCACTGGGGACACCTGGCCACTGGTGCCCAACATCTCTGGAGGCTTCCAGCTTTGGAGATGGTGGGCCAAGATTTCATCGGTCCTACACAGGAAGGAGACGGGGATCTCTCTGATTTCCTTTCTGACTTTTGGCCAGTTTAGGGACTGGGGAGCGTTCGGTGAGGGTCCTGCAGTTGGGCCTGGTGGGTGGTCCAAACCCCCAAGTGTGATCAATTGACCTTTCCTCCATCTTCCTGGCAGGAATGCATAATCAACGGCTGCTGTCAGGAGGACTGCCAAATGAAACCCGGTGCCAGCTGTCTTCAGGGATCCTGTTGTGAGGAGTGCAAGGTAAGGTCTTGGCTCTGCCCTCTTTGGGGGCTCCATCACCGTCAACTTATATGCCTCTTGAGTCTGCAACAAACCAGGATAAAGTGGCCCATGGCCAGCCGCAACGTCATGCCGTGATGGTGAGGACCGCCCTTGGATCACGATGCCTGACCCAAGTAGCCCGTTGTGGCCTTTGTGTGACAAGCTCCTATTTTCTCGTAGTCCTCAACTTACAACTTGTTCACGTTGTTGAAAGAAAAATCTTCGTCGGGATCCAGTCCAAGCCGGGAATAAACGAAATGCAGACTGCTTCAGAATGAAGGTGGTCGTTTATTGAAGAGCAGCAGAGCCAGACAAAAAGCTGGCTCTGGGGCAGCTGACCACAGGGAGCTGGGAGTGATGGGTTTTTTTATCCCTTCTTGGGCTTTTGTGTTTGGAGTTGTTCCTGTGGCATGAACTTTGACCTGAGTCTGAGTGTGCCTTTCTGGTATTCTAATGGTGGTGGGTTAATCCTATTTGTGTCCCAAAGGTCATACCCTCCAGATGGCCTCAACGACTCTCTAAGGCAGTGGTTCTCAACCTGTGGGTCGGGACCCCATTTGGGGTCGAACGACCATTTCACGGGGGTCGCCAAACAATGCGGTCCGCCATTTTTTTCCCCTTTTCCTTAGCTGTGCTACTCCCTTTTCTTCTATTGGCTTTTGAAATAGAGTCTAATTCTATTTTGAATAGAGTCTAATTCTATTGGCTTTCAAAATCCCATAGGAATTGTCCAGGCTGTCTCTGCCCTGCTGAGCCCGCCAAAAATCCCATTCTGCAAACGGTGCTGCACCAGTTGAGTAGTCCTCGATTTACGACCGGTTGAGTAGTCCTCGACCTACGACCGGTTGGGAGTCGCGGCATTAAAAAGGTTGGGAACCACTGCTCTAAGGAGTATAAATCCTTCCATTTCCCCACCATCCAATCAGAGCTGAAGACGTTTCTTGGATGTCTATGGAGATTCTCCGTCTTCCAGGTCATAGTTGTCCCCAAGGTGCTTTTTTCATAAGGCAACTGGACTTCCTTGTTTTTCCTTGAAGACGTTTCGCTTCTCATCCAAGAAGCTTGGGGGAAATGGGAGGATTTATACTCCTTGCAGATCGCTGGTCATTTGCCTCCTTTTAGAGAATCGTTGAGGCCACTTCAAGGTTTGCCTGTGTCCTTAGGGTCACCTGAGTGGTGCAAATGGGTGTGGGGTCTTCTTGGCCGCAGGGTGTTTTCTGCCCTGGGTCCCTTCCCCGTTGGAGACGGGCGCGGGCTGTTGGGGATGACACAACATTGTCCGCCTCTCAAACTGAAACGTCTTCCAAGAAAAGACGTTTGCCTCCAGCAACGGATGGCAACTCATCCAGGAGAGAAGCAACCTGGAACTAAGGAGAAACTTCCTGACAGTGAGGACAACTAACCAGTGGAACCACCTGCCTCCAGAAGCGGTGAATGCTCCAACATGGAAGTTTTTAAGAAGAGACTGGACAGCCAATTGTCCGAAATGGTCTAGGGTTTCCTGCCTGAGCAGGGGGTTGGACTAGATGACCTCCAAGGTCCCTTCCAATTCTGTTATTCTGTTATTTAATGGAATGGCTTGCCTTTGGAAGTTGTGGATGCTCCAACAGTGGAAGTTTTTAAGAAGAGGCTGGACAACCGTTTGTCCAAAATGGTATAGGGTCTCCTGCCTGAGCAGGGGGTTGGGCTAGATGACCTCTAAGGCCCCTTCCAATTCTGTTATTTAGTGGAATGTCTGGCCTTCAGAAGTTGTGGAGCTCCAACAGTGGAAGTTTTTAACAAGAGACTGGACCGCCGTTTATCTGGAATGGCATAGGGTTTCCTGCTTATGACCAGGGGGTTGGACTAGATGACCTCCAAGGTGCCTTCCAACTTTATCATCATCATCAGCAGCAGCAGCAGCAGCAGCATTATTATTATTATTATGGATCATCGCACAGTCAGCCAGATGTTCAGACTGGATTTGACATTTTGTCTACCTATCGAGTCCTTACCCAGGACCTGGGATAGGCAGATGTGGATGTTTGATGGTATTACAGGTATTGTCGCAGGATGGAAGCAGTTCCTAGCAAGGCCGCCTTTTGCAATTGACTAATAGCGAATTTGTCAATGCCAATGGTGTTCAAGTGGTGCTCCAGTTGTTTTGGGGATTGCACCCAAGGAGCCTATGACTATTGCTACTACCCTTGCTTGCTTTTGCCCCAGTCTTTCTATTTCTATTTGTAGGTCTTTGTATTTTGTTATCTTCTCCAGTTCTTTCTCTTCTATTCTGCTGTCTCCAGGCACTGCCAAGTCCACTATCCAGACTTTTTTGTCTTTCTTATTGACAATTGTTAAGTCTGGGGTGTTATGTTGCAGGTGCTTGTCTGTTTGATGATGATGATGATGATGATGATTACTATTATTATATGCTAACTCCGGCAGCTTCTGCAGCCCTTCCTCCATTATGGGAATGAAGGCATCATTCCGTTTCTGGGCACAGAGCAGATGCCTTCCAGATTCCCACGAGCCCCAGGGTTGCACGTCAGCCTGGCAGGACTAACGTTTGAGCTCCGTCTCTCTCTCTCTTCACCATAGTTGCTAACCGAAGGGACAGTGTGCCGGGCAGCCGTCTCTGATTGTGATCTGGATGAATACTGTTCGGGGACCTCGGAAACCTGCCCCCCGGATGTCTTCAAGCAAAACGGGATGCCCTGCGGCCTCGACAGCACCTGCTATTCGGGCGTCTGCCTGGACATCCGTCAGCACTGCCAGACGTTCTTCGGCAAAGGCAAGCGGGCTCTTCTCGGCGTCGGAGCAAAATGGAGATGCAGCTGGTGGGAATGGCGGGGTGTGTGTGTGTGTGTGTGTGTGGTTCCAGACCCTCAAGGTAGCTAAGCAGGGTTTGGTCCGGCTGGCATTTGGATGGGGCGATGCCAGCCCATCCCAAGCATTCAAGGCTTGTTTTCATCCTCCAGGTTTGCCCAACTGGCTTCATGCCTAAGGCGGGACTAGAACTCACCATCTCCTGGTGATTGGCCCAGAGTCACCCAGCTGGCTTTTATGCCTAAGGCGGGACTAGAACTCACCGTCTCCTGGTGATTGGCCCTGAGTCACCCAGCTGGCTTTTCTGCCTAAGGCGGGACTAGAATTCACCGTCTCCTGGCGATTGGCCCAGAGTCACCCAGCTGGCTTTTATGCTTAAGGCGGGACTAGAACTCACCATCTCCTGGCGATTGGCCCAGAGTCACCCAGCCGGCTTTTATGCCTAAGGCGGGACTAGAATTCACCGTCTCCTGGTGATTGGCCCAAAGTCACCCAGCTGGCTTTTATGCCTAAGGCGGGACTAGAACTCACCATCTCCTGGCGATTGGCCCAGAGTCACCCAGCCGGCTTTTATGCCTAAGGCGGGACTAGAACTCACCGTCTCCTGGTAATTGGCCCAAAGTCACACAGCTGGCTTTTATGCCTAAGGCGGGACTAGAACTCACCGTCTCCTGGTTTCTGAGCCAGAAATATAAATATATTTCTATATATAAATCTGTATTAAATTTACACATTTATAGACACTGCATAGTTAGATTATGGGTATATTATAGATATAAATACTTACAGATAAATCAGTATCCTCTGTATAAACATTACAAATGCATAAGAATATGTTACTTATACGTAAGGGTGTAGGTCTATGCATATGTTGTATATAGTATGTTTTAAATGTGTTATGTATGTGTGTGCACTTGAGAGCCAGCAACTAAATTTCATCTTCTAAGGTGTGCTATTGTGCGCACAGGAATAAAATGACAATAAAGCTTATCTAATCATTAATAAGCCTTCAGGGAACCTCTGCCTCAATGGGGGGGGGGGTCCAGCTCCATCTGGGTCTTGACTTTTTACCCCCTCCCCCCTTCTACCCCCTGCCCAACCCCTAAATCTTTAGCTGCAAAGCCTGCTCCATTCAGTTGCTACAAGGAGGTGAATTTGCAAGGCGACCGGACGGGTAACTGCGGCCAGGATAGATCCGGATACAAAAAATGCCGAGAAAAGTAAGTGCGTTTGTTGACTCCTACGGGAAGGAGAAAGCAGCCCCAACTAGCAAGTTCCTTGCTTGCATGGAAGGCACATCAGAAGGGTGAAAGAGGGTTTTGATGGTTAGAAGAACTAACCAGTGGAACTACCTGCCTCCAGAAGTTGTGGATGCTGCAACCCTGGAGGTTTTAAAGAAAAGACTGGACAGCCATTGGTCTGGAATGGTAGGGGGGTCTCCTGCTTGAGCAGGGGGCTGGACTAGATGACCTCCAAGGTCCCTTCCAACTCTTGTTATTCTGTTCTCCTTCCTTCCTTCCTTCCTTCCTTCCTTCCTTCCTTCCTTCCTTCTTTTCTTCTCCATCACTGGAGGCTTTTAAGGACAGCCATTTGTCTGAAATGGTAGAGGGTCACCTGCTTGAACAGGGGGTTGGACTAGATGACCTTCATGGTCCCTTCCAACTCTTGTTATTCTGCCTTCCTTCCTTCCTTCCTTCCTTCCTTCCTTCCTTCCTTCCTTCCTTCCTTCCTTCCTTCCTTCCTTCTCCATCACTGGAGGCTTTTTAAGAAGAGACTGGACAGCCATTTGTCTGAAATGGTCCAGGGTCTCCTGCTTGAGCAGGGGGCTGGACTAGATGACCTCCACGGTCCCCTCCAGCTCGGTGATCCCGTTATTCTGACGATGCTTTGGGATGTCAGCTCATCTCTTTCCGATCTCCCAGTTCAGCCCAAATGCTCTTTAAACCGTTGCTTCTATAACCAAAGAAAACCACATTGATAAAACAGATTTAGGCAGGTGTTTTTGACCTTGGCCCCTTTCAGGCGGGTGGACTTCAATTCCCAGGATTCCTCAGTCCGTCTGGACCATTGGGGCAAGTTCCCAAAGGGAGGAACCGAACCCTCTGCCAATGTGTACCTCATTCTGACACCCTATACTGAATTGTGAGGCTAAAGTCTAATGATGCTCTCTTAGTACCCCTCGTCCGCTATTCTCTTTCCAGGTCTTAATAGCCTGAGTTGAAAAGCATTTCAGGAAGACCGTTGTCCACTAAGGTTTTTCCTAGGAGTTCCTCTTTCACTTCTCCCATACTGGGAAATTGGAAAGATGAAAAGAATAGGAGGGTATATCCTCTCTCCTATTTTTAGAAGGACTTGTGGATAGCAGCGCCTGGAGGGAATAAGCAGAAGATCCGGAGCAGTGGACCTCCACGGGCTGGCTGGGTCTGAAGTCCAGGAGAAGGTCTGGGGCTTCAGTCAGTTCATGAAGATGATGATGATGATGATGATGATGATAATAATAATAATAATAATAATAATAATAATAATAATAATAATAATAATAATAATAATAATAGGCTCCTTGGGTGCAATCCCAAAACAACTGGAGCATCACTTGAACACCATTGGCACTGACAAATTCGCTATTAGTCAATTGCAAAAGGCAGCCTTACTAGGAACTGCTTCCATCCTGCACGATATCTGTAATACCATCAAACATCCACATCTGCCTATCCAGGTCCTGGGTAAGGACTCGATAGGTACACAAAATGCCAAATCCAGTCTGAACATCTGGCTGACTGTGCGATGATCAATATCAATAATAATAATAATATCTTCTCCAGTTCTTTCTTGTCTATTCTGCTGTCTCAGTGCCTGGAGACAGCAGAATAGACGAGAAAGAACTGGAGAAGATCACAAAATACAAAGACCTACAAATAGAAATAGAAAGACTGTGGCAAAAGCAAGCAAGGGTAGTACCAATAGTCATAGGCTCCTTGGGTGCAATCCCAAAACAACTGGAGCACCACCTGAACACCATTGGCATTGACAAATTCGCTATTAGTCAATTGCAAAAGGCGGCCTTACTAGGAACTGCTTCCATCCTGCGACGATATCTGTAATACCATCAAACATTCACATCTGCCTATCCCAGGTCCTGGGTAAGGACTCGATAGGTAGACAAAATGCCAAATCCAGTCTGAACATCTGGCTGACTGTGCGATGATCCATAATAATAATAATAATAATAATAATAATAATAATAATAATAATAATAATATGGAAATACATCATCTGAAATAGAATCGCTGCTGAACACTGTCCGTATATATAGCCAAGATATTGGAATGGAGTTTGGCTTGGACAAATGTGCCACACTTACTATCAAACAAGGAAAAATAGTGAAAAATGAAGGAATCAAGATGCCCCACGAAAATAACATTAAGAGTCTGGATGAGGAAGAGTACTACAAATACTTGGGTATCCTTCAAGCTGACAACATCAAGCACAATGAAGTCAAGAAAAAGATTAGAGGTGAATACATCAAGAGAGTGAAGAAGATCTTAAAATCCAAACTCAATGGAGGAAATACCATAAAGGAAATCAACACCTGGGCAATCCCAGTCATTAGGTACACAGCTGGAATAGTGGACTGGACTCAAGCAGAACTAAAAGCAATGGATAGGCAGACCAGAAAAATAATGACAATGAATCATGCCCTTCATCCATGCAGTGACATTGACAGACTTATCTACCAAGGCAAATAGGTGGGCGTGGAATGCTACAAGTACATCAGATGGTTGAAGAAGAAAAAAATGGCTTTGGAAGAATATCTGAAGAACAATGATGAAGATGCACTGAAATTAGTATATCAGGAAGGCTTACTAACTACTGGAGAGACCAAACTGGCCTACAAGAAAGACCAAAGGAAGAACAGAATGGAGGCATGGGAAGACAAAGCACTACATGGCCAATACATGAAAAAAAATAGCTGGGAAAGCAGATAATAATAAAACCTGGCAATGGCTAAGAGCAGGAAAATTGAAGAAAGAGACCGAGGGACTAATTCTGGCTGCACAAGACCAAGCCTTAAGGACAAATGCATACAAAGTCAAAATTGAGAAGACAGCAAAAGACAGTAAGTGCCGCCTCTGCAAAGAAGCTGAAGAAACAGTGGACCACTTGGTAAGCGGTTGCAAGAAGATTGCACAGACTGATTACAAGCAGCGGCATGACAAAGTAGCAACAATGGTGCATTTGAAGATCTGCAAAAAATATCATTTGCCTGTAAGCAAAAACTGGTGGGATCATAAAATAGAGAAAGTCATAGAAAATGATAAAATTAAACTGCTCTGGGACTTCAGCATTCAAACAGACAAGCACCTGCAACATAACACCCCAGACTTAACAATTGTCGATAAGAAAGACAAAAAAGTCTGGATAGTGGATGTGGCAGTGCCTGAGATAGCAGAATAGAAGAGAAAGAACTGGAGAAGATAACAAAATACAAAGACCTACAAATAGAAATAGAAAGACTGTGGCAAAGGCAAGCAAGGGTAGTACCAATAGTCATAGACTCCTTGGGTGCAATCCCAAAACAACTGGAGCACCACTTGAACACCATCATCGGCATTGACAAATTCCCAATCAGTCAATTGCAAAAGGCAGCCTTATTAGGAACTGCTTCCATCCTGCGACGATATCTGTAATACCATCAAACATCCACATCTGCCTATCCCAGGTCCTGGGTAAGGACTCGATAGGTAGACAAAATGCCAAATCCAGTCTGAACATCTGGCTGACTGTGCGATGATCCATAATAATAATAATAACAATGTTGGAAGGGACCTTGGAGGTCATCTAATCCAACCCCCTGTTCAAGCAGGAAACCCTACACCATTTCAGACAAATGGCTGTCCAGTCTCTTCTTAAAAACTTCCAGTGTTGGAGCATTTGGGCGGTTTTAGGGGTGGGGAATTGTGGTGGGTGGGAGTGTGTTTGGGGATTATGTGTGTGAGACCTGGTCTTTGGGTGTCACGTAAATTTCGTTGTATGTCTGTACTGTGTATACACATACAATGACAATAAAGTTTTATTTATTTATTTATTTTATTTACCGCTTCTGGAGGCAGGTGGTTCCACTGGTTAATTGTTCTCACTGTCAGGAAGTTTCTCCTTAGTTCCAGGTTGCTTCTCTCCTTGATGAGTTTCCATCCGTTGCTTCTTGTCCTGCCTTCAGGCGCTTTGGAGAATAGCTTGACTCCCTCTTCTTTGGGGCAGCCCCTGAGATAATGGAAGACTGCTATTGTGTCCCCCCTCATCCTTCTCTTTGTTAAACTAGACATCCCCAATTCCAGCAACCATTCTTCATATGTTTAGCCTCCAGTCCCCTGATCCTCTTTGTTGCCCTTCTCTTTACTCATTCGAAAGAGACCCATTTGCAAATTTGTAACTGAAATTCTGAAACCCTTTGTTTGAATGGTGAGATTAAAGTCTAATTATGCACTCTTATTACCCCCTGTCCACTCTTCTCTTTCAAGGCCTTAATAGCCAGATTTAGGGAATTTAAGGAAGGCCTTTCTCTTCTAAGATTTTTTTTCCTAGGGGTTTCTCCATACAGGAAAAGTTGGAAAAATAAATGAAAAGTAGGAAAGTAGACTCTCCCCTCTTCTATCTAAAAAGAGTGTCCTTCATTGATTACTCCTAAGTCCCCATTTTTTTTTTCAGTCTTGGGCAACTTTATGATGGGTGGACTTCAACTCCCAGAATTCAATTCTCGGAGTTGAGATCCACCCATACTGGCTGGCGAATCCTGGGAGCTGAAGTCCACTCACGGTGCTTGGGGAATTCTGGGAGTTGAAGTCCACATGTCCTGGCTGAGGAATTCTGGGAGTTGAAGTCCACATGTCCTGGCTGAGGAATTCTGGGAGTTGAAGTCCACATGTCCTGGCTGGGGAATTCTGGGAGTTGAAGTCCACCCATGCTGGCTGGGGAATTCTGGGAGTTGAAGTCCACATGTCCTGGCTGGGGAATTCTGGGAGTTGAAGTCCACCCATGCTGGCTGGGGAATTCTGGGAGTTGAAGTCCACTTATGCTGCCTGGGGAATTCTGGGAATTAAAGTCCACCTATGCTGGCTGGGGAATTCTGGGAGTTGAAGTCCACATGTCCTGGCTGGGGAATTCTGGGAGTTGAAGTCCACAAGTCCTGGCTGGGGAATTCTGGGAGTTGAAGTTCACTTATGCTGGCTGGGGAATTCTGGGAGTTGAAGTCCACAAGTCCTGGCTGGGGAATTCTGGGAGTTGAAGTCCACATGTTCTGGCTGGGGAATTCTGGGAGTTGAAGTCCACCCATCTTAAAGTTGCCAAGGTTGAAAAGTACCGATTTAGGTTCTCCAGCTGCTAAGTTCGTTCCTCCTCCGTATTTCCAGCTAGAGATGGGAGAACTTTCTTTTTAGGCTCCCTCTAGGTGCAGAAGGAAGTCTAGTTCCTTCTTTCCCAACCTGAAGATCAGCTCCCGACCCAGACAAGGTTTTGCTCCCTCTAAAAGCCACCAGAAGCCCATCGGGGGTCTTCAAGGGTCTCCTTGCCTGCCTGTCTTTCTTCTCAGAGATGCGTCTTGCGGAAGGCTCCAGTGCACTAACGTCCATAAAATTCCCAGAATTCCCCCGGGCTTCTCCATCCTCCAGACGCCCGTCGAAGAAGGGCTGTGCTGGAGTATCATCTCTCCCCAGCGGGATGATGGGAACGATGACGGAGCAGCGAAAGAGGGCTCTTCCTGTGGTCCCCGCAAGGTCAGAGGAGGGAGGGTTCGGGTGCAGAGAGGGCAGAGGGACAGGACGTGGACAGCTAGCCCGGAACAGAGTCGGCTTTGCCAGGAGAAGAGAGAGAGTGGCTGGCACTCCAGTGCCCCTCCATGTTCTGTGCCAGGGGCCTGCGACCTTGGCCCCCTTTCAGACTGGTGGACTTCAACTCCCATGCCTGGCTGGCTGAGGAATTCTGGGAGTTGAAGTCCACCGATGTCAATGCTGCAAATACTGTATATTCTTGCTTTGACAATATGCAAAACTGTTGGGCATTTATTGGGTTAATACTTAGCTTAGACTGGGCGGGGGGAAAAAAGCCCGGGAAAGAAAGAGGAAGTAAACTTTTGACCTTCTCACTAATTGGATAATGTGACCTGTGACTGCATGAGAGGGAGGGGTTGAGCAAGGAAAGCTTGATGCCAGCCACCGGAAGTTCAGATTCTGGCATCAATTAGTCCAATGTTGACCGGCATAATTTGTAGCTCTGCAAATAAAGACTTTAGGAAACATGCCTGAAAGTTCTTTGAAGTGCTTCATTAGTCGGAACTTGTGACATCATGCCAGAATCCAACACTCTTTTCAAACGATCTACGTCCCGATCTATCAACAGTAGCCTCGGGGGAGATCTCATTATGGAGAAAAAAAAATTGCCTGAAACCAGCCCCGTAGCTGCAACAGTCTCCCCGGGGGGGGGGAAGCGACAGCCAGCAAGCCGGGGGAGAGAGAAATTTGGCAGATTTCCCAGCTGAGAGCGAAGACTTCAAAAGCAGAATGGACAGATAACACAGTTATGGGTGAGTCGTTGAAAAGATTTCAAAACTTAGAAATGAGAAACAGAAAACAGTCCCTACAAAGTGAAACCTTCATCCCTAAGAGAGAGAATCCCAGTTTGAATCCTCTGCAGCAAAGGGGAAATTGGGTTCCCCAGCAAGTGGCTGATCCATGTCCTCTGAACTTACCACAGCCAACAAAGGCCTTGCAATGCCTTGGGGTGGTACAGAAGCCAGGAAATCAGCAGCTGGGGGGAGAACAGCCACAGCAAGGAGGTTGGCCACAGCCCCCAAACGTGCAAACCCTGGGCATAAATCTGCAGCCAGGTTGGGGCCTACAGCAACTGGGGTGGCCACAAGAGCGATGGGGAGCCCAGCAGGAAGCCTGTCAGACCCTGCCTTTGCCAACCAGAGACCCCAACCCTGAAGAGAGGGTGAGTTCCAGTCTGAGGCATCTGCAGCAATGGGTAGATGGGTTTCCCCAGCAGATGGATGATCAGCAGCAGCCATGGAACCAGCCCCAGTGGGGGCCACAGCAGCCTGTGTTTGCACCACCCTTCAATGCAACGTTTGATGGGGACCCAGAGAAGCTGATTTTTTTCCTCACCCAAGTGCGTTCTCATCTAAATCGCTGGGCCTATCTCTATCCGGAACCAGGGGCCATGGTTGACGTCATTGGGGCCAACCTAGAGGGAGAAGCATCTGAATGGCTGAACAATCTATATAGCGAGCAAGCCCCCGAATTGGAAGATCCTCATCTCTTTCTCTTAGGACTGAGAGAACGATTTGAAGACCCATCCATCGGCCTCAAAGCAGCAGGACAAATTCACAAAATAAAACACGCGGGGAGGCCTGCCCTAGAGTACGTGCGAGAGTTCCGCAAGATGGCAGGGCGAATAGAGGGGTGGCCTGAGCAGTCCCTCATCCATCACTTCATCGAGGGATTAGATGATCACCTCTCCCAGGCTTGCATCTATCGAGAAGTACCTGATCGGCTGCAGGAGTGGTACCAGACGGCCGTGAAGCTGGATGTTAAGCTCTCTCGCTATAAAAAGCCTCCCCCACAGGAACCCGAACAGCAACCAGAGCTACCTGAACAGCAATCACCCCCACGAAAGCCTTCAACCACTGCAAGGGCTGAGAGACCCAGGCCACCTGCACGCCCTTCCTTTGAGTGTTTCCGGTGTGGACAAGGAGGACACCGAGCGGCCACCTGTCCAGTCCCCTACCCTCGACTGCAGAGCAAGCCAGGACCGGCGATGCAAAAGAAACCTGCTCAGCGGCTACCAAGAGAAAAATCTAATCGACTCACGCAAGAACCAGTCGCCCAGGTTACACCCCACACACAGGAGAATGCCAAGACTCCAGGTGGACCTGCCCCTGCCCTTCCCTTCTTTGATAGCGACGATGAAGGAGAAAACGACCCAATGGTGAGTCAACAAATCCTGCCTTTTTCACTGCCCGCCAAGCTCGTAATCCCTACGTCTGGGGCACAAATAGACTTAAACGTACTAATTGATTCGGGATGTACCCGCTGCATTATTAGTCTGGCGTTTGCCATGAAAATGGGCATAAGGGCAAAACAGCTTTCCAAACCGATGAGATTTGAGCAAGCCGATGGCTCCCTGATGGGAGGGACTCTTATTACACAAATAACTGAGCCTTTACGCCTAGAAATAGGTGCACACTGGGAGTTTATTCGTTTCCTGGTGGCTCCAAAGATGACCGAGGCAGTGATCCTGGGACTAGCCTGGTTGGACAAATGGAAGCCATTTATCTGGTGGGAGAAAGGAATGAGAATTGTGAGACTACCTATAGGGCCTGATCCCCCCATTGATTCAACAGATGTTACCGGGCATCTTAGGCCACCCAATGAGCGAGCGCACATGGCCGTCTCACTGACCCCAGGTGAACCAAAGAATACTTGGACCTGGCGGAGGTGTTCAGTGAAAAAGAATGTGATGCCCTACCCCCTCACAGACCCAATGACTGCTCCATCGAACTGGTGCCCGGAGCCAAACTCCCACGTCCGAGGATGTATGCTATGTCCCCCCTCGAAATGGAGGAGATGCAGCGATATGTGAACAAGAACCTAGCGAGGGGGTTTATTGAACGGGCCAAATCTTCCGTGGGAGCCCCTGTGTTGTTCAAAGAGAAAAAAGATGGGTCTCTTCGTCTCTGCGTAGACTACAAGGGACTCAATGCTGTAAGTGTGGAAAATAAATACCCCCTCCCCCTCCTAAAGGATTTATTGACCCACCTGGCTAAGGGGAGTGTCTTCACTAAGTTAGACCTAAGAGAGGCATACTACCGGGTGAGAATAAAAGAGGGAGACGAGTGGAAAACTGCCTTCAACTGTCCAATGGGGAGCTATCAGTTCAAAGTCATGCCATTTGGACTACAGGGGGCCCCAGCCGTATTTATGCAGTTGATTAATGAGGTTCTACATGATCACTTGTACAAAGGGGTTTTGGTGTATCTTGATGATATCCTGATATACAGCACAAACATGAATGATCACATAAAACTAGTGAGAGAAGTGTTAAAGAAACTATTGAATGCCAAGCTTTATGTCAAATTGTCAAAATGTGAATTTCACCGAACCCAATTAGACTATCTTGGCTACCGAATTTCCAATGAGGGTATTGAAATGGATCCGGCCAAGGTAAAAACTATAATCGAATGGCAACCCCCAAGGACTCGCAAACAGCTCCAAAGCTTTCTGGGTTTTGCCAACTTTTATCGTCAATTCATCCCTTCTTTTGCCGAGATTGCCCTTCCTCTTACAGAACTACTCAAAACAGGCAAAGGAGGCGGGAAGCCACGACCGGGCCAACCACTAGCATGGACAATGAGCTGTCAAACAGCTTTTGAGAATTTAAAGAGACTATTTGCCGCTGAACCGGTTCTAAAGCACCCCTGCCCAGGAGAACCCTTTGTGATTCAAGCCGATGCCAGCGATGTGGCGGTTGGAGCAGTGTTACTTCAAAAGAACAAAAATGGGATCCTGCAACCCTGTGCCTACACCTCTAAGAAATTCACTGAGAGCGAGCGAAGATGGGCAATCTGGGAGAAAGAGGCCTTCGCAATTAGGTGGGCGCTATTGAACTGGCGACACTATCTAGAAGGGAGCAAGGTGCCATTTGAGGTATGGACTGATCACAAGAACCTAGAGGCACTGAAAACTCCTCGCAAATTGTCACCAAAGCAAGTACGGTGGGCACAGTACTTTAACCGCTTCAACTTCACTCTAAAGTACATACCAGGAGGAAAGAACTTTCTAGCTGATGCGCTATCCCGGTTACCCCAGTACAAAAGTGAGCGAGAGCAGGTTAACGAGGCAATTATTCCCAATCCACAAACTGTCACTCAACTTACACCTCGCAGGGTCCCCAATCCGGATGACCCTGGAGTGAAGAAAATAAAACGAGAGCTCCTCACTGACCAATGGTTCAAAGATAATCAATCGTCCCTAACATGCAGAGATGGCTTGGCATACAAAGGGGGGAAGTTATATTTGCCAGAAGCGCTCCGTCTTAATGCTCTCAACCACAGCCACGATGTAAAGCAAGCTGGACACTTCGGATATTTGAAAACCCTACACCTCACCCGCCGGCAATTCTGGTGGCCGGGGCTGAAAAAGGATGTGGAAAACTATGTAAAAAGTTGTACAGTATGTGCTACAATGAAAAGAATCCCGGGGAAAACTCCTGGGTTACTGCAACCCGTGGCGGACCCTTCTCAACCCTGGGAAGAAATAGCTATGGACTTTATAGTGGACCTACCTGAAAGTAAGGGAAATACTGTCATTTGGACTGTGATAGACCTGTTCTCGAAACAAGCTCATTTCATCGCCTGCAAAGGACTCCCATCCGCCCAACGCCTGGCCAAATTGTTCCTGAAACATATCTACCGGCTGCATGGTGCCCCTAAGCGAATAATCTCAGACAGGGGGGTGCAATTCACAGCGAAGTTTTGGAGAAATTTCCTTACATTGATTGGATCATCTCAAGGGTTATCATCTGCTTTTCATCCAGCCACCAATGGGGCCGCTGAAGCCGCTAACAAAATGGTGGAGCAATATCTTAGGTGCTACGTTTCCTACCAACAGACGAACTGGACTGATCTCCTCCCTTTTGCGGAGGTGGCATACAATAATTCCGTGCACAGCAGCACCGGCTACACGCCTTTCAAAGTAGCCACAGGGAAAGAATTCAACCCAATACCTGAATATCCTCAGTTGCCCTCCGCTTCACAGACACTTGGGGTGAGAGGGTGGGAAGAAGTTTGGAAAAACACAAAAACTGCGTTAAAAAAGACTTTTGAAACCTATAAAAAGCAGGCTGATAAAAAGAGGGCTCCCCAAAGAACATTCCAAGTTGGGGAAAAGGTCTATCTGTCAACTAAATATCTACGCCTCAAATTGCCCAGCAAGAAATTGGGACCAAAATTCTTGGGGCCTTTCCCCATAGTAAAGGTCATCAACCCAGTCACAGTACAACTAAAGCTCCCTAAACTGTTAGGGAAAATTCACCCAGTTTTCCATTGTAGTTTGTTGAAGCCTTATCGGGGCTCCACTTTGAGACCTCCTCCAAAGAAGGCACCTGGACCCCTCGTAGTGGCAGGGCAGACCCACTATGAAGTGAAACGTATTCTTGACTCCAGAATCTTTAGAGGGAAATTACAGTACTTGGTACAATGGAAGGGATACCCATTGTCTGAAGCCACCTGGGTGAAATCTAGTGAAGTGAACGCTGACAGATTGATCGAAAAGTTTCATATGAAACACCCCAGCAAACCGAAAGATAACCCTTAACAAATGCTTTTGTTTTCCTTACAGGATCTGTCCTTCTTGTAAGGGGGGCCGGATGTCAATGCTGCAAATACTGTATATTCTTGCTTTGACAATATGCAAAACTGTTGGGCATTTATTGGGTTAATACTTAGCTTAGACTGGGCGGGGGAAAAAAGCCCGGGAAAGAAAGAGGAAGTAAACTTTTGACCTTCTCACTAATTGGATAATGTGACCTGTGACTGCATGAGAAGGGAGGGGTTGAGCAAGGAAAGCTTGATGCCAGCCACCGGAAGTTCAGATTCTGGCATCAATTAGTCCAATGTTGACCGGCATAATTTGTAGCTCTGCAAATAAAGACTTTAGGAAACATGCCTGAAAGTTCTTTGAAGTGCTTCATTAGTCGGAACTTGTGACACCAGTCTTAAAGGGGCCATAGTTCCCCCATGTTGGCTGAGGAATTCTGGGAGTTGAAGTCCACGAGTCATGAAGGGGCCATAATTTCCCTATGCTGGCTGAGGAATTCTGGGAGTTGAAGTCCACCACTCATGAAGGGGCCAAAGTTTCCCCCATGTTGGCTCAGGAATTCTGGGAGTTGAAGTCCACGAGTCATGAGGGGGCCATAGTTCCCCCATGCTGGCTCAGGAATTCTGGGAGTTGAAGTCCATGAGTCATGAAGGGGCCAGTTCCCCCATGCTGGCTCAGGAATTCTGGGAGTTGAAGTCCACGAGTCATGAGGGGGCCATAGTTCCCCCATGCTGGCTCAGGAATTCTGGGAGTTAAAGTCCATGAGTCATGAGGGGGCCATAGTTCCCCCATGCTGGCTCAGGAATTCTGGGAGTTGAAGTCCACAAGTCTTAAAGGGGCCATAGTTCCCCCATGCTGGCTCAGGAATTCTGGGAGTTGAAGTCCACAAGTCTTAAAGGGGGCCAAGGTCGGAGGTCCCTGGCACAAAACATGGAGGGGACTCCTCTGCCATCTGGAGCCGGGGCCGATCAAGTGGGCCACCAAGCCACCTTTTCTGCCACCACAGTAGGATCACCATGGCCACCAGTACCGAGGCCTACCTTGAACCCTTGGGTGGAATTAACTCTTTTTTAAAGAACAGAAGCAGACATATTTATTTATTTATTTATGAAACTTATATACCGCTTTAAGTGCAAGCACTCTCTAAGCGGTGTACACCAGTAAGCAATGTATATATATATATATTTACATTGCCCCCCACAATCTGGGTCTCTCTCTCTCTCTCTCTCTCTCTGCCTTTTTTACTTTCTCCCTTTTTGTCTCCTTTTCTTTTGTCTGTTTTTCTCTCTATTTCTCTTTCTATTTTGTCTTTCTCTCTCTCCCTTTCTTTTTTCTCTCTTCCTCATTCTCTCCTCTCTTTCCTTTCTCTCTTTCTATTTCTCTCTCTCCCTTTCTTTTTTCTCTCTTCCTCATTCTCTCCTTCCTCTCTCTCTCTTTCCCTCCTTTCTTTCTCTCTTTCTCTTTCTCTCTCTCTCTCTCCCTTTCTTTGTTCTTTTGCTTTCTTTTTCTCCCTTTCTCTCCCTTTCTTTTCTCTCTCTCTCTTTCCCTGCTTTTCTTTCTTTCTCTCTATTTCTTTCTTTGTTTTTCTCTCACCCTTTCTTTTTTCTCTTTTCCTTTCTTTCCCTTTCCCTCCCTTTCTTTCTTGTCTCTCTTTCTCTCCTTTCTCTCTCGTTCCCTTCTTTCTCTTTCTCTCTCTATTTCTTTCTTTGTCTTTCTCTCTTTCTCTCCCTTTCTTTTTTCTCTCTCTCTTTCCCTCTTCTTTCTCTTTCTCTCTCTATTTCTTTCTTTCTCTTTCTCTTCCTGCTCAGGCAGGAAACCCTATACCATTTCAGAAAAATGGCTGTCCAGTCTCTTCTTAAAAGGCCAGTTGTGCTCATAAATTTGAAGTCCACGAGTCATGAAGGGGCCATAGTTCCCCCATGCTGGCTGAGGAATTCTGGGAGTTGAAGTTCCCGAGTCATGAAGGGGCCATAGTTCCCCCATGCTGGCTGAGGAATTCTGGGAGTTGAAGTCCACGAGTCATGAAGGGGCCATAGTTCCCCCATGCTGGCTGAGGAATTCTGGGAGTTGAAGTCCACCAGTCATGAAGGGGGCCATAGTTCCCCCATGCTGGCTCAGGAATTCTGGGAGTTGAAGTTCCCGAGTCATGAAGGGGCCATAGTTCCCCCATACTGGCTCAGGAATTCTGGGAGTTGAAGTCCACGAGTCATGAAGGGGCCATAGTTCCCCCATGCTGGCTGAGGAATTCTGGGAGTTGAAGTCCACGAGTCATGAAGGGGCCATAGTTCCCCCATGCTGGCTGAGGAATTCTGGGAGTTGAAGTCCACCAAACATAAAAGAGCCAAGGTTGCCTACCCTGGTGTAGCCCATCGATGGATCCCTCACTCAATCCCTCCCGATGCTTTTCTGTTTCCAGATATGCATAAACCGATCGTGTGAAGAGATGAAAGTTTTGAATTACGATTGCGATGTTTCCAAGTGTAACAACCAGGGGGTAAGTAACAAAGAGCTGGACCCCCGTGAAAAGGTTTGGGTAGCAGAAATGGGTGCATTGTTTAGCCCCTTTCGTGACCCAACTAGGTAACATCACCAGTGCTAGAAGGGAGGGGAGAAGTAGTACTATTACAGCACTGATACAGCTCTGATCACGTTCCCTGTTTGGGTAATGAGATGTCTACCAAAAGCAACCAAGCACGGAGAGCAACAAGGACCTTAGAGTCCTCCTCCTCCTTCGTCCTTCTTCTTCCTTCGTCCTCCTTTGTCGTTGTCATTGTCGTCGTCGTCCTCCTCCTCCTCCCCCTCCTCCTCCTCCTCCTCCTAAATCCCAGTCCCTTTTAGCACTGATATTGTCCCCCAGTTGGGTCATTTATTTATTTTATTTATTTATTTATTTTATGAGACTTATATACCGCTTTAAGTGCAAGCACTCTCTAAGCGGTGTACACCAGTAAGCAATGTGTATATATATTTACATTGCCCCCCCCCCCAACAATCTGGGTCCTCATTTTACCTACCCCGGAAGTCTGGAAGGCTGAGTCAACCTTGAGCCGGTGAGATTTGAACCGCTGACCTGCTGAACACAGTCAGCTAAAGTGGCCTGCAGTACTGCACTCTCACTGCTGCGCCACCTCGGCTCTTAGTTGGGTCATGAAACGTCTGCAAGGAAACCACCCAGCTCAGAGGGCACTAAATACCCCACAGTGGTATTCCTCCTCCTGCTCCTGCTCCTCCTGCTCCTAATGCTCCTCCTCCTCCTGCTCCTCCTCTTTCTCCTCTTTGCAAACGCCACTCCCTTTAGCATTGATGATATTACTTAGTTGGGTCATGAAACGTCTGCAAGAAAACCACCCAGCTTAGAGAGCACCAAGGACCCCACAGTCAGTCTTTCTTTCTTTCTTCCTTCCTTGCTTTCTTTCATTCTTTCTTTCTTTCTTTCTTTCCTTCCTTCCTTCCTTCCTTCCTTCTCCTCCTTCTCCTTCCTTCCTTCCTAATGATGTCACCTAGTTGGGTCATGAAACATCTGCAAGAAAACCACCCAGCTCAGAGAGCACAGTCTGTCCTTCCTTCCTTCCTTCCTTCCTTCCTTCCTTCCTTCCTTCCTTCCTTCCTTCCTTCCTTCCTTCCTTCCTTCTCCCCCTTTCTTTCTTTTCTTCCTTCTTTCCTTCTTCCTTTCCTTCCTTCCTTTTCTTTCCTTCCTTCTCTCCCTTCTCTCCCTTTCCTTTCTTCCTTCTCTCTTCTTCCTTTTCTTCCTTCCCTTCCTCCTTCCTTCCTTTCCTTCCTTCCTTCCTTCCTTCCGTCTTCTCCTCCCTTCTAGCACTAATGATGTCACCTAGTTGGGTCATGAAACGTCTGCAAAAAACCCACCCAGCTCAGGGAGCACCCAGGACCCCACAGTCTGTCTTTCCTTCCTTCCTTCCTTCCTTCCTTCCTTCCTTCCTTCCTTCCTTCCTTCCTTCCTTCCTTCCTTCCTTCCTTCCTTCTTTCCTTCCTTCCTTCCTTCCTTCTCCTCCTCCCTCCCTCCCTCCCTCCCTCCCTTCCTTCCTTCCTTCCTTCCTTCCTTTCTTCTTCTTCCTCCTCCTCCCCCTCCCTTCTAGCACTGATGATGTCCCCTAGTTGGGTCATGAAACGTCTGCAAAAAACCCACCCAGCTCAGGGAGCACCCAGGACCCCAGACTCCGAGGATTCTTCTCCCAGAAAAGGGAAAACACCCTTCTTGGCTGCTCACCCCCTTGATGCATTTTCAGGTCTGCAACAGCAAAACCAACTGCCACTGCAGCTACGGATGGGCCCCCCCTCACTGCAGCGGCCGCGGTTTCGGGGGAAGTGTCGACAGCGGCCCGGCTCCTGAGCGCGTCAGTAAGTACCCCAGAACCCCCCGTTCTTTTTCTCCTCCTTGGCTGCCCCCACCATCATCTCAAGGATGGACGTCTGGAACAACATGACAGGGAGTCCTCAACTTACGACCACAATTGATACAGCGGCTAGGTGAATCACCGCCGTCGTTAAGGCAGTCACACGGTCGTTAAATGAGCCTGACTTCCCCCATTGACGTTGCCCGTCAGAAGGGGATCCTGTGGGACACCCCCCCCCCCGGGACGCCGCAACCCCGTCATAAATACGAGTCAGTTGGCAAGCGCCGGAATTTTGATCACGTGACCCTGGAGATGCCACGACGGTCTTAAGTGTGAAAAGCTCATAAATCACTTTTTTTTCAATGCTGGTGTAAATTTGAACAGTCACTAAACGAACCGCCGTAAGTTTATATCGTCATAGCTTCGGTTTTTCTCGCTGTATTTATTATTGTTACAATTTTGTAAAGAAATACAAGAAGTGGACCCTTGTCGTCGTGATCTCTGCAATCGTGTTTGCCAGTCTGTCTCTAACAGTAGACTGGTACGTCCTCGGCTTACAGCGGTTCATTTAGTGACAGTTCAGTTACACCGGTGCTGAAGCTGCCGTTGCTTGTAGGCCGAGGACTATCGTAATGGCTATTTGCTGAGAATTTGGGGGATTGTGGTCCAAATATCAAGAGGGGACCAGACTGGGGATGACCCAGAAGAGGAATAGGCCACCTGGGCTCTTTTATGACTGGTGGACTTCAACTCCCAGAATTCCTGAGCCAGCCATGCTGAGGGGAAAGGGAGAGGCTTCCAAACTGAGCCAGGCTGGCTCAGGAATTCTGGGAGTTGAAGTCCGCAAGTCATGAAGGGGCCATAGTTCCCCCATGCTGGCTGAGGAATTCTGGGAGTTGAAGTCCACAAGTCATGAAGGGGCTAAACTTTCCCCCATGCTGGCTCAGGAATTCTGGGAGTTGAACTCCAAAAGTCATGAAGGGGCCATAGTTCCCCCATGTTGGCTCAGGAATTCTGGGAGTTGAAGTCCACGAGTCATAAAAGAGCCAAGGTTGCCTACCCCTGACCCAGAAGATCAATCCATGCAGCCTTCTGGCTGCTGCTGCTTCTACCTGTAACTTGGTCCTGAGGTCACCGTAGAGCAGTGTTTCCCAAACTTGACAATTTTAAGGCATGAGGACTTCAACTCCCAGAATTCCACATCCAGCGTTGCTGGCTGTGGAATTCTGGGAGTTCAAGTCCTCATGACTTAAAATTGTCAAGTTTGGGAAACACTGCCCTAGAGGTCAGAAGCTCACCTGTTTTTGCTGCTCTCTTCCAGAATCAAAAAAAACCTTGATGCTGGGTTCGATTATCGGAGTGGCATTGCTTCTTCTGGCCCTCACGGCGATGCTGAAGAAGTTCCTACCCATGTGGTAAGTAGGACCATCCTGGCCCAAGCCACTTTTTTCTTGTCTTGAGAGAAGAGGGGAAGTATTGTGGTGGTTTGCTAAGAAGAAGGATGGAAAAAAAAAAAACAAGGGGTTTTTCCTCCCAATTCTTTCTCTCTTCCGTCTCAAAAGCAGCGCGGCTTGGAGGACCGAGCATCTCTTGTTGCTTCATCCATTTCAGATGGACTGGAGAAAGATGGTCCTGCCTCACAAACTGGTGATCGAAGGGTAGGCAAAGAAGCAACACAAAATGGTCTTCGGTTTTTATGTGGTGGACAACCAGGGTTAGAATCGACAGCGGGGAGATGGCAGAAGCTGACTACAGACTAGGGCTTGACAGAAGGGTTCTGAAGAAGATGCTTGGAGAAGCTTCTTAGAGAAGATGCTCAGATACCCAAAAGTCTCTGTGCCACCAAAGATCAGAACAAGACAAGCTGTTCTGTGCAGTCTACTTTGGGACGCCTGCGAGTCCCCTGGACTGCAAGGCGATCCAACCGGTCAGTCCTGGAGGAGATCAACCCCGACTGCTCTTGAGAAGGCCAAATCCTGAAGTGGAAACTCAAGGACTTTGGCCACCTAATGAGAAGGAAGGATTCACTGGAGAAGAGCCCAATGCTGGGAAAGATGGAGGGCAAGAGAAGAAGGGGACGACAGAGAAGGAGGTGGCTGGAGGGAGTCATGGAAGCAGTAGGCGTGAGCTTCAATGGACTCCAGAAGATGGTAGAGGACAGGAAGGCCTGGAGGAACGTCGTCCATGGGGTCGTGATGGGTCAGACACGACTTCGCAACTAACAACAACAATGGAAGTGAATGTTGGACTCTGAAGAAGCAGGAGAGAAAGAAGATGGAGGGGTTTGATCTTTGAGGTTGGAGAAGACTCCTGAGAAGACCTCTTCCTCCTCCCTTCTAGCACTGATGATGTCACCTAGTCAGGTCATGAAACATGTGCAAGAAAACCACCAAGGTCAGAGAGCACCAAGGACCTCATAGTCTGTCTTTCCTTCTTTCCTTCCTTCCTTCTTCCTCTTCCTCCTCCTCCTCCCTTCTAGCACTGATGATGTCACCTAGTTGGGTCACAAAATGTCTCCAAGAAAACCACCCAGCTCAGAGAGCACCAAGGATCCCACAGTCCTTCCTTCCTTCCTTCCTTCCTTCCTTCCTTCCTTCCTTCCTTCCTTCCTTCCTTCCTTCCTTCCTTCCTTCCTCCCTTCTAGCACTGATGATGTCACCTAATTGGATCATAAAACGTCTCCAAGAAAAACACCAAGCTCAGAGAGCACCAAGGACCCCATAGTCTGTCTGTCTTTCTTTCTTTCTTTCTTTCTTTCTTTCTTTCTTTCTTTCTTTCTTTCTTTCTTTCTTTCTTTCTTTCTTTCTTTCCTTCCCTCCCTCCCTCCCTCTCTCCTTCCTCCTCCCTTCTTTCCTTTCTTCCTTCTTCACTGATGATGTCACGTAGTTTCATCACGAAACGTCTCCAAGAAAACCACCAAGCTCAGAGAGCACCAAGGACCCCATAGTCTGTCCTTCCTTCCTTCCTTCCTTCCTTCCTTCCTTCCTTCCTTCCTTCCTTCCTTCCTTCCTTCCTTCCTTCCTTCCTTCTAGCAATGATGATGTCACCTAGTTGGGCCATAAAACATCTGCAAGAAAACCAAGCTCAGAGAGCATCAAGGACCCCTTCCTAAATAATGGAGCATGCAGGAACGGAGCTGGTCTTGAAATTTGAGGAGCCTTCTCCCTGAGAATTCCACTCAAGTGGACAGGAAATCCCCCCCACCCCTTTAAATGGCCAAGAGATTCCACCAACACCCCCCAAAATGAGGATGAAGGTCCTTCAGGAGATGGAGGAGATAAACCAGCCATGAATATATTTCTCCAGCCTCATATCGTTGCTGACCTAACACCTTTGGCTTCCATGATCTGCTCGATGGAAGTCCCACCACACTTTCTCTCTCCTGCAGGATTAGATACGGAGGATTGCTCAGGCAAAAAGTCTCTCCAGAACCCATGGATTCGGCTTTTGAAAGCACCGTGAGTATCTTCTCCTCAAGGGTTGTCTCCCCAAGCTTCTCCATTCCTTTGAGAAGCCTAGGCTTCTGAAAAGGGCCAAGGTTTGGAGATATCATCCCACCTTGGAGCATCAGTCCATGAGTCGTATCATCCCTCCAGGTGGGGATGGAAGAACAGCAGGAGAACCCGCCCCCCCAAACTGTCCTGACTGGAGAACCGCAGAACTTGGAGATGCTGGCCCAAAAGCTGGAAGCTCCTCCACGGCTGGTCTAGCAGACCTTCGCCATGACTTGAGTCACTAAGCGGACGGAGGTCCAGAGCAGTGGACCTCCATGGGGTGCTAGGGCTTGAAGTCCAGGAGAGGGGCTGGGCCAGAGGTAGGCAACCTTGGCGCTTTTATGACTGGTGGGCTTCAATTCCCAGAATTCCTGAGGGGAAAGGGAGAGGTTTCCAAGCTGAGCCGTGCTGGCTCAGGAATTCTGGGAGCTGAAGTCCACGAGTCATGAAGGGGCCATAGTTCCCCCATGCTGGCTGAGGAATTCTGGAAGTTGGTCCACGAGTCATGAAGGGGCCAAAGTTCCCCCACGCTGGCTCAGGAATTCTGGGAGTTGAAGTCCACAAGTCATGAAGGGGCCATAGTTTCCCTCATGCTGGCTCAGAATTCTGGGAGTTGAAGTCCACAAGTCATGAAGGAGCCAAAGTTTCCCTCATGCTGGCTCAGAATTCTGGGAGTTGAAGTCCACAAGTCATGAAGGGGCCATAGTTCCCCCATGCTGGCTCAGGAATTCTGGGAGTTGAAGTCCACAAGTCAGAAAGGGGCCATAGTTTCCTCATGCTGGCTCAGGAATTCTGGGAATTGAAGTCCACGAGTCATGAAGGGGCCATAGTTCCCCCATGCTGGCTCAGGAATTCTGGGAATTGAAGTCCACGAGTCATGAAGGGGCCATAGTTTCCTCATGCTGGCTCAGGAATTCTGGGAATTGAAATCCCCGAGTCATGAAGGGGGCCATAGTTCCCCCATGCTAGCCCAGGAATTCTGGGAGTTGAAGTCCTCAATTCATAAAGAGGCCATAGTTTCCCCATGCTGGCTCAGGAAAGTGACTTATGACCATTTCTCACACTTACGACCGTTGCAGCATCTCCATAGTAACGTGATCAAAATTCAGATGCTTGGCAATTGGCATATAGTGACAGTTTTGGTGTCCCATGGATCCTGTGATCCCGTTTCAGGACCTTCTGACAAGCAATGCCAACGGGGGAAACCGGATTCACTTAATAACTGACTTGATGGCTTAACAACTCTGGCGAGTCACCAAATTGCGATGAGCAAGGTCATAAAACGGGGCAAAACTGACTTACTAACTTGCTTAGCAGCAGAAATTTTGGGCTCAATTGTGGTTGTTAAGTCAAGGACTCCCCCCCCCCCCACTCACAACGTAACACTATCGACGATCCGCATGGATGTATCCGGCTGTTTTGAGTGACAGATTTCCCCCTTTTTAGGGATCAGTAGCAGAATCGATGGAGTCCACGGAAGCGTCGGCAGGGAAAGATCCGATCCCGCATCGGATCTGAATTGGGATCGTTTGGTTTGTTGGATGATTCTGCCCCCCCCCCTCCCAGCCCTTTACACCTTGACGGACAGTGTCCCTTTTCACTTGGGGCTTCTCAACCGTGAATTGATCCGGAACTCCAGAAAGAAAACCTGTATAAAATATTAGCCACGAATGCCGTCCGAATGTCGGTTGCTTTTTTTCACGCCCCCCACCCCCTTCATTTCCCGGGGGGGGGGGAAACTAAAGACCAAGTAAGATACTTTCCAGCCCCAGATGTTGGGGGGAACTGGAAGGAATTGCTTAGATTAGATAAGCCAGAGGGTTGACTCTGGGCCAATCACCAGGAGATGATGAGTTCTAGTCCTATCTTAGGCACAAGAGCCGGTTGGGTGACTTTGGCCCGATCACCAGGAGACGGTGAGTTCTAGTCTCACCTTAGGAATGAAAGCCAGTTGGGTGACTCTGGGCCAATCACCAGGAGACGGGGAGTTCTAGTCCTACTTTAGGCACAAGAGCCAGTTGAGTGACTTTGGGCCAATCATCAGGAGATGGGGAGTTTTAGTCCCACCTTAGGAATGAAAGCCGGTTGGGTGACTTTGGGCCAATCACCAGGAGATGGTGAGTTCTAGTCCCACCTTAGGGCTGAAAGCCAGTTGGGTGACTTTGAGGCAATCACCAGGAGATGGTGAGTTCTAGTCCCGCCTTAGGGCTGAAAATCAATTGGGTGACTTTGGGCCAATCACCAGGAGACGGTGAGTTCTAGTCCTGCCTTAGGCACTAAAGCCGACTGGGTGATTTTGGGCCAATCACCAGGAGACGGGGAGTTCTAGTCCTACTTTAGGCACAAGAGCCAGTTGGGTGACTTTGGGCCAATCATCAGGAGATGGGGAGTTCTAGTCCCACCTTAGGAATGAAAGCCGGTTGGGTGACTTTGGGCCAATCACCAGGACACAGCGAGTTCTAGTCCTGCCTTAGGCATGGAAGCCGGCTGGATGACTTTGGGTCAATCACCAGGAGATGGTGAGTTCTAGTCCCACCTTAGGGCTGAAAGCCAATTGGGTGACTTTGGGCCAATCACCAGGAGACGGTGAGTTCTAGTCCCGCCTTAGGGCTGAAAGCCAATTGGGTGACTTTGGGCCAATCACCAGGAGACGGTGAGTTCTAGTCCTGCCTTAGGCACTAAAGCCGACTGGGTGACTTTGGGCCAATCCCCAGGAGACGGGGAGTTCTAGTCCCATCTTAGGGATGAAAGCCTGTTGGGTGACTTTGGGCCAATCACCAGGAGACAGTAAATTCTAGAGCCACTTTAGATATAAAAGCCAGTTGGGTGACCTTGGGCCAATCACCAGGAGTCGGTGAGTTCTAGTCCCACCTTACAGATGACAGCTGCCTGGATGCCTTAACCACACCGAATCAGCTCTCTTTTTAAAGAATTTTGTTACAATATTTATAATTAAGTAATTAATTTATAACTTTTGGCCGTAAAGGAAAGGGGTGACGTTTGTTATAAACCCCTATATATTATTCACCAAGTGATTCGGTTCAGCCGCGTGTGGGTGCCTATGTAAATAATTAGAGCTACAATCTACCAATAAATAAAAACACTGCGTATCCCACTCATGAACAATTCCACAATTATGTGTTCTGTCTTTTATTGGGGAAAAAAAAAACACACACAGTATTTTTTTTAGAAAACGGCAGTTTATGCCAAGAACAAAAAAGAGAGGGTGTCCCACCTCTCCAACTGCATGGATATAAGTGCACCAAAAAAAAGGGTCGAAGTAGACACGGAAAATATTTTAAAAATCTCCACCGTTTTCCTTTTGCAGTACTCCTCAACTTAACAGTTCATTTAGCGACCGTTCGAACTTAACAGCTGCAATGATTTATTTAGTGACTGTTTGAAGTTAACCACTGCAGTGATCCAATTAACAACCGGGGCAAGCAAAATCGTAACATGGGGCGAAGCTGTATTAACAACCGTCTCACTGAGCAGCAGAAATTTGGGGCTGAACGGCGGGCGTTAAGTCGAGGACTTGCCGGTATCTTCAAATCTCCAGATCAAATTCCCCCCCCCAAATGTTTTCGGTGGCTTGGTAAATCAAAAAGAAAAAAGAAAAAGAAGAGAAAACTGGACTGTAACGTCAGTTAAGTGACAGGCGTTATGGAAAAGCACGACCGTAATTAACTAAACAGCTGTTCCCTGCCAAAACTGAGTTCAGATTCCGCCGTGGATTGTTTGACAAGGCCTGCAGCGCTGCCCATTTAAAAAGAAAATGAAATAAAAATTAGGGCCAGCTCTTCCCATGCCAGGAAGGCTTTGCAAATCTAGGTTCACAAAGCATTGAAACTGTGGGGGTCCCTGGTGCTCTTTGAGCCAGGCGGTTTTCTGGCAGACGTTTCATGAACCAACTAGGGAATATAATCAGTGCTGGGAGGGAGGGAGGGATTGTGGGGGTCCCTGGTGCTCTCTTGAGCTAGCTGGGTTGTTTTCTTGCAGACGTTTCATGAACCAACTAGGGAACATCATCAGTGCTGGGAGGGAGGGAGGGAGGGAGGGAGGATGGATGGATTGTGGGGTCCTGAGTGCTCTCTGAGCTGGGTGGTTTTCTTCCAGACATTACATGACCCAACTAGGGAATGTCATCAGTGCCAGGAGAGAGGAGGAGAAGGAAGGAAGGAAGGAAGGAAGGAAGGAAGGAAGGAGGGAAGGGAGGGAGGGAGGAGGGAGGGAGGGAGGGAGGGAGGGAGGGAGGGAGGACTGTGGGGGGCCCTGGTGCTCCCTGAGCTAGCTGGGTTGTTTTCTTGCAGACGTTTCATGAACCAACTAGGGAACGTCATCAGTGCTGTGAAGCAGGGAGGAAGGAAGGGAGGAAGGAAGGGAGGAAGGAAAGAAGGAAGGAAGGATTGTGGGGTCCTGAGTGCTCTCTGAGCTGGGTGGTTTTCTTCCAGACATTACATGACCCAACTAGGGAATGTCATCAGTGCCAGGAGAGAGGAGGAGGGAGGGAGGGAGGGAGGGAGGGAGGAAGGATGGAAGGAAGGACTGTGGGGTCCTTGATACTCTCTGAGCTTGGCAGTTTTCCTGTAGATGTTTCATGACCCAACTAGGGAATGTCATCAGTGCCAGGAGGAGAGAGGAGGAGGAGGACGGCTATGGGGGTCCCTGGTGTTCTCTGGCAATTTTCCTGCAGACCTTTCATGACCCAACTAGGGAACGCCACCCACGCAGTGCTGATCCTGTGCCAAGTATGACGTTACTTAGTCTGTTGACGAAACGTCTCCAAGAAAAAACACACCCAGCTCAAGCAGCACCGAGGATGTCGATCTAAACCAGGGCTCTCACCTCCGTCAGCTTTTAAGACTTGGGGACTCCAACTTCCAGAATTCCCCAGCCAGCTATGCTGGCTGGGGAATTCTGGGAGATGAAGTCCCCAAGTCTTACAAATGGTCGCGATCGGACCTCCGTGATCTAACTACACCCCAACGAGAGCGGAAAGTCCTAGAATTAAAATCCTCTTTTGCTCAAAGGAGGGACGGGCCGAGGAAGGGAGATATAAAGGAGGGGGGGGGGTCTCAGGATAAAAGGAAGTTTGCCAATCAAGGTTGCTTGATTGCTTTATTGGCTTTAAGCTCCGCATGATCTAAGCAGGCAGCTGGCTGGCAGCCTATTTAAGCTTTTTTTCTGTCAGGAGGCTGTCGTGAAGCTTGGAGACCTCGGGCTCAAAACTATCCATGACTAGGGTCCCATTGCCGTCGAAGAATTTGGCGATGGATCGGGTGAATTCCGCCTCTCTCTGCTGCTTGCTGCGGCCGCTGATGAACGTCATCTTCAGGCTGTATTTGTCGTCAAACCTGCCAAAAGAGGGGCATAACGACAGACAGGACGCGTCAGGAAAGCCAAAACTGGTGGCGCTGTCTAAAAACAAATGAAATAGTAAAAGACAATATCAAACACGAAAGAATGAAAGGTAAAATAAAGCCAAGTGTCCACTAAATCGCCTAATAGAAAATAGAAAACAAAATACGGTAAAATAACAAGGAAAAAAACGTGAGGTAAAAAAGCAAAATGAAAACCAAAATGATCACACAAAATAAAAAATAGCACATAAAATAAAAAGACAAAACAATAAAAGATAAAAATAAAGCCAAGCATCCACTAAATCATCTAACAGAAAATAAAAATAGAAAATAGAAAACAAAATAAAATAAGAAATACAAAATAAGGTAAAATAACAACGAAAACATGAGGTAAAAAACAAAATGAAAATAATCAAACAAAATAGAAAATAGCAAATAAAATAAAAACACAAAACAATAAAAGATAAAATAAAGCCAAGTGTCCACTAAATCATCTAATAGAAAATAAAAATAGAAAACAAAATAAAATTAAGAAATACAAAATAAGATAAAATAACAACAAATAAAATATGAGGTAAAAAACAAAATGAAAATGAAAATAAACAAAAAATAGCAAATAAAATAAAAACACAAAACAATAAAAGATAAAAATAAAGCCAAGTATCAATTAAACAATCTAAGATAAAATAAAAATACAAAATAGAAAGAATTAAGAAATACTAAATAAGGTAAAATAAAAACGAATAAAACGTAAGGTAAAAAACAAAATGGAAACGAAAATAATCAAACAAAATAGAAAATAGCAAATAAAATAAAAACACAAAACAATAAAAGATAAAATAAAACCAAGTATCCACTAAATAATCTAGATGAAATAAAAATACCAAATAGAAAACCAAATAAAGTAAGAAATACAAAATAAGGTAAAATAAAAAGGAACAAAGTAGTAAAATAGTATGTTTTAGGTGTGTATCATGTATGTGTTTCACTTTGAGAGCTGGCAACTAAATTTCATGTTTGATGTGTGCCGTTGTGTCCACAGTGTAAAAAAAAAAGACAATAAAGGTTATCTTATCTATCTTATCTCAAATATGAGGTAAAAAACAAAATGAAAATAATAAAATAAAATAAAAAACAGCAAATAAAATAAGAACACAAAACAAAACATAGAAACAAGAAACAAAATAAAAATAAAGAATAAAAGATAAATGAAATTAAACTAAATTAAATTGCAAGCGCCTGATGACAGAAATAATCCTCATTTAATGACCGGTCACTTAGCCAGGGGTGGAGAGAAGGTGGGAACGTTTCTGCGGAGGTTAACGTGGCTGCTGCCCGAAGGACACAACGGAGCCTGCAAGGTTGGCAACCCAAGCTATTTCATGCCGGGATCCGTGCAGGACAACTTCAATGTCAAGGTAATAATTGAACAGCTAGCCAGCTTGTAGAATGAGAAATGTGTGGCGTAATGATGGGAATGATTCAGCAGGGTCTGTGTCCCTTGAAGAGCCGTTGTATAAAAGGGAAGGCTCTGCTGATGTGTGCTCTCTCTTCCCTTTTCCTGCTGTAACTGTGGTCTGTTGGATCCTGCTGCATTACCCCGTGTTTGTATGTTGTTCCTGGTGTAAGATATGGTAGATGGCGTAAGATAAACCACCGTTTAATCTAGACAACGGTTTACTGTGTTTACTCCTGGGTTTATCTCAGCGCAATAAGACTGCGCACGCTCTGACATTCAACTTAACTCTCTTCTGTGGGGGTGAGTGGGTGGGTGGGAGGGGAGGGCCAATGGCTGGGCTTGGGGAGTCCTGGGAAGGGGGGAGGGAGGGGTACCTTTTCAGACTTGAGGAAAGCTGCCAGATGTCATCGGGGTCCATTCCCGTGGGGTCTTTCCTGTGCGCTACCAGGAAGATGCTCTTCTCCTTGTATGAGGTATAGATGGTCAGAATTCCCATCATTACGAAATACGTTGGGCCAGGTTAAAGAAAGACACGGGGTCTTGGAATCACAGACTCCTAAGGGACCTAGGACATCTTCCAGTCCACCTCTCTCCAAAGTAGGAGACCTTATGCCATCCCAGACAAATGGCCCTCCCATCTTTTCTTGATAGGGCACTCAAAACTCGGAGAGGCAAGCCCTTCCTTCCTTGTCTCCTTCCCTCCTTCCTCCCTCTTTTCCTTGTCTCACTCTCCTTCCTTCCTCCCTCCCTTATCTCATTGCCTCCTTCCTCCCTTTTTCCTTCTCATTCTATTCCTCACCCTTTTGCCTTTTTCTTCCCTTCCTTTCTTCCTAAATTCTTCCTGTCTCCTTCCCTCCTCCCCCCTCCTTCCCTCATCTCATTCTCTCCTTCCTTCTTTCATTCCTCCCTCCCTTTTCCTTCCTTCCTTCCTAATTTCATTGTCTCCTTTCTCCCTGTCCCTTTCTCTTCCCTTCCTTCCTTCCTTGTCTTTCTCTTCCTTCTTCCTCCGTTTTGCTTTCCTCCTTCGCTCCTAAATTCCTCTCGTTCTCCTTCCGCCTTCTCTTCCTCCCTCCCTCGTCTTATTCTGCTTCCTTTCATTCCTCCCTCCCTCTTTTCCTTCCTTCCTAATCTCATTGTCTCCTTCCTCCCTGTCTCTTTCTCTTCCCTTCCTTCCTTGTCTTTCTTCCTTCTTCCTGTTTTGCTTCCTTCCTTCCTTCCTAAATTCCTCTTTCTCCTTCTCCCCTCCCCCCTCCTTCTCTTTCTCCCTCCCTCCCTCCCTCCCTTTCCTTTCTTTTCCTTCCTTCCATCCATTCACCTACCTACCTACCTAGCCTTTCTGTCTGTCTGTCTGTCATCCAGATGCTCCAATGGTCATTATTGCAAGGACCAGCCGTAACTCACTTTTCCACAGTGCCATTGTAACTTCAAATGGTCGTTAAGCAAATGATTGTAAGTTGAAGACTGTTGTTGTTGTTAGTTGCGAAATCGTGTCCGACCCATCGCCACCCCATGGACAACGTCCCTCCAGGCCTTCCTGTCCTCTACCATCTTCTGGAGTCCATTGAAGCTCACGCCTCCTGCTTCAGGGACTCCATCCAGCCACCTCCTTCTCTGTCGTCCCCTTCTTCTCTTGCCCTCCATCTTTCCCAGCATCAGGCTCTTCTCCAGGGAGTCCTTCCTTCTCATTAGGTGGCCAAAGTCCTTGAGTTTCCACTTCAGGATCTGGCCTTCTCAAGAGCAGTCGGGGTTGATCTCCTCCAGGACTGACCGGTTGGATCGCCTTGCAGTCCAGGGGACTTGCAGGAGTCTTCTCCAGCACCAGACTACCTGTATCTAAATTTATGATTTAGAAAGCTGGTGAACGAGAGAGCAGGTCCACCAGAGGACACACCTGGAAGGAGTGGTTGGTGCTGTGGTTCCACCAAAAATGACTTCACCTCCCTGCTTCAAGGAGACGTAGTCCAAATCCCAATTCCCTTGGAAGAATTCACCTTCCGTTTCTCTTATCTTGGAGAGCAACACGTTCAGTTCCCCCTTGACAGACCACTTGATGAAAAGAAGGCAATAAATCAGAGAGAGGCTGTATTTTTGCCACAAGCTCTGAGATAAAATTAGAGAACGGCCCCTGCAGAAGGGTACCTTGGCACCTAGTCTTTCTTCCACCTGTTTATAGCTTTCATATGACTCGATATGTCGTTTTAATTTTCAATCGGGAGCCGCCCAGAGGAGGTTAGGAGATGGGTGGCTGTGTAAAGGCATAAATCAAAAAATTCAATTCAATTAAAACCAAGGGTGAAATCTGGAGGGAATGGAGGCGACACCTCTGTAGCTCCTCAGATTGAACGCAGATAGTCCTCAAATTACAATCATTGGTTTCGTGACCGTTCAAAGTTACAGGGGCTGCCCCAAAGAAGAGGGAGTCAAGCTATTCCCCAAAGCCCCTGAAGGCAGGACAAGAAGCAACGGGTGGAAACTAATCAAGGAGAGAAGCAACCTAGAACTAAGGAGAAACTTCCTGACAGTGAGAACAATTAACCAGGGGAACTGCCTGCCTCCAGAAGCGGTGAATGCTACAACCCTGGAAGCTTTTAAGAAGAGACTGGACAGCCATTTGTCCGAAATGGTCTAGGGCAGTGGTTCTCAACCTGTGGGTCGGGACCCCATTTGGGGTCGAACAACCATTTCACAGGGGTCACCAAACAACGCAGTCTGCCATTTTTTTCCCCTTTTCCTTAGCTGTGCTACTCCGTTTTCTTCTATTGGCTTTGGAAAGCCAATAGAATAGACTCTCTTGAATAGAGTCTAATTCTATTGGCTTTCCAAAGCCAATAGGAATTGTCCAGGCTGTCTCTGCCCTGCTGAGCCCGCCAAAATTCCCATTCTGCCAACGGTGCTGCACCCGTTGAGCAGTCGACTTACGACCGGTTGAGTAGTCCTCGACTTACGACCGGTTGGGGGTTGCGACATTAAAAAGGTTGAGAACCACTGGTGTAGGGTTTCCTGCCTGAGCAGAGGGTTGGACTAGATGACCTCCAAGGTCCCTTCCAACTTTACTACTACTACTATTATTATTATTACTAACTCCGGCCCGCCAGAACACCCCAGGATAAAGAGATAAATGGAACCAGCTTTCTTTCCACTGGAAAAAACCTGGGAAGATCAGCCAGCCTGAGCATTCCTTCAACCTGGCAAAAAAAAAAAAAAAAAAAACAGAAGATCTCAGGAACTCAGGGCTTCGCAAAGCAGCGAAAGAGGGAAAGTGAACATTTTTTAAAGAAGCGGGGGGGGGGCGCACCGGGAAAGGATATGAGATCACGCAGACAGCCAGCACCGGCTTCGATTCGGGAAAGGGGTGAAGGTAATCCCATATCAAAGCCACGATGGCGAAGAGGCAGGAGACGGTGCAGATGATCAGGCGCCCGTCGATCAGGCAGAAGTTCTCTACATATTTATACTTTTCCAAAAGGACCTGGGAAGAGAAAGAAGGGCACACGGTAGCACAGGGCGGCAGCCTCAGAGGGAAGAGGTTTACCAACAGAAGGGAATATTTGGGGTGGGAACACGGGGGTCCTTAACGTTCTCAGAGCTGGGTGGCTTTCCTTGCAGACGTTTCGTGACCCAACTAGGGAACCTCATCAGTGCTAGATGGGAGGAGGAGGAGGAAGGAAGGAAGGAAGGAGGGAAGGAAGGAGGGAAGAAAGGAAGGGAAGGAAGGAAGGGAAGAAGAGAGAAGAAAGGAAAGGTAGAGAAGGGAGAGAAGGAAGGAAAGCAAGGAAAGGAAGAAAAGAAAAAGGAAAGAAGGAAGAAAAGAAAGGGGGAGAAGGAAGGAAGGAAGGAAGGAAGGAAGGAAGGAAGGAAGGAAGGAAGGAAGGAAGGAAGGAAGGAAGGAAGGACGGACTGTGGGGTCCTTGGTGTTCTCTGAGCTGGATGGTTTCCTTGCAGACATTTCATGACCCAACTAGGGAACATCATCAGTGCTAGATGGGAGGAGGGTTTGCAGAGAGGGAGGAGTAGGAGGAGGGGGATTCTGGGGTCCCTTGGTGCTCTCTTCAGTGGTTTTCTTGCAGACATTTCATGACCCAACTAGGGAACATCATCAGTGCTAGAAGGGAGTGGGGTTTGCAGGGAGGATGAGGAAGAGGAGAGGGAAGGAGGGGGAGGAAGAATCTGGGTGCTCTCTGAGGTTGGTGGCTTCCTTGCAGACGTTTCATGACCCAAGTAGGGAACATTATCAGTGCTGGAAGGAAGGAAGGAAGGAAGGAAGGAAGGAAGGAAGGAAGGAAGGAAGGAAGGAAGGAAGGAAGGAAGGAAGGAAGGAAGGAAGGACGGACTGTGGGGTATTTGGTGCTGAGTTTGGTGGCTTCCTTGCAGACATTTCATGACCCAACTAGGGCACATTATCAGTGCTAGAGAGAAAGGGGTTTCCAGAGAGGAAGAGGAGGAGGAGAACGATTGACACTGGAGTCATTGATGCCCTCTGAGCTTGGTTGTTTTCTTGCAGACATTCATTACCTAACTAGGGAACATCATCAGTGCTGGAAGGGGGATGAGGTCTGCAAGGGAGGGAGGGGGAGGAGGAGCGCCCACTGCCAGCAGTTCGATCCTGACCAGCTCAGGCTTGACTCAGCTTTCCATTCTTCCCAGGTCAACAAAATGAGGACCCAGATTGTTGGGGGCAAATATGCTGACTCTGTAAACCACTCCGAAAGGACTGTAAAGCACTGAGAAGCGGTAGATAAGTCTAAGGCAGGGGTAGGCCACCTCGGCTCGTGGATGACTCATGGACTTCAACTCCCAGAATTCCTGAGTCAGCTCTGCTGACTCAGGAATTCTGGGAGTTGAAGTCCATGAGTCATCCACGAGCCGAGGTGGCCTACCCCTGATCTACAGGTTATGGCTATTGCTATGGGGGAGGAAAGGATCCTTAGCAATGGCAGAGGAACACATATATACAGAAATTCCACGCTGACCGGCGTGAAAATAAGCGTGAAGGAGGCTGGGAGAACTGATGGGAAAGGCACCAGAATTGGGCAGAGGACTCCAGCTGTTCCAAAAAAAGGAGCTTACCTTTTTGGCCGAGTCATCCAGCGAATTCTTCACCGCTGACCCGTCCCACTTGTCCACTTTGACGGGTTTGTCGTCGATTTTCCACTGAGGCAATTTAAAAAAGAAAATAAAAGCAATCTGAACGACAGTTCATTTAGCGACCGAAAGCGACGTCACTGAAAAAAAGTGACTTTGGGACTGTTTTCACACTTACGACCGTTGAACTGTCCCCCAAAAGTCCAGAGGCTTGGCGACTGACTCGCATTTACGACGGTTGCAGCGTCCCCCGGGGGTCACGCGATGCCCTTTTGCGACCTTCTGAGAAGCAAAAGCGAGTGGGGGAGCCCGATTCGCTTAACGACCGTGTCAATCACTTAACAATGGCAGCGATCGCCTTAACAACGGTGGCAAGGAAGGTCGTAAAATGGGGGCAAAACAATCTTGCTTGGCCACAGAAACTTTGAGGTCCAATTTTGGTCAGACCTGTATTTGTTGAAGGAGGTGCTACGTATATTGACTTCAACCCTGGAGGGAAAGTGGATTATATCTCTCTAATTCCTAAATAAGAAGCTATATTTAAATTCGAGCATTAAATGTACTGGACTTTACGTCTTCAATGATCATTTCACCAGCGTTCACCCAAAGCTCTGTGGAAAATGAAAACATTGTTCTTTTATGCAAGGTTTAGGCCAGTGGTTCTCAACCTTTTTAATGCCGCGACCCCCAACCGGTCGTAAGTCGAGGACTACTCAACCGGTCGTAAGTCAAGGACTAAACTGGTGCAGCACCGTTTGCAGAATGGGACTTTTGGCGGGCTCAGCAGGGCAGAGACAGCCTGGACCATTCCTATTGGCTTTGGAAAGCCAATAGAATTAGACTCTATTCAAGAGAGTCTATTCTATTGGCTTTCAAAAGCCAATAGAAGAAAAGGGAGTAGCACAGCTAAGGAAAAGGGGGAAAAACATGGCGGACGGCGTTGTTTGGCGACCCCCGTGAAATGGTCGTTCGACCCCAAATGGGGTCCCGACCCACAGGTTGAGAACCAGTGAAGTAAAGGGATGTTGTGTTATGATGCTTGCTATGTTCCAAATTGTTAGCAAAATAAACCTCTGAATCCTAAAATAAGAATTATTGTTTTGTGTTGCTGTCTCTGGTCTTTTTCATTTGGGTTTTTCCACGACACGCTCTTACTGGGCAAATTCTTCATTAAAATCGTATGGCAATGAGATGGAACACCAACTCCCCCCCCCCATATCAAACCACCAAGGAGACACCTTCAAAATACATGGCAAGGAAGGCTTAAAGACTCTAAACGTCACATGGGAAGACCCTTGCTGTCTGCTATGCTACATAGCATGGAGGGTCTCATGCCAGACCTAATATTAAACATACTCCAATTTTGCTGAAATGCCAAATTTCTAGTTATCTTTTTCTGCAAAAGCCACTAGCGTCTGGAACACCGTAACAGCACCTGACCAAAGCAAGCAGAAGCTGGACAATGACTGGCCAGAGATTAATAATAATAATAATAACAACAACAACAAGAACAACAACAATACAACAACACAACAACAATGATAAAATTAAACTGCTCTGGGACTTCAGAATTCAAACAGACAAGCACATAGGAACTGCTTCCATCCTGCGACAATATTTGTAATACCATCAAACATCCACATCCACATCTGCCTATCCCAGGTCCTGGGTAAGGACTCGATACGTAGACAAAATGCCAAATCCAGTCTGAACATCTGGCTGACTGTGCGATGATCCATAACAACAACAACAACAACAACAACACAACAAAATTAAACTGCTCTGGGACTTCAGAATTCAAACTGACAAGCACCTGCAACATAATATCCCAGACTTAACAATTGTCGATAAGAAAGACAAAAAAGTCTGGATAGTGGACGTGGCAGTGCCTGGAGACAGCAGAATAGACGAGAAAGAACTGGAGAAGATCACAAAATACAAAGACCTACAAATAGAAACAGAAAAACTGTGGCAAAAGCAAGCAAGGGTAGTACCAATAGTCATAGGCTCCTTGGGTGCAATCCCAAAACAACTGGAGCACCACTTGAACACCATTGGCATTGACAAATTCGCTATTAGTCAATTGCAAAAGGCGGCCTTACTAGGAACTGCTTCCATCCTGCGACGATACCTGTAATACCATCAAACATCCACATCTGCCCATCCCAGGTCCTGGGTAAGGACTCGATAGGTAGACAAAATGCCAAATCCAGTCTGAACATCTGGCTGACTGTGCGATGATCCATAATAATAAGAGTTGGAAGGAAACTTGGAGGTCATCTAGTCCAACCCCCTGCTCAGGCAGGAAACCCTACACCATTTCGGACAAATGGCTGTCCAGTCTCTTCTTAAAAACTTCCGGTGTTGGAGTATTCACCGCTTCTGGAGGCAGGTAGTTCCACTGGTTAATTGTTCTCACTGTCAGGAAATTCCTCCTTAATTCCAGGTTGATTTTCTCTTTGGTTAGTTTGTATTCTGACTTTGAATAGCTACTAGATACAGGCAGTCCTCAACTTTTAGTGACCATTCAAAGGTACAACAGCAGTGGAAAAAAAGCGACCTAGGACCATTTTTTATCCTTAAAACCGATGTAGCACGTACACACACGCACACGGACACACATATCCATGGTTCCAAGATCAAAATTCAGATGCTTAACATCAGATTCAGTTAATAACCGTGTGACTGATTTAATATTGATTCATTAGTTGATGTAAGATGATGAGAAATAGAATATATCCAAATAGATGTGTATTCTGAATATTAGATTTTGTGATGAATTGTGATAAAGGGAACCTCGGTTACTTTAATCTTGGAAATTATAAATATTAAATGTTAAAGATTAACGGGAAACTAAAAATTTGGGGGGAATTAATTAGGACATGGATTTCCTATAAAGACTGAATGAAGGTTAAAACAATAAGGATATGCATAAGCCAAAAATTATTCATAAATGTAAGAATGTCATTTTTATTTAATTGATACAATAAGAACTGTATTAGTTTAAACAGGAGACAGTAAATACTAAAGGAAAGAGAGAGGAAAACATTAATGTACTAGCTTGAGACTTGTACTAAAGATACATGTATGCCATTGTATTATTAACCCAGCCGCCACGTTGCTTTTTAAATACTTAAATATAAAACTAGAAAATCAATAAAACATTTTTTAAAAAAACTTAATACTGATTCACTTAACAGTGGCAAGAAAAGTCACAAAATGGGGCAAAACATACACAACTGTTTTGCTTTGCCAAAGGAAATTGCAGGCTCGTGGTTGTAAGTCAAACTCTACCTGGATATGAACACAATCAAGTAACACTAATGTCTAAAAAAAACACTTCACCTCCCTTCTCATTGTGGGTGTTCCTTCCTCCTGCTGGCTGACTTCCTGTTGCCAGCTTCAAAGAAAAAGACACATCATCCTTTCTGAAACCCAACGGCCATATCTAAAAAATTTCAACTGTCCGGGATGACAACTTAATTCTAACTTTTTTTTTTAAAAAAAAAAAATCAAATCTGGCAGTCAGCTTGCTTACAGACCAGAATGTCCTCTGAGGCAACAGCTGAAAGGCTCAGATCAAGGCAACACCATTGTGCTTTTATTCTCAACACAGAAGCAGGCAAAAAGAAATCGGTAAAGTCAAGGCTGCTATAAAAAGCTTTCTTGCTCTAAGAATTATATAAATAAAGAAGAGTCTGTTTCTTAAGATCCAATAGCCGATATCTGACGGGACTGTAAGCAAAAAATAATTTTATTTTTGCTTTCAATCTCAGGAAAGCTGAACAGAGTGAGAGAATCTGCCTGTGAAATTGAAATGAGACTGGAACACAACAGAAAGACTTGGAACAGAATAGAGCTGGAAGGGACCTTGGAGGTCTTCTAGTCCAGCCCCTACCCCTCCCACCCCGCTCAAGGAGAACTTATACCATCTCAGACAGGTGATTGTCCAGTCTCTTTTTAAAAACTTCCAGCAATGGAGCACCCACAATTTCTGGTGGCAAGCTGTTCCACTGGTTGATTGTTCTCACTGTCAGGAAGTTTCTCCTTAATTCCAGGCTGCTTCTCTCTTTGGTCAGTTTCCAACCCTTGTTTCTCGTCCTTCCCTCTGATGCTTTGGAGAATAATTTGACCCTTTTCTTTGTGGCAGCCCCCCAGATACTGGAACGCTGCTATCATGTCTCCCCTCATTCTTCTTTTCCATCCTGCAGCTGTTCTTCGTATGTTTAACTCTCCAGGCCTTTGATCATCTTAGTTGCTCTTCTCTGAATTTTTTTCCAGACTCATAACATCTTTTTTGTGATATGGTGACCAAAATTGGCTGCAGTATTCAGTTCGCCAAAGGGGACCACGTGACCCAGAGATACTGTGACCGTCATAAATACAAGTCAGTTGCCAAGCGTCTGAGTTTTGTCATGCGAAAAACAGTCATAACTCGCTTTTTTTCAGTGTCGGCCTTTCGAGCGGTCACTAAGCAAACTGTCGTTAAGTCGAGGACTACCTGTATTTCATTTAGCATATGGCATCTAGAGACATACCTCACTAATAAAACACCCATTACACATACCAACACAAACAGAAGCTTAAATAAAACGTCAACAAAGAGACGCATAGACATACAAAATAAAAACACCTGCGGAATACAATATGGGAGATACAACACTGAATTAAGGTAAAAACAATGCAGGAAGAGTCCTGAGAGCCTGGAAAACGCCTCCCTGCAGTATTTAACCATTTGTCTCGAAGGGTAGAAGGTCTCCTGCTCGAGCAGGGGGTTGGACTAGATGACCTCCAAGGTCCCTTCCAACTCTGTTCTTCTATCATTTTGTAAGGGTCTCCTGCTCCAGCAGGGGGGGATGGACTAGGTGACCTAAAAGGTCCCTTCCAACCCTGTTCTTCTATCATTCTGTAAGGGTCTCCTGCTCCAGCGGGGGGGGGATGGACTAGATGGCCTCCAAGGTCCCTTCCAACTCTGTTCTTCTATCATTCTGTAAGGGTCTCCTGCTCCAGCGGGGGGGATGGACTAGATGACCTAAAAGGTCCCTTCCAACCCTGTTCTTTTATCATTCTGTAAGGCTCTCCTGCTCCAGCGGGGGGGGGGTTTGGACTAGATGACCTCCAAGGTCCCTTCCAACTCTGTTCTTCTATCATTCTGTAAGGGTCTCCTGCTCCAGCGGGGGGGATGGACTAGATGGCCTCCAAGGTCCCTTCCAACTCTGTTCTTCTATCATTCTGTAAGGGTCTCCTGCTCCAGTGGGGGGGGTTGGACTAGATCAGTGGTTCTCAACCTGTGGGTCGGGACCCCATTTGGGGTCGAATGACCATTTCATGGGGGTCTCCAAACCATGCTGTCCGCCATTTTTTTCCCTTTTCCCTAGCTGTCCTACTCCCTCTTATTGGTGACCACACCCACTTGGGGGTCACCACAACATGGGGAACTGTATTATGGGGTCACGGCATTAGAAAGGTTGAGAATCACTGGACTAGATGACCTCCAAGGTCCCTTCCAACCCTGTTCTTTTATCATTCTGTAAGGGTCTCCTGCTCCAGCGGGGGGGGGGGAAATGGACTAGATGGCCTCCAATGTCCCTTCCAACTCTAGTTACTGTGATTCTGTACGGGGTCTCCTGCTTGAGAAGGGGGGGGGGGTTGGACTAGATGACCTCCAGGGTCCCTTCCAATTCTAGTTATTGTGATTCTGTAAGGGTCTCCAGCTCTAGAAGGTGGGGGGGTGGACTAGGTGACTTCTAGGTTCCCTTCCAGCTCTATTCTACTCTATTCTTTCTCCGCACTTAAGAATTCCCAGCTGGCCAATCAACGGGCTAGGCTCCTCCACCTCCCCCCTCCCCCACCGCTCCATCTGCGTCTCCCAACCGGGCGGCTGAGGATTCTGGGAGTTGTAGTCCCCGCGCATCTGACAGGCGCCGGGTTAGAGCCAAGCGGGGCTCGGCCTCTCTCTCTCTCTCCCAAGGCAGCGCGGCCCTCTCAGCTGCCGGGGCGATGCGGAGGGCCGGGCCGGCCTTCTCGGCTTGCGGATTGACGCTCCCAAAGGCGAACCGCGCCGGGGTGGCCTTCAGCCCGGCCGCCCTCCCCGCCTCGTCTCGCAGGCCGAGCGGCCGCCCCGCCGAGCCGCTACCTTGTCCAGGATGCCGTTCCTGCTGGCGCCGCCGCCTCCCCCGCCGCCGCCTCCGCCGCCTTTCGCCGCCATCTTGGCTCCTCCTTTCCCCCTGCGCGACCTGTTCGCCGCCGATTGGCTGAGCGGGGAGAGGTCCGCGCAAAGGACGCCGGGACGGGACAGCGCCGCCCTATAGGAAGCGGCGGCGGCGGCGGCGGCCCGCGCGCGGAGCAGGCTGGGAGCTGGAGTTCTGGGCGGCCCGGGTTGCCATGGCTACCCAGGGACCGGGAGGGAACGTGGGGAACCGCGGTTCGCTGGACGGGCAAAAGGAGCTCGGTCGGGGTCGAAGCCGGAGTCAGCATCCTCCTTCCTGCGTGGGGGGCTAAGGCGGGAGGGAGGGAGAAGAAAAGCGCGGGAGTCTTTCTAGCCGCGGGAGGACTCAACGCTCTATGGTTTGCTCCCCATCTTTATAATCCGCTTTAATTTAGGTTATATTTCCCCTAATATATTAATTCATTGGCCTGACTTTCCCCAAGCTGGTGCTCTCTCTGGGTTATTACAGTCCCCATCTCCTTCCCCCAGCTGGCCCGGCCCCACACAGTCAGGGTGGGTGGGTGGGGATTATGGTTTATGTAGCAACCTAGAACTAAGGAGAAACTTCCTGACACTCAGAACAATTAACCAGTGGAACCTCCTGCCTCCAGAAGTTGTGGCTGCTCCATCACTGGAGGCTTTTAAGAAGAGACTGGACAGCCATTTGTCCCAAATGGTATAGGGTTTCCTGCCTGAGTAAGAGGGTTGGACTAGATGACCTCCAAGATCCCTTCCAACTTTATTATTATTGTTGTTGTTTCCTTCCTAGTCCTCTCCCATCCCATACTGGGGATTGGGGGAGGAGAAATCTTGGAAGGCCCCCTTCGGATGGGAAGGGCGGTGGCTGCATCCACAAGACACCTTTTTACCTGGCCAGGCCATCGCCAGCATTCACCCAACAGGCGAACAAATCTGAGTCGGGGGTTTAACTTTTAGCTTTTTGCTTAAATTTGACATTTCAGCCAAAATTGTGATTTATGACCCGTTTTGCACACTTACGACCGCTGCAGCGTTCCCCCGTGGTCACATGATCAAAATGCATACTCTTGGAAAGTGTCTCGTATTTATGACGGTTGCAGTGTTCCGGGGTCACGCGAGTCCCTTTTGCGCCCTCCTGATAAGGAGGTAAAGCCAGGTTCACTTAACGACCGGGTTGCTCATTTAACGACTGCGGTGATCCTCTTAACCATCCTGGCAAGAAAGGTTTTCAAACGGGGGCCAAACTCACTTAACAACTGTCTTTGCTTAGCAACAGAAATGTTGAGATCCAGTGTGGTCGTAAGTCAAGGAGCCTTTTTTAAAAAAAAAAACGAGAAAGGATGCTATTTGAAGCTCATTAAGGCTTTTTCTCAGAAGCCCAGAAAATAGACCACAGGATTATGATAACCACGAGATGGTTTCACTTGGATCCCTGCCCCAAGCTTGGGGTTGGACTAGATGACCTCAAGGAGATTTACCGGCCCTGATTCTCTGATTCTTTCTTATCCCAGCTGCTTCTTGGATGGATCGGAAGCAGAAGAAATGGACCAGAGTGGTTTAAAAACTCGGGATTTTTAAGCCTGGGGTTTGAATTGCTGATAGCCAAGCTGTGATACGGCAATGCCCCCCCCCCACACACACAAGAACTTGCGTGGTGCCTTTGCTTACTTTGTGGCTGGCGTTTGCTGTGCTCCGTGAGGTGGATGATAAGCTACATGAGGGGGGCGGCGAGCGCTCTGGTGACTGGCATTGGATGGGGATGTTGGTACAGCGGTTCACGTTGACTTGGATCCTCACGTCGCCATGGGTCACCCTCATTGCTGGTCCGGCCAGGTGGTGTCTCCACCTGGCAGGGTCTCCTGAGAAGGACCCATCCCTGCCATGTCACAGAGGCCTGGCTGCTTTGTTAAGCAGTGACATGGCTGTGTGTCTGTGTGGGGAGGGTCTCCCCTGGAAAAAACAGGGCTTGCAAGGACCAGGGTTTTGTTTTTTTTTTGCAAAGGGGGATGAATAATTGTTGTTGTTAGCTGCGAAGTCGTGTCCAGCCCATCGCGACCCCATGGACCACGTTCCTCCAGGCCTTCCTGTCCTCTACCATCTTATGGAGTCCATTTAAGCTCCCGCCTCCTGGTTCAGGGACTCCATCCAGCCACCTCCTTCTCTGTCGTCCCCTCCTTCTCTTGCCCTCCGTCTTTCCCAGCATCAGGCTCTTCTCCAGTGAGTCCTTCCTTCTCATGAGGTAGCCAAAGTATTTGAGGATGAATAATAGAATGGGAAGGGACTTTGGAGGTCATCTACTCCAGCCCCTTGCTGAAGAAGGAGAACCCTATGCCATTCCAGACAAATGGCTGTCCAGTCTCTTCTTAAGAGCCTCCAGTGATGGAGCAGCCACAACATCTGAAGGCAAGGTGTTCCACGGATCAATTAACAGAATAACAGAAGCGTTGGAAGGGACCTTGGAGATCTCCTAGTCCAGTCTAATGAAGAGAAGGACGAGGTGGGACATGATAGCTGTGTTCCAATATCTCAGGGGTTGCCCCAAAGAAGAGGGAGTCAAGCTGTTCTCCAAAGCGTCTATAAGGCAGGACAAGAAACAACGGATGAGAGAAGCAACCTGGAATTAAGCAGAAACTTCTTGACAGTTAGAACAATTACCGGTGGAACAGCTTGCCACCAGAACCTGCTCCAGCACTGGAAGTTTTTAAGAAGAGACTGGACAGCCATTTGTCTGGAATGGTCTAGGGTTTCCTGCCTGAGCAGGGGGTTGGACTAGATGACCTCCAGGGTTCCTTCCAAGTTTATTATTATTAATGCTCAAGAACACTGGTTCTCAACCTTTTTAATGCCGCGACCCCCAACCGGTCGTAAGTCGAGGACTACTCAACTGGTGCAGCACCATTTGCAGAATGGGACTTTTGGCGGGCTCAGCAGGGCAGAGACAGCCTGGACAATTCCTATTGGCTTTTGAAAGCCAATAGAATTAGATTCTATTCTAGAGAGTCTATTCTATTGGCTTTCAAAAGCCAATAGAATAAAAGGGAGTAGCACAGCTAAGGAAAAGGGGGAAAAAAATGGCAGACTGCGTTGTCTGGCGACCCTCGTGAAATGGTTGTTCAACCCCAAATGGGGTCCCGATCCACAGGTCGAGAACCACTGCTCAAGAAGAAATCCTCCTATACCATCTCAGACAAATGGCTGTCCAGTCTCTTCTTAAAAACCTCCAGTGCTGGAGCAGGTTCTGGTGGCAAGCTGTTCCACTGGTTGATTGTCTTCCTCACTGTCAGGAAGTTTCTCCTTAATTCTAGTCTGCTTCTCTCTTTGACCAGCTTCTAACCAATTGTTTCTTAATAAACATGTTGCTTTGATTGAAGGGCTGAAAGAAGATCATGGCATCGCTGTATAAACTGGATGATGGACAGTGGTACCCCACCAATTGCTTCCCTGCGAAAAGCCTTCTGCAGCCTCGATCCGAAGAAGGTAACGTGTCCCGATGTGCGATTTAAGGATTTTAAGGATCTTCGCAGCTGAAAAAGCAGAGCGTTATGGAAACGCCTCCCCAAAGTGGCCTCTGCTTATCTTTCTAGAGCAGGGCTCCCAGTTTGTAGCCTGTCACCCTCTCAAAACATGGAGGCAATGAAAAGCTGAGCTAGTTGTGCAACAGACTGCAAATGTATTGTGTGAATCCTCTGCTCCCTTTGGGAAACCCTGCTGGGGGGTTTAGGAAAAGATTCCAATAGGAGAGAAGACTTGAATCTCAGGGATGAACTGTGGGGTCCTTAATGCTCTCTGAGCTTTCATGCCTAAGTCACGACTAGAACTCACCGTCTCCTGGTGATTGATCGAAAGTTACCCAACTGGCTTTCATGCCTAGCTCAGGACTAGAACTCACCATCTCCTGATAATTGGGTCAAAGTTGCTCAGTCAACGTCCATGCTTAAGTCGGGACTAGAACTCACCGTCTCCTAGTAATTGGTCCAAAGTCACCCAGTTGGCTTTGATGCCTAAATCAGGACTAGAAGTCACGGTCTTCTGGTGATTGATCCAAAGTCACCCAGTTGGCTTTTATGGCTAAGTCGGGACTAGAACTCACCGTCTCCTGGTGATTGGTCCAAAGTCTCCCAGTTGGCTTTCATGCCTAGGTCAGGACTAGAACTCACCATCTCCTGGTGATTGGTCCAAGGTCACCCAGATGACTTTGATGCCTAAGTCAGGACTAGAACTCACCGTCTCCTGGTGATTGGTCCAAAGTCAGCCAGTTGGCTTTCATGCCTAGGTGGCGCAGCAGTTAGAGTGCAGTACTGCAGGCCACTTTAGCTGACTGTGTTCAGCAGGTCAGCGGTTCAAATCTCACCGGCTCAAGGTTGACTCAGCCTTCCATCCTTCCGGGGTAGGTAAAATGAGGACCCAGATTGTTGGGGGCAATGTAAATATATATATATATACATTGCTTACTGGTGTACACCGCTTAGAGAGTGCTTGCACTTACAGCGGTATATAAGTCTCATAAATAAATAAATAAATAAATAAATAATTGGGTCAAAGTTGCTCAGTCAACTTCCAAGCCTAAGTCAGGACTAGAACTCTCCATCTCCTGGTGATTGGTCCAAAGTCACCCAGTTGGCTTTTATGGCTAAGTCAGGACTAGAATTCCCCGTCTCCTGGTGATTGGTCCAAAGTCAGCCAGATGGCTTTGATGCCTAGGTCAGGACTAGAACTCACCATCTCCTGATAATTGGGTCAAAGTTGCTCAGTCAACTTCCAAGCCTAAGTCGGGACTAGAACTCTCCATCTCCTGGTGATTGGTCCAAAGTCACCCAGTTGGCTTTTATGGCTAAGTCAGGACTAGAACTCACCGTCTCCTGGTGATTGGTCCAAAGTCAGCCAGCTGGATTTGATGCCTAAGTCGGGATTAGAACTCACCGTCTCTGGATAATTGGGCCAAAGCTGCTCAGTCAACTTTCACGCCTAAGGCAGGACTAGAACTCACCGTCTCCTGGTTTAACCACTAGACTAAAAGAGCTTACATCTCACCTTAGTTGAGTTCTCCTAACGGGGCGTGCCTGTTAATTTTGTTTCTGGACCTATCTCTCCAGGCGCCGGCCACTGGCAGGTGGCTCGTCATAATGTGGAGAAAACCAAGATCAAATGGTTGTTTGGCACAAGGGCTGCCCAGCAGAGCTGGCAAGACTGTTGGTGGAAAGTGCCGATACCCAGGGCCGAGAAAATCCTCAATAGGGCCCAGCTGGTGAGCGTGGTGTTGCTTGCGTTGCTTGGTTCTCCTGTCCACTGCAGAGGGTTGGGCTAGATGATCCTTAGGGTCCCTTCCAGCTCCACAACTCTTCAGTGTCTTAAGTTCTTAGAAGGGGAGAAGCATCCTTAAAACAAAGTGAGAAGAATTAATTAGCGGAACGACTAACTTCCGATGAGGGAGCACCCAGAAGTTGTGGGTGCTCCCTCACCGGAAGTTTTCGAAAAGAGACAGGACAGCCTGTTTGTCTGGAATGGTCTAGGGTCTCCTGCCTGAGCAGGGGGGTTGGACTAGATGACCTCCAGGGTCCCTTCCAATTTGGTTATCCTGATTTAGCCTCCAGACCCTTAATCGTTTTAGTTGCTCTTCTCCACACTCATCATCATCATCATTATCATAATAAAGTTGGAAGGGACCTTGGAGGTCATCTAGTCCAACCCCCTCTTGGAGGGCCACAGCCTCTTCCCTTTATCCTGTCCATCAATCAGCTGACACAAACCCTATTGAAATACCAGCGCCCACCCACAGGCACAGAGCACCATTTTAGCAGAGTAGTCTTCTGTCACAAATTCATAGGAAATCGTTTTTTGGCAGTATCGGCTTTCATTTTTCCCGCTTTTGCTTGACTGACTGCCCCCCCCCACGTTCCCCCCAGCGAGTTCCCTTTCTCTGGCTTGTGATTTCCAGCTGAAGCTCCACGCCGTGGAGAAGCCCTCCGACTTGTGCTCAGTGAATATCAGCCACCGGAACTTTGCCTTGGTGAGTGGGAATTTGGGCCCGCAACTCAGGTTGCTTCGACCGGAGGGGCTGGTTGGTCCCCCCAGGCACTGGGGCACAGAGGCAGGCCAAGCTCCCTGTATGCTACATTTGGGGTGGCTTGCTTTGGTTTCTTTTTCTCTTAGGGGGGCCAGGACTTTTTATTTTTTAATTTTAATTTTTATTTTTTTTTACTTTTATTATTTTTATTTTATTTTTTTTAATTTTTATTATTTTTCATTTTATTTTTATTATTTTTATTTTATTTTTATTATTATTCATTTATTATTATTATTATTATTCATTTATTTTTATTGCTTTTTATTTTTATTATTTTATTTTTATTTTTATTATTTTTATTTTTTATTATTTTTATTTTATTTTTTATTTTTATTCATTCATTTATTTTTATTATTTTTATTTTATTTTTTATTTTTATTTATTATTTTTATTTATTTATTTTTATTATTTGTATTTTATTTTTATTTTCATTTTCTTTTATTTATTTATTTTTATTATTTTTATTTTTTATTTTCATTATTTTTATTTTTATATTATTTTTATTTATATTATTTTATTTTTATTTTTTTTATTTTATTTTATTTTTATTAATATTTGTATTTTATTTGTATTTGTTTTTTATTTATGTTTATTTTATTTTTATTATTATTTTTATTATTTTTAATTTATTTATTATTTTTATTATTTATTTATTTATTTATATTATTATTTATTTTTATTATTCATTAATTCATTTTTATTTATATATATATATATATATATATATATATATATATATATATATATATATATATATATATATATATATATATTTGTTGTGGGGGTTTTTTTTATGGAACACCTTACCCCCCCCCCCAAATCATGCGTGCTCCATCACTGGGGATTTTTTAAGAAGAGACTAAACAATCACCTGTCTGAAATGGTATATAGGTCCTCCTTCTTGAGCAGGGGGCTGGACTAGAAGACCTCCAGGGTCCCTTCCAGCTTCTATTCTATTCCATTTATGGTTTCTTCTTTTTGTGGTTTCCCAGGCCAGGGAAAGTGACTTTGTGCAGTTTGATTCTGTCGCCTACATCAACGCCACTGAAAACCTGCTGACTTTAGGTAAGGAAACCAAAGGGTGGGGCGTCACTCTGGTCTTCCAACTTGGCCTTTCGATGACTTGTGGATTTCAACTCCCAGAATTCCTCAGCTACGCTCGCTGGCTGAGGAATTCTGGGAGTTGAGGTCCACAAGTCATCAAAGGGCCAAGTTGGAAGACCCCTGGGTTAGTGACTGTTCGAAGGTAGCCTTTTTTCACACTTAACGATCATGGCAGCACCCCTACGGTCATCTGATCAAAATTCGGACGTTTGGCAACTGGCATTTACTTAGGACGGTTGCAACATCCCAAGGGACACACGATTTGTAATCTTCCCAGCCGGCTTCCATTAAATATTAAGTATTATTTTTATTTTATTTATTTATTTTATTTATATGCCGCGCAATCCCAAGGGACTCAGGGCGGCGTACAAAATTAAAACAACAATCTAACAATAAAATAATACAATCATACAGCGTGTCCAATCATCTCCCCCCCCCCCCCGGGGACGTCAACCCCAGGCCTGCCGGAACAGGAGAGTTTTAACAGCTTTCTTAAAGGCCGGCAGGGTGGGAGTAGTTCGAACCTCGGGGGGAAGCTGATTCCACCAGGTCGGAGCCACTACAGAAAAGGCCCTTCCCCGAGGGCCCGCCAGCCGACATTGTCTGGCCGATGGGACCTGAAGGAGGCCCAATCTGTGGGACCTCACCGGTCTCTGGGAACTGTGCGGCAGAATGCGGTCCTGTAAGTAACCTGGCCCTATGCCATGAAGGGCTTTAAAGGTGATAACCAACACCTTGAATTGCGTCCGGAGACCCACAGGAAGCCAGTGCAGCTCGCGGAGGATAGGTGACACGTGGGCATACCTTGGCGCGCCCACAATCGCTCTCGCGGCTGCATTCTGAACCAACTGCAGCCTCCGAACGCTCTTCAAGGGTAGCCCCATGTAGAGCGCGTTACAGTAATCCAGTCTTGAGGTGACAAGGGCATGAGTGACCGTGAGTAAAGCCTCCCGGTCCAAATAAGGCCGCAACTGGTGCACCAGGCGAACCTGGGCAAAGGTCCCCCTGGCCACAGCCGATAGATGTGGTTCCAAATTTAGCTGTGAGTCCAGGAGGACACCCAAGTTGCGTGCCTGCACTGAGGGAGGCAAATTTACCCCCCCCCCAGGACTAAGGATGGACCATCCAGTTGACCTTTGGGAGGCAAGACCCAGAGCCACTCGGTCTTGTCAGGGTTGAGTCTAAGCCTGTTCACCCCCATTTAATACCCCCAGTATTAAATATTTTTTGCCAAAATAAATAAAAATTACATATGTGAGTGGGGGTTTTTTAAACAATATTTTGGGCAATGAGGAGGCACACTGGGAGAATTTTAATTACTGGCGTTAAAATATTATGAAATGTTTTATCCTTGGCCGCTGGATCACTTGACCGAACTATTGATTTCGCACGGCTGCCTTTTAAAAAATGTCTCTATTTTAAAGGAACATTTTATCACATGTGGTGGCTGTGCCCCAAAGCAAAAAATTATTGGGAACGAATAAGAGATTGGGTACAGGAGATAACGGAGATACAAATGGATTTCAAACCAGAATTATTTCTTTTGGGCATAGTAAATTTAAAGATGGAAAAACAACTCTCAACACATCATTATACACATATTGACTGCAGCTCGTATAGCATATGCTCAATGTTGGAAGAGTGAAAATATACCCACAAATGATATGCTTATGTACAAAATCTTGGAATGCGCAGAAATGAACAAACTTACGTTAGAATTAAAAGACAAGGAGGCGACAGAATTTTATGAAATTTGGAATAAATGTTATAATTGGCTAGAAGAGAGAAAGAAAAAGACATAATTACTGATGTACATAAAATGTAAATAAGATGTAAAGAATGCTTAAAATGTAGAGTACGGTTCTGTTAAAACAGTGTTTCCCAAACTTGACAATTTTAAGGCATGTGGACTTCAACTCACAGAATTCCACAGCCAGCGTTGCTGGCTGTGGAATTCTGGGAGTTGAAGTCCTCATGCCTTAAAATTGTCAAGTTTGGGAAACACTGTTTAAAAGAAAAGACTTATGTTTATGTATTTTAAGTTTGTTTTGATGTATGGTGTATGGTGAAAAATAATTTAAAAAAAATTAAAAAATAAAAATAAAAAATGTCTCTATTTTAACCTTTGTCTAGAAACATTTCGTCACTTTCCTGGCCTTCGGGAGCTGGAGCTGTCTCTAAACGGTCTGAGGAACCTTAAAGTCAGAATCGGAGACTTTCCACACTTGGAAGTAAGTGCAAAGTGCAAAAGTGACGCTTGCACGAATCCGAGCTCGGAATCGGGGAGGATAGGGTTAATTTCTTCCCGTTTAAAAAACACGTTCACATGTTCTATATATTTTTCTTAAACTCAGCTTGGAAAGGCCTCCTCAGCCCCAGACCCTTTTGCTGCTAAGCTGTAGGTTTCATTTTTTTAAAAGGATTCATTCATTCATTCATTCATTCATTCATATTTGTATCCCACCTTTATTCGTTTTACAAATAACACAAGGCCGTAAGCATATCCACTATTTATTTATTTATTTAATGAGACTTATATACCGCTTTAAGTGCAAGCACTCTCTAAGCCAGTGGTTCTCCACCTGTGGGTCGGGACCCCATTTGGGGTCGAACGACCATTTCACGGGGGTCGCCAAACAACGCAGTCCGCCATTTTCCCCCCCTTTTCCTTAGCTGTGCTACTCCCTTTTATTCTATTGGCTTTTGAAAGCCAATAGAATAGACTCTCTTGAATAGAGTCTCATTCTATTGGCTTTCCAAAGCCAATAGGAATTGTCCAGGCTGTCTCTGCCCTGCTGAGCCCGCCAAAAGTCCCAGTCTGCAAACGGTGCTGCACCAGTTGAGTAGTCCTCGACTTACGACTGGTTGAGTAGTCCTCGACTTATGACTGGTTGGGGTCGCGGCATTAAAAAGGTTGAGAACCACTGCTCTAAGCGGTGTACACCAGTAAGCAATGTGTATATATATTTACATTGCCCCAACAATCTGGGTCCTCATTTTACCTACCCCGGAAGGATGGAAGGCTGAGTCAACCTTGAGCCGGTGAGATTTGAACCGCTGACCTGCTGAACACAGTCAGCTAAAGTGGCCTGCAGTACTGCACCCTAACTGCTGGGCCACCTCGGCTCATATTCACTATTCCCTCCTCCGATTTTCCCGACATCAACAACCCTGTGAGGTGGACTGGGCTGAGAGAGTGGGACTGGCCCAAAGTCACGTAGCTTGCTTTCATGGCTAATAATAATATGTGGGACTAGAACTCCCCGTCTCCCGGTTATCGGCCCAAAGTCACCCAGCCAGCTTTCATGCCAAGAGCAAGACTAGAACTCCCCGTCTCCCATGATTGGCCCAAAATCGCCCAGCCAAGACCGAGACTAGAACTCCCCGTCTCCCGGTTACCGGCCCAAAATCGCCCAGCTAGTTTTCATGCCAAGAGTGAGGCTAGAACTCCCTGTCTCCCGGTGATTGGCCCAAAGTCACCCAGCCGGCTTTCATGCCTAAGGCGGGACTAGAATTCACCGTCTCCTGGCGATTGGCTCAAATTCACTCTACTGGCTTTCATGTCTAAGTCATCCAGTCAGGTTTGGCGCCTAAAGTTGGATTAGAATTCACCATCTCCTGGTTTCTAGCCTTTCTAGCCTTACCACTAGACCAGGGGTAGGCAACCTTGGCTCTTTTATGACTGGTGGACTTCAATTCCCAGAATTCCTGAGCCATTATGGGGGAATATGGCCCCTTCATGACTCGTGGACTTCAACTCCCAGAATTCCTCAGCCAGCATGGGGGAAACTTTGGCCCCTTCATGACTCGTGGACTTCAACTCCCAGAATTCCTGAGCCAGCATGGGGGAACTATGGTCCTTCATGACTCGTGGACTTCAACTCCCAGAATTCCTGAGCCAGCATGGGGGAACTATGGCCCCTTCATGACTCGCGGACTTCAAGTCCCAGAATTCCTGAGCCAACATGGGGGAACTATGGCCCCTTCATGATTCGAGGACTTCAAGTCCCAGAATTCCTGAGCCAGCACGGGGGAACTATGGCCCCTTCATGACATGTGGACTTCAACTCCCAGCATTCCTGAGCCAGTATGAGGGAAACTATGGCCCTTTCGTGACTCGCGGACTTCAACTCCCAGAATTCCTCAGCCAGCATGGCTCAGCTTGGAAACCTCTCCCTTTCCCCTCAGCATGGCTGGCTCAGGAATTCTGGGAGTTGAAGTCCCCCAGTCATAAAAGAGCCCAGATTGCCACCCCTGCAGTGGACCAAACCATCTTTATCTTGACTTCCATACTCGCTGGAGTAGAGTCCCCTGAAGTGGGCGCCTTTCCTTTCCATTCTCAAGCTGTTTAAGGAGGTCATAATGGCCTGCCCTTGACATGTGGCTTTTTCTCCAGATCTTGGATCTCTCCTACAACAACCTATCTCCTGAGGATGTGCAGATTCTGGGAATTTTACCACACCTGAAAGTTCTCCACCTTACGGCCAATGGACTTTCTTCGCTTCCCCTCAATCTGGCTGCCTCAGAAAGGTGAGTTCCTGGGCAACCCAAAGGGCATCCTCATCTTCTCTGAGCTTAAGGAAGCCTACATAGGATTTCCCATGCTGGTTTAATCATCCGGATCCTGGTTACCTTCCATTCAGCTCAGCATCTACAAGATTGTGAGGTTATCTTCCCAATAAATATTTGTAGCTCAGGGTTGAAATGAGGAGTCTTTGGTGCTCTCTGAGCTGGTTGTCCATCCATCCATCCATCTATCCATCCACCCATCCATCTATCCATCCACCCATCCATCTATCCATCCATCATCCATCCATCTATCCATCCATCCATCCATCTATCCATCCATCCACCCATCCATCTATCTACCCACCTATCTACCCATCCATCTATCCATCCACCCACCCATCCATCATCCATCCATCCACCCATCCATCTATCCATCCACCCACCCATCCATCATCCATCCATCCACCCATCCATCATCCATCCATCCACCCATCCATCTATCCATCCATCCATCCATCTATCCATCCACCCATCCATCATCCACCCATCCATCCATCCATCTATCCATCCACCCATCCATCCATCTATCCATCTACCCATCCATCCATCTATCCATCCACCCATCCATCCATCTATCCACCCACCCATTCATCTATCCATCCATCTATCCATTCACCCATCCATCATCCATCCATCCACCCATCCATCCATCCATCTATCCACCCACCCATCCATCTATCGATCCACCCATCCATCATCCATCCAACCATCCATCCACCCACCCATCATCCATCCATCCACCCATCCATCTATCTATCTACCCACCTATCTACCCATCCATCTATCCATCCACCCATCCATCATCCATCCACCCACCCATCCATCCATCCACCCATCCATCCATCCACCCATCCATCTATCCACCCACCCATCTACCCATCTATCCATCCACCCACCCATCATCCATCCATCCATTCTATCTATCTATCTATCTATCTATCTATCTATCTATCTATCATCTATCTATCCATCTATCTATATATCTATCATGTATCTATCATCTATGTATCATCAGAATCATAGGGCTGGATGGGACTAAAACATCTATAAGAAAATGATCAAGTTTAAAGATGACCAAGGACCCAACAATTCTTCTTCTTCTTCTTCTTCTTCTTCTTCTTCTTCTTCTTCTTCTTCTTCTTCTTCTTCTTCTTCTTCTTCTTCTTCTTCTTCTTCTTCTTCTTCTTCTTCTTCTTCTTCTTCTTCTTCTTCTTCTTCTTCTTCTTCTTCTTCTTCTTCTTCTTCTTCTTCTTCTTCTTCTTCTTCTTCTTCTTCTTCTTTTTCGTCTTCTTCTTTTTCGTCTTCTTCTTCTCCTCCTTCTCCTCCTCCTCCTCCTCCTCATCCTCATCCTCCTTCTAGGGCACCAAGATTATCTGAAGACAGCAAAGAGGAGTAGGTAGATAACCATAGGAGAGTTTTCCAAGTAATAAAGAATTCCTCTTTGGACTTGAGTGGATTTTCCTCTGGACATGGAACTCGGACTTTTGTCTCCGTTCTCCAAGAAACGGAAGACGAAGGGGTAAAGGGGAAGGAAGGCAGGAGAAGCGGCAAAGGAAGGATTAAGGTGACCAGTAGACATTTCTCCTTTCTGTAAACAGCAGGAGCTGCCCAAAATTCCCAGCATTGGAGGTCTTGCTTCTTGATGACAATCACCTTTCCGACTCCAGTGTCTTTGTCAGTTTGGCCAATCTTCGAAGGTAAGGGAGACCGGATTGGTTTGTATCCTCTTAAAGAGCCTTAACCAATAGCTTTTTGCGTGGAAAATAATCAAGGAGAGAAGCAACCTAGGACTAAGTGGGAATTTCCTGACAGGGAGAACAAGTATCCAGTGGAACCACCTGCCTCCAGAAGTTGTGGGTGCTCCGTCACTGAATGTTTTTAAGAAGAGACTGGACAGCCACTTGTCTGGAATGGTACAGGAACTTCTGCTCGAGCAGGAGGCTGGATTAGAAGACCTTCAAAGTACCTTCCATCTCTGTTGATCTGTATTCTGATTGAGGGAACTAGGGATGTCTACTCTGTCAACGAGAAAAACTAAGGGTTCACATGATACTAATCATCCAGTACTAGTATTAGACTATTGGAAATTGACCAGCTGGAATTGATAGTGTTAGACAATTGGAAATTGACCAGTTGGAATTGACAGACAATTGGAAACTGGCCAGCTGGAATTGACAGTCTTAGACAATTGGAAATTGGCCAGCTGGAATTGGCAGTCTTAGACAATTGGAAATTGACCAGCTGGAATTGACAGTCTTAGACAATTGGAAATTGACCAGTTGGAATTGACATTCAATTGGAAATTGACCAGCTGGAATTGACAGTCTTAGTCAATTGGAAACTGGCCAGTTGGAATTGACAGTCTTAGGCAATTGGAAACTGGCCAGCTGGAATTGACAGTCTTAGTCAATTGGAAACTGGCCAGTTGGAATTGACAGTCTTAGACAATTGGAAATTGACCAGCTGGAATTGACAATCTTAGACAATTGGAAATTGGCCAGCTGGAATTAGCAGTCTTAGACAATTGGAAATTGACTAGCTGGAATTGACAGACAATTGGAAACTTGCCAGCTGGAATTGACAGTCTTAGTCAATTGGAAACTGGCCAGTTGGAATTGACAATCTTAGACAATTGGAAATTGACCAGCTGGAATTGACAGACAATTGGAAATTGGCCAGCTGGAATTGACAGTCGTAGACAATTGGAAATTGACCAGTTGGAATTGACAGTCAATCGGAAATTGACCAGCTGGAATTGACAGTCTTAGACAATTGAAAATTGATCAGCTGGAATTGACAGAAAATTGGAAACTGGCCAGCTGGAACTGACAGTCTTAGTCAATTGGAAACTGGCCAGTTGGAATTGACAAAGCCAGCCACATGCTGGTGCTGCCAATGGGATGACTTCCACATGATTTTCAAGCTTTCTGTAAGAGATGAAATATGGCAGAGGGTTCTAACGGTGGCATGGGTTTGGCCCCAAAACTTGCTGTACCCTAGTAAACTGAGGACTGATATTTTTGTTTCTATAGGCTAAAGCAGCTGAACCTGGACAAAAACAGAATTAAAGAGGTCCCCTATCTCCATTACGTGAGCGACAACCACTTCTCCATCCATCCTTTATCGGCCAAGTCAGGCATCCGGGCAGGCTTACGTTGTCGGAAAAAGGCCCCCCAAAAGCCACACCAGGATCAGTCCCCAAGGCTACACCAGCAGTGCAGTTACCTTATTACACAAAACACCCAGGATCCCGACAAGACAGGTGGGCTAAAAGTATTAAATATTTTACTCAGAGCAGAGTGCATTTCTCTGTTCCTTCATTGGGATTCCTTTCCAAGTGATGAAGAGACGTTTTGTCCACCCTGTCGTTAAGGAAGTAATTTGATTTTAGTAAATATATTTGATTTTATTCATTTTATTGATCGTTGGCTTGCAAAGGGGCCCTTTCCAACTGCATATTTATCACGCATTCCGATTTTAAGTTTCTGCAAGGCCTTCACTTCGGCCAGATTGAATCCTCTGCCTTCAGCGGGGTCCGTGGTGCTCTCTGAGCTGGATGGTTTTCTTGCAGACGTTTTGTTACCACACTCGGTGATATCATCAGCACTAGAGGGGGCTTGGGGTCTGGAGGAGAAGAGAAAGGAGAAAGGGAGGGGGAGGAGAAGAATTGTGGGATCTTTGGTGCTCTCTGAGCTTGGTTATTTGGATGGATGGCCGGACAAATAGATGAGATAGATGATAGGAAAAACAATAGATAGATGATAGATAGATTAGATACATAGATAGATAGATAGATAGATAGATAGATAGATAGATACATAGATGATAGATAGATGATAGATTAGATACATAGATTAGATAGATAGATAGATAGATAGATAGATAGATAGATAGATAGATGATAGATACATAGATGATACATAGAATAAGATAATGATACATAGAATAGATAGATGATAGATGATACATAGAATAGATATAATGATATAGATAGATAGATAGATAGATAGATAGATGATAGATACATAGATGATAGATAGATGATAGATGATAGATAGATAATGATACATAGAATAGATAGATAGATAATGATATATATATGATAGATAGATGATAGATAGATTAGATACATAGATAGATTAGATAGATAGATAGATAGATAGATAGATAGATGATAAATAGATGATAGATAGATGATACATAGAATAGATAGATAATGATACATAGAATAGATAGATGATAGATGATACATAGAATAGATATAATGATATAGATAGATAGATAGATGATAGATGATAGATAGATAGATGATACATAGAATAGATAGATAGATAATGATAGATAGATGATAGATAGATGATAGATAGATAGATGATACATAGAATAGATAGATAATTACATAGAATAGATAGATAGATAGATGATACATAGAATAGATAGATAGATGATAGATAGATATATAGATGATAAATAGATGATAGATATAGATAGATGATACATAGAATATATAGATAATGATACATAGAATAGATAGATGATAGATGATACATAGAATAGATATAATGATATAGATAGATAGATAGATAGATAGATAGATAGATAGATAGATAGACAGATAGATGAGAGAGAGAGAGGTGATAGATGATAGATACATATAGATAGATGAGAGAGAGAGAGAGAGTGTGTGTGTGTGTGTGTGTGTGTGTGTGAGAGAGAGAGAGAGAGAGAGAGAGAGAGAGAGAGAAAGAGAGAGGGATCAGACAAACAGACAACCCCAATCCCAGGATTTTCTTTTCTGTGTAGCACTATCTTGTCAAGAGTTTTTGTGGGCCACCCTATAAGTCCAATATAGCGACGCAACGGACCCTGCAGGAAAGGCTGGAGGTTGCAAACCTTCCCAAATGCCCTCACGGCCGAGGTCCAAAACATGTTCAGCCTCGCTGGCAGCTTAGGAGCGACTGCCTCCTCCTTTTCCCGTGCCCTGATGCTAATTTCACGTTTTTCAACAGAAGTCGTCTTTCAGACGCGACCTCCGGAAGAAACGGCTCAGGTAACGGGTTCCGATTCTTTGCTTGGGCTTTTGTGCCTCACAGCAGGAATTTGGCGAGATTTTCTGAGGATATCCAGGCGTGTGTGTGTGTGTGTGTGTGTGTGTGTGTGTGTGTGTGTGTGGTGGGAACAAAATAGGAGCCCTCCTTGTTTCCAAAGAATTGCTCCAGATGGGGGAAACGGATATTAACACTGCAATTGTAGATCAGTGCAGTATAATCAAGGGTTGGGTCAGGTTAATTAAGGTTAATTAATGAGGAATTTCCTGACGGTGAGAGCAATTAATCCAGGGGTCTTCCAACTTGGCCCTTTGATGACTTGTGGACGACAACTCCCAGAATTCCTCAGCCAGCGTGCCTAGCTGAGGAATTCTGGGAGTTGAAGTCCAGGGGGTCTTCCAACTTGGCCATTTGATGACTTGTGGACTTCAACTCCCAGAATTCCTCAGCCAGCGTGCCTGGCTGAGGAATTCTGGGAGTTGAAGTCCAGGGGGTCTTCCAACTTGGCCCTTTGATGACTTGCGGACTTCAACTCCCAGAATTCCTCAGCCAGGCATGCTGATGAAAATAAGGTTTATTCTGCTGCAAAGACATTAACAGAATCACAGAAATGGAAGGGACCTCAGAGGTCTTCTAGCCCAACCCCCCGGATATCCAACTTCCGGAGGCAAGGATGTTCCACTGATTAATTCAGGGGTCTTCAAACTTGGCCCTTTGATGACTTGTGGGCGTGCCGCCATCGTGCGCACACGCATGTGCTCATGTATGCACGGGGCTACGTGCGAGCACGTTTCCGTCCCGCTCCCTTCCTTTCCGAGCCGCCAAGCCGTAAAGGTTGGGGAGCTCTGATCTAGTCCAACCCCCCCCCCCGAAGCAGGAGACCGTACCCCACTCCTGACAGTCCCGTCTCTTCTTGGAAGCCTCCAGTGGTGCAGCTCCCACAACATCTGGAGGCAGCTCCTGTTCCACTGGTTGACTGTTCTCTCTGTCAGAAAATTCCTCCTTATTTCTTCTTCTCTTTCTTCCAGGAAAGGTCTCCTTCACCTCTTGAGGATTCCAAGGCCCCTTGTGCCAGCATCCACACGGAATTCCTCCTTCCCTTACCGGAGCTGAGATTTCTCAGCCTTGCCAACAATCAGGTGAGCTGGCTCTTCTTCAGATGCTGCTCCAAGCCAGGCTGATGATTTGCAACCACGGGATGGGCGACGGGCACCTGGAAATGGTGGGAAGCCTGTGGTCCTCAGACTGACTGTGATAGATAGATAGATAGATAGATAGATAGATAGATAGATAGATAGATAGATAGATAGGTAGGTAGGTGGGTGGGTGGGTGGGTGGGTGGGTGGGTGGGTAGGTAGGTAGGTAGGTAGGAAGGTAGGAAGGTAGGTAGGTAGGTAGACAGACAGACAGACAGATAAGATAGAGATAGAGAAATAGATTATACAGAGATAAAGAGAAAAATATATTTTCTCTTTTCTATCATAGATATAGATAGAGGGGGGGAGTGTAGGGGGAGAGAGAGACTAGATAGACAAATAGGTAGATAGGTAGGTAGGTAGATAGATAGAGAAAGAGAGAGAGATGATAGAGAGAGGGAAGAGAGACTAGATAGACTAATAGGTAGGTAGGTAGATAGGTACGTAGGTAGATAGAGAAAGAAAGAGAGAGATGATAGATAGAGAGAGAGAGAGAGAGATAGGGAAGAGAGAGACTAGATAAACAGACAGACTAATAGGTAGGTAGGTAGATGATAGATAGATAGATAGATAGATAGATAGATAGATAGATAGATAGGTAGGTAGGTAGGTAAGTAGGTAGGTGGGTACGTAGGCAGACATATAAGATAGAGATAGAGAAATAGATTATACAGAGATAAAGAGACAAATATATTTTCTCTTTTCTATCATAGATATAGATAGAGAGAGGGGGGAGGGTAGGGGGAGAGAGAGACTAGATAAAGAGAGATAGGGGGAGAGAGACTAGATAGACAGATAGGTAGGTAGGTAGATATATAGAGAAAGAAAGAGAGAGAGATGATAGATAGATAGAGACAGAAGAGAGACTAGATAAACAGACAGCTAGGTAGGTAGGTAGGTAGGTAGACAGACACAGACAGACAGACAGACGGATAGATAACAAGCCCCCCCCCCCCCAAATTTAATTTTTAATGCATGCTGTTGTGCCCACGGTAAAAAAAAATGACAATAAAGGTTATCTCATCTAATCTAATACAATCCTGGGTGGTATAAACAGGTCTGGAATCAAGATTGCCCTTTCCGTCTGTCGCGGAAAAACCCAATGGAAAAGACAAGAGACGGCAACACAAAACCCTAAATCTTTACTTTAAGATTCAGAGGTTTATTTTTCTAGTAATTTGGAACATAGCATAATAACACAACATCCCTTACCTCAGTGTTTCCCAAACTTGACAATTTTAAGGCATGTGGACTTCAACTCCCAGAATTCCACAGCCAGCGTTGCTGGCTGTGGAATTCTGGGAGTTGAAGTCCACATGCCTTAAAATTGTCAAGTTTGGGAAACACTGCCTTACCTTAACAACCCATTGCAATGAGGACCCTATGGCATAGCAGATTCCAAAGGGACAGCTATAGGCCAATGGTCCCGAGCCAGACTGAAACTAACATTTTTATACTTTTCTGCTACCGACCACCCAGTCATAATTCTTACTTGGCAAAGACAGTTCCCATCTGAAAATTCTTGTTGTTGTTAGTTGCGAAATTGTGTCCGACCCATCACGACCCCATGGACCACCTTCCTCCAGGCCTTCCTGTCCTCTGCCATCTTCTGGAGTCCCTTGACGTTCACGCCTTCTGCTTCAGTGACTCCATCCAGTCACCTCCTTCTCTGTCGTCCCCTTCTTCTCTTGCCCTCCATCTTTCCCAGCATTAGGCTCTTCTCCAGTGAGTCCTTCCTTCTCATTAGGTGGCCAAAGTCCTTGAGTTTCAACTTCAGGATCTGGCCTTCTCAAGAGCAGTCGGGGTTGATCTCCTCCAGGACTGACCGGTTGGATCGCCTTGCAGTCCAGGGGACTCGCAGGAGTCTTCTCCAGCACCAGAGTTCAAAGGCCTCCATTCTTTGGCACTCAATAGTAGCAACTGTGAGAGGGATCTCGGAGTCCTAGTGGAGCATCACTTAAATAGGAGCCAGCCGTGTGCTGCAGCTGCCAAAAAGGCCAACACAGTGCTAGGTTGCATTAACAGAGGGATAGAATCAGGATCACGTGAAGGGTTAATACCACTTTACAAGGCCTTGGTAAGGCCACGCTTGGAATATTGTATCCAGTTTTGGTCACTACGATGTAAAAAAGATGTTGAGACTCTAGAAAGAGTACAGAGAAGAGCAACAAAGATGATTAGCGGACTGGAGGCTAAAAGATATGAAAGATGTTTACTGGAATTGGGGATGTCTAATTTAAGGAAAAGAAGGATGAGGGGGGGACATGATAGCAGTCTTCCAGTATCTGAGGGGCTGCCCCAAAGAAGAGGGAGTCAAGCTATTTTCCAAAGTGCCCGAAAGCAGGACAAGAAGCAACGGATGGAAACTCATCAAGGGGAGAAGCAACCTAGAGCTAAGGAGAAACTTCCTGACAGTGAGAACAATTAACCAGTGGAACCACCTGCCTCCAGAAGCGGTGAATGCTCCAACACTGGAAGTTTTTAAGAAGAGACTGGACAGCCATTTGTCCAAAATGGTATATAGGTTTCCTGCCTGAGCAGGGGGTTGGACTCGATGATCTCCAAGGTCCCCTTCCAACATCACCACCATCATCATCATCATCATTATTATTATTATTATTATTATTATTATTATTATTATTATTATTATTATAGAACTACCAACTTTGCAATTTATATTGCTCGAAGCTCAGCAGATTGCAAATAGTAATAGTCCTTATTGGGAAACAGCATAAAGTTTCAAGTTAAAGCTTTAAATCGCTTCTATTTCAGGTTTTGTTCTAGCCCTGTCTTATTATATGAGGAGGGGGCTATATTTTCATCTCCCACACGTCTTTATTGATTGGCAGATCGAGCACGAAGAAGATTTGCTGGCCGTGGCTCTCTTCCCCTCCCTGGCGGAGCTGACCTTCTACGGCAACCCGTTCACCACGTCCAGAAGCGGTACCCCCGGCCCGGGGCCACGGGTGGGGTGGGGGGCTTCCCTGGGGCAGAGGGACCGTCCCACTCGGCTTTTTGCCAGCTGAAGGGCGGCAAAGAGACGGAAAAAATTTAGAGGGGGTTTCTTAAAGTCTCTCCCTTTCATTGCCCTGAACGATTTCATCAGTTCTTTTCAAGATCCAGACCTGTAAATGGTATAGATTCTCCTGCTTGAGCTGGGGGCTGGACTAGAAGACCTCCAAGGTCCCCTTGCACCGCTCTTCTATTCTATTCTATTCTATTCTATTCTGTAATTCTATTCCATTCCATTCTGTAATTCTATTCTGTTCTATTCTATTCTATTCTATTCTATTCTCTATTTCCTATTCTATTCTATTCTCCATACAGTATTCTATTCTGTTCTATTCTATTCTATTCTCCATACAGTATTCTGTTCTATTCTATTCTATTCTCTTCTCTTCTCTTCTCTTCTCTTCTCTTCTATTCTATTTCCTATTCTATTCTATTCTATTCTATTCTATTCTATTCTGTAATTCTATTCTATTCTATTCTATTCTATTCTATTCTATTCTTATTCTCTTCTCTTCTCTTCTATTCTATTCTATTCTATTTTATTCTATTCTATATTTTTTGTGGTGCTTGGTTGCCGAGCATCCGAAATACCATCCTGTGAATTGTGAGCAGGATGGGTGACAGACAGCTGTCAGAACTTCGACTCCAGATCATCAATACCTTTTTTTAGGTGTGTGTGTGTGTGTGTGTTGTAACTTGGAACAGTCGTTTTCTGTCTGGTTGTAAGTGGAGGACTCCCTGTGAAGGAAGAGAAATTTGGGGGGGCAGGTGTTTAAGACTGACCTCTCTTGCCTTCTCCTCTTCCCCTGCCTCTTCCCCAAGGCGACCCACCGCTGCTCACCAGCTTTCTTCAAAACAAACTTGGAATTAAACTGGTTCGGAAAAAGGTTCCCAAGCTGGAGAAGCCACGCATTTTTATACCCGTCAAAGCGAACCGGGAGGTATAAACGTGGAGAGATTAGGTGGTAAAAAACACTTTAATTCAACAAAAATTGGGGACCGGCCGAGGTTATCAAATGTTGGCACAGGGGGAGGAATCAGGAAGGGCTGGGAAGTTGGGACCGTTTTGTTCCTAGAGGCCACAAGTAGGATGGCTCCTCCCTTCTAGCACTGATGATGTTCCCTAGTTGGGTCATGAAACATCTGCAAGAAAACCACCCAGCTCAGAGAGCACCAAGGACCCCACTGTTCTCCTCCACCTCCACCTCCTCCTCCACCTCCACCTCCTCCTCCCTTCTAGCACTGATGAGGTTCCCTAGTTGGGTCATGAAAGGTCTGCAAGAAAACCACCAAGCTCAGAGAGCACCAAGGACCCCATAGTTCTCCTCCTCTCTTCTTCTTCCCTCCTCCTCCTCCTCCTCTTCTCCTCCTCCTCCTCCCTTCTAGCACTGATGATGTTCCCTAGTTGGGTCATGAAACATCTGCAAGAAAACCACCCAGCTCGGAGAGCACCAAGGACCCCACAGTCATCGTCCTCCTCCTCTTCCTCCTCCTCCTCCCTTTGAGCACTGATGAGGTTCCCTAGTTGGGTCATGAAAGGTCTGCAAGAAAACCACCCAGCTCAGAGAGCACCAAGGACTCCATAGTTCTCCTTCTCCTCCTCTTCCTCCTCCCTTCTAGCACTAACGATGTTCTCTAGTTGGGTCATGAAACATCTGCAAGAAAACAACTCAACTCAGCACCGGGGACCCCACAGTCCTCCTCCTCCTCCTCCTCCCTTCTAGCATTGACGATGTTCCCTAGTTGGGTCATGCAACATCTAGCAAAAAAAAAAACATCCAACTCAGAGAGCACTGGGGACCCCAAACCGTTGCCCTACCAAGATTCTCTTCTAAGCATCCTAAGAGGCCTCCAGACGAACCCGTGCAGGAACGTCAGAAGGTCAAGGCTTCTGTCCTTACGATCCCAGCCTTGCCCTGATTTTCTCTGTGTCTCTTTAGATCAAATCCCAGCTACCCAAGGTCCGAAAGCGCCCCCCGCCGGCCGAGACGGCGGTGGAGACCACCTTCTGGCAACTGTGGACGGGATCCGAGCTGGATCCGAGTAAAAGACTCAGTTCCAAAGACCTTCCGGAGTGCCCGTCCTCTTCTCTCGCCTACGATCCTGATCGGCCCATCCTAGCTCCCCTTCGGCGGGAGGAGAGGTCCACCTCTCTGACCACTTTGTACACCGAAGCCTTGAGCCCGGGGTACTCCCTGGACGAGATGTCTCGCTACAGCGAAGTATCCTGCGAGTCTTCCGTAGATCAAATCCTGACTGGTAAAGTTCCTGCGTCTCAGTCCTTGTCGGGACAAAGTCCTTCCGAAGTTCTTCCCCCGCCCTCCGGATCGGTTTCACGAGGACCGTCTGGGTTGCCCCCGGTCATAGAGTTGCCTTCATCAGACCAGGTTCTGCCCGAGGCGTCAGCTCTACCAGAGAACCTGTCGGAGTTTCTCCCGTACACGTGGACCTCTCCAGGAGACCACCCAGCAGAGCTACGGTGGGAACTCCTCGCCCCTCCGAACTCACCTTCGGAGGGACAGAGCGAGTCAGAACTTATTCAGGTTGTTGGACCAGAAGAAGCAGCAGCAGAAGGAGAAGATAGACCCAAGACTCTTGTCTCCATCGCTTCTGGCACAGAGCCTACTCTGTCGGCGTCCGTGACGACGTCTTTGCCGGAACGGAAAGGAAGCAAACCGTTGGTATCGTCTGAAGGTGGCCTCGGAGAAGACTTGGGGGTGCCTCCTTCCACGCCAGGAGAATCCTCTGCAGAAGATGAAGATCTGCAGGAATCCATGCCCATCTCCGTCCCCGGTGGGGAGGATGGGGGCCTCCCAGAGGCCGCCTTGCCCACCGTTTCTTCGGAAGAAGACGAAGATCAAGAGGAACCTTCTCAACTTCCCACCTCGGGCTTCCAAGATATGAATCTCTTGGCGTCTTCCGAGGAAGAAGAGCAGCCTCCAAGCCCTCCTCTCGTGGACCGTGGCCAGGAGCAGAGCCTGACCTTGGTGGATTCGTCCCCAGGGCCAACGTCTTCGCAACCGCTGGTCCCAGCCTCCCGATCCGTGTCCAGAGAGCTCCGCGGACTCTTTGCCCAGATCCAGTCCTACGCTTTGCCTCCAGAACCAGAGGAGGAGGAGGAGGAGGACACGGACACGTCCACGGCGGAGGAGGTGCTGACGAGTAGCGGAGAAGGGGTCACCGAGCCCATCTTCATCACTCAGGTGGGTGAGCCGGGGAGACGCCCGACGGGAGGGAGTCCTCGGCTTAGCGGCCATGATTGAGCGCACCAAATTTCTTTCGCTAAGCGAGACCGTTTTTAAGCGAGTTGTTGCCCCATTTGACTGGCTTCCTTGCCACGGTCGTTAAATGAACCCATGCAGTTCAGTTACTCATCTGGTTGTTAAGTGAACCTGTCCGGGAATCCCTCCCCTCCCCATTGGCTTGGTCAGAAAGTCGCAAAAGGGGATGGCCCGACCCCTACCTTGGGACGCTGTGGCCATCGTAAATAGGAGTCGGTTGCCAGATGTCTGAATTTTGAACACGTGGCCGCGGGGTTTTTTCAACAGCCATCTGTGTGAAAAAACGGTCGTAAGTCACGTTTTTCAGTGCTATTGTAAGAAAGAGAGAGAGAGAGAGAGAGAGAGAGAGCTGCTGCTGCTTCCTGCTGAGACGCAGCCAAGGCAGGAGCCCCGCCCAATAAGCTTGTCAGCTTGTCGGAGAACAGTGTGAGGCCACTCTCTTTTTTACACAGACACTCACACACACACACACACACACACACAGAGAGAGAGAGAGAGAGAGAGAGAGCTTCTGCTTCCTGCTGAGACGCAGCCAAGGCAGGAGCCCCGCCCAATAAGCTTGTCAGCTTGTCGGGGAACAGTGTGAGGCCACTCTCTTTTTTACACACACACACACACACACACAGAGAGAGAGCTGCTGCTGCTTCCTGCTGAGACGCAGCCGAGGCAGGAGCCCCGCCCAATAAGCTTGTCAGCTTGTTGGAGAACAGCGTGAGGCCACTCTCTTTTTTACAGAGAGAGAGAGAAGGGAAGGGAAGCGCAGGTGCCTCTCTCTGTCTCTGTCTCTCTGCAAATGGCGGAGGAGGCTGGGAGCCGCAGGAGAAGACTCAAAGAGCCACATGCGGCTCCAGAGCCGTGGGTTGCCGACCTGTGGTACAGAGTCTCCTGCTTGAGCAGGAAGCTGGACTAGAAGACCTCCAAGGTCCCTTCCGATTCTCTGTCATTCTGTTATTCTGACCTTCTTTGCACCTTGCAAATTGGACCAAATCTCTGGACGTGCTGCTCCCCAGCGTGACAAGGCATCATTTTAAAATACCCGAGTTTGTCGTGATTGCTTTTTCCCCCCCTCTTTCCTTCTATGGGCGCAAGGTAGACGAATCGCTGGATTCCTGGGGGACGCGGCTGAGCCCTCCCCTGCCGGAGAAGTTGAGGGGCTACGAAGATCTGCTCGGAGGAGACCCCGGCTCAGATTTTGTTGAGCCAAACGGTAAGCTGAAAACACCCCCCCCCCCGCACTTCGTTGAGAGTGAGGTGCCCAATTGTCCAGCTTTGAGGGGCTTCTTTTCAGGGGGGGGCTACCTGGAAAAGATCAGAAGACACACACACACACACACAACCGGTCGTAAGTCGAGGACTACTCAACCGGTCGTAAGTCGAGGACTACTCAACTGGTGCAGCACCGTTTGCAGAATGGGACTTTTGACGGGCTCAGCAGGGCAGAGACAGCCTGGACAATTCCTATTGGCTTTGGAAAGCCAATAGAATTAGACTCTATTCAAGAGAGTCTCTTCTATTGGCTTTCAAAAGCCAATAGAAGAAAAGGGAGTAGCACAGCTAAGGAAAAGGGGGGGGGGAAATGGCGGACTGCGTTGTTTGGCGACCCCCGTGAAATGGTCGTTCGACCCCAAATGGGGTCGCGACCCACAGGTTGAGCACCGCTGCTCAAAAGGAAGCAGAGGGCCAATGTCAGACGATGCTGCTGCCTTGATCTCGGTTTGTTTGAGATGCGAGGGATCGGCAGGATCGTCGCTTGCTCGGGCTGGTCTGGTGGGAAGAGCATAAAAGGAATGAAAAATGAAATCAGTCAATCAGAATAGAGCTGGAAGAGTCCCTGGAGGTCTTCTAGTCCAGCCCCCTGCTCAAGCAGGAGATCCTATACCGTTTCAGACCAGTTTTGGCTGTCCAGTCTCTTCTGAAAAGTCTCCAGGGATGAAGCAGTCACACCTTCTGACAGGAAGCTGATTAATTGTTCTCACTGTCAGGAAGTTTCTCCTTCAGGAGTTGGACCGTGGGGTCCTGGGTGCTCTCTGAGCTGGGTGGTTTTCCAGCAGACGTTTCATGACCCAACTAGGGAACATCATCAGTGCTGGAAGGAAGGAAGGAAGGAAGGAAGGAAGGAAGGAAGGAAGGAAGGAAGGAAGGAAGGAAGGAAGGAAGGAAGGACAGACTGTGCGGTCCTTGGTACTATCTAAGCTGAGTGGTTCTCTTTCTGACGTTTCATGACCCAACTAGGGAACATCATCAGTGCTAGAAGGGAGGAGAAGAAAGAAAGAAAGAAAGAAAGAAAGAAAGAAAGAAAGAAAGAAGGAAGGAAGGAAGGAAGGAAGGAAGGAAGGAAGGAAGGAAGGAAGGAAGGAAGGAAGGAAGGAAGGAAGGACTGTGGGGTCCTTGGTGCTCTCTGAGCTGGGTGGTTCTCTTGCAGACGTTTCATGACCCAACTAGGGAACATCATCAGTGCTAGAAGGGAGGAGAAGAAAGAAAGAAAGAAAGAAAGAAAGAAAGAAAGAAGGATGGATGGATGGATGGAAGGAAGGAAGGAAGGAAGGAAGGAAGGAAGGAAGGAGGACTGTGGGGTCCTTGGTGCTCTCTGAGCTGGGTGGTTCTCTTGCAGACGTTTCATGACCCAACTAGGGAACATCATCAGTGCTAGAAGGGAGGAGAAGAAAGAAAGAAAGAAAGAAAGAAAGGAAAGAAAGAAAGAAAGAAAGAAAGAAAGAAAGAAAGAAAGAAAGAAAGAAAGAAAGAAAGAAAGGACTGTGGGGTCCTTGGTGCTCTCTGAGCTGGATGGTTCTCTTGCAGACGTTTCATGACCTAACTAGGGAACCTCATCAGGGCTAGAAGGGAGTGGGGTCTCCAGAGGAGGAGGCGGAGAAGAAGAAGAAGAGGAGGAGGAGGACTGTGGGGTCCCTGGTGCTCTCTGAGCTTGGTAGCTTTCGTGCAGACATTTCATGATCCAACTAGGGGACATCATCAATGCTAGAAGGGGGAGGAGGAGGAGGAGGGAGGGAGGGAGGAAGGGAGGGAGGGAGGAAGAAAGGAAGAAAGGAAGGAAGGAAGGAAGGAAGGAAGGAAGGAAGGAAGGAAGGAAGGAAGGAAGGAAGGAACTGTGGGGTCCTTGGTGCTATCTAAGCTGGGTGGTTCTCTTGCTGACGTTTCATGACCCAGCTAGGGAACATCAGTGCTAGAGGGAGGGAAGGAAGGAAGGAAGGAAGGAAGGAAGGAAGGAAGGAAGGAAGGAAGGAAGGAAGGAAGGAAGGAAAGAAAGAAAGACAGACAGACAGAAAGAAAAAAAGAAAGAAAGGAAAGAAAGAAAGAAAGAAAGAAAGAAAGAAAGAAAGGAAAGAAAGAAAGAAAGAAAGAAAGAAAGACTGTGGGGTCCTTAATGCTGTCTGAGCTTGTTTATTTTCTTGCAGACATTTCATGACCCAACTAGTGAACCTCATCAGGGCTAGAAGGGAGGGGGGTCTGCAGAGGAGGAGGAGGAAGGGAAGGATCGCAGGCCCCTCGGTGTGCTCTGAGCTTGGGGTTTTCCCTGCAGACATCTCATCACCCTACTAGGGAACCTCATCAGGGCCCGAAGAGAACAGAATCGACTCAGGATCCCCCTCCTGGAGGATAACGGAGGAATCCGTTTTTCCTTTTCCTCAAAAGACTTTCTCCATCTGTGTTTCGAACCAGGGATACAACAGAACGTCCAGGCTTTGGAGAAAGCCCTTCGCTACCCTCTCGTCTACCGCGACCCCAAGGCCAGGCTGGACCGCTACCAGAAGCCTTACGTCTCTGCCCGAAAGAAGGTCGGGGGTCCCACGGAGGGGCTTTTGGGGGCGGGGGGCAGGAGGGGGATGTTGAGCGGGATGATCCCGATCCTGGATCCGGCCAGCTCTCTTTGGCTTCCGCCAGGGCTTCTCGGTGAAATGGTCGTAAATCATGCTGGTCGTTAAGCGGGACGTCCCCATGGCTCATTAAGTAAATCCGCCGTCACGAAGGGAAACCATTGTCCTCAAGGGTCCTTGGTGGCCAGAAACTGGCAAAAACATACCCTAAGTCACGACCCCGTGACGGTGCGACGTGGTCACACGCCCCGGCCAGTGGCTAAGCACCCAAAACGCGGCCCGCGTAGCCATCTCCATGCTCCTCTAGATTTTGTGCAAAGGACAACTGTGTTGCAGGGTTCATATCTCACAGCACCCTAATGTCTTTGGGCCAATCACCAGGAGACGGGGAGTTCTAGTCCCGCCTTAGCTGTGAAAGAGAACTGGGTGACTTTCCTCCAATCACCAGGAGACGGTGAATTCTAGCCCCGCCTTAGGCATGAAAGCCAACTGGGTGACTTTGGGCCAATCACCAGGAGACAGTGAGTTCTAGTCCCGCCTTAGGCATGAAAGCAAGCTGGGTGACTTTCCTCCAATCACCAGGAGACGGGGAGTTCTAGTCCCGCCTTAGGCATGAAAGCAAGCTGGGTGACTTTGGGCCAATCACCAGGAGACGGGGAGTTCTAGTCCCGCCTTAGGCACGAAAGAGAACTGGGTGACTTTCCTCCAATCACCAGGAGACAGTGAGTTCTAGTCCCACCTTAGGCATGAAAGCCAGTTGGGTGACTTTGGGCCAATCACCAGGAGACGGGGAGTTCTAGTCCCGCCTTAGGGATGAAAGACCACTAGGTGATTTAGGGCCAAAGTCACCCAACCGGTTCTCATACCTAAGGCAGGACCTGAACTGACTCTCTCTCCGTTTCAAGCCTGGTGCCTCTAACTAGTAGACCAAACTGGTTCTTTATTTAACTTATGTATTCAGTGGATAGGCTGCTCATCTCACTGGAGATGTAATTTAATCCGTGTTCCGTTTAATCTGGATAATTTGGATAAAGCAACCGCTTCTATAGGCGAAAGGACCAACGGGTGTTATCTATACCAGAGGTCCCCAACCTTTCGGGCACCAGGGACCGGTTCCGTGGAGAGGTGTTTTTCCGTAGAAAGGTGTGTGTGTATGTGTGTGTGTGTGTGTGTGTGTGTGTGTGTGTGTGTGTGTGTGTGGTTTTGCATGCTGCCTGCATCCCGCTTTGCCCGGTACCGGTCCATAGACCAGAGGTTGGGGACCCCTGCATTAGCCTGACATTGTACATCCCCATCTTAGGGCGACAATTCAAACCAGAATTTCTCTTGCTAAGCAACATGGTTTATAAGTGGATCCCTGTCAGGAAGTGTCTCCTTAGTTCCAGGTTGTTTCTCTCCTTGATGAGTTTCCATCCGTTGCTTCTTGTCCTGCCTTCAGGAGCTTTGGAGAATAGCTTGACTGCCTCTTCTTTGGGGCAGCCCCTGAGATACTGGAAGGCTGCTATCATGTCCCCCCTCGTCCTTCTCTTCATTAAACTAGACACACCCAATTCCTGCAGCGTTCTCCAACTCCGTTCCTCAACTCCACTCACCTTCACAACATCTGGTTCTGGCCGTCCAGTCTCTTCTTAAAAACTTCCAGTGTTGGAGCATTCACTGCTTCTGGAGGCAGGTGGTTCCACTGGTTAATTGTCCTCACTGTCAGGAAGTTTCTCCTTAGTTCTAAGTTGCTTCTCTCCTTGATGAGTTTCCATCCGTTGCTTCTTGTCCTGCCCTCAGGCGCTTTGGAGAATAGCTTGACTCCTTCTTCTTTGGGGCAGCCCCTGAGATATTGGAACACTGCTATCCTGTCCCCCCTCGTCCTTCTCTTCATTAAACGGAATAACAGAGTTGGAAGGGGCCTTGGAGATCATCTAGTCCAACCCCCTACTCAAGCAGGAGAACCTATACAATCTCAGACAAATGGCTGTCCAGTTTCTTCTTAAAAACTTCCAGTGTTGGAGCATTCACTGCTTCTGGAGGCAGGTAGTTCCACTGGTTAATTGTCCTCACTGTCAGGAAGTTTCTCCTTGGTTCCAGGTTGCTTGTCTCTCTTTTTTTTAAAAATGTTGTATTATTATTATTTTAAAAAATTCCATTTCTACATTGAACAATGTTCTCTAGGTAGGCATACTAGTATTAAAATATAATGATCATCACATTCATGATAATCTTATCAAAATACAATCATATGCTAGGAAATAGCAAACAAACTATTAAAAATAATATTACCCACGTAAACATTAGTCATATAACAATCAAAGTATTTACTAATCCATTATAAGTCTTGCTCACATAATCCACATATTCTCATATTTCTAACCTCTGTTTTTATCAGCTAACCAATTGGTAAAATAAGTCCCATGTCATATAATATTCCGTTTCTTCTTGCTCTTTCATTTTTAACGTTAACCTATCCATCTCTGCGCATTCCAGTATTTTTTTAAATTATTATCGCAGGTTGCTTGTCTCTTTGATGAGTTTCCATCCGTTGCTTCTTCTTTTTTTAAAGAAAATTGTGTTGATTTTCTAGTTTTACATTTAAATATTTAAAAAGCAACATGGCGGCTGAGTTAATTGATAATTCAGTAACATACAAGTATCCTTAGTACAGATCTCAAACTATTACATTAAATACTTGCTCTCTTTTGCCTTAGTATTTACTGTCTCATATTTAAACTAATACAATTCTTATTATATCGATTAAATAAAAATAACTTTCTTACATTTATCAATAATTTTTAGTTTATAGATATAGCCTAGTTATTTTAACATTCAATCTTTGTAGACACTCAATGTCCTAATAATCAAGGAGAGAAGCAACCTAGAACTAAGAAGAAACTTCCTGACAGTGAGAACAATTAACCCATGGAACAACCTGCCTCCAGAAGCAGTGAATGCTCCAACACTGGAAGTTTTTAAGAAGAGACTGGACAGCCATTTGTCCGAAATGGTGTAGGGTTTCCTGCCTGAGCAGGGGGTTGGACTAGATGACCTCCAAGGTCCCTTCCAACTGTGTTATTCTGTTTAATGAAAAGAAGGACCAGAGGTGACAGGACGTTTTTATTATTATTATTGTTATTGTTGTTGTTATCATCATTATCATTATTATTTAGTTTTCCCCAATTTTTAGTTTCCCATAATATTTAAATTTAACGTTTAATATTTATAATTTCCAAGTTTCAAATAATCGCAGTTCCCTTTATCACAATTCATCACAAGATCTAATGTTCAGGATACACATCTATTGGAATATATTCTGTTTCTCACCCTCTTATATCAACTAATTAATAACGCAGTATAACCTTCTTATCTTCTGTTAGTTTCCCAACATCTTAAATTTAGTAACCAAAATTTCTCTTGTTTCAACATTTAATACTTCCTCTCTTTTTCCATCCATCGCTTCTTCTCCTTCCCTTCAGGTCCTTTGGAGAACAGCTTAATCCCCAATTTATTTATTTATTTATTTATTTATTTATTTTAGGAGACTTATATACCGCCTTAAGTGCGAGCACTCTCTAAGCGGTGTACACCAGTAAGCAATGTGTGTATATATATATATATATATATATATATATATATATATATATATTTATATTTACATTGCCCCCAACAATCTGGGTCCTCATTTTACCTACCCCGGAAGGATGGAAGGCTGAGTCAACCTTGAGCCGGTGAGATTTGAACTGCTGACCTGCTCAACACAGTCAGCTAAAGTGGCCTGCAGTACTGCACTCTGACTGCTGCGCCACCTCGGCTCAATTCTTTGTGGCAGCGCCTCAAATTCTGGAAGATTTGCTATCATGTCACCCCTAGTCCTTCTCTTCATTAAACCAGACCTACCCAATTCCAGCAACCGTTCTTTCTGTTAATACCGCTTTACAAGGCCTTGGTAAGGCCACACTTGGAATACGGCATCCAGTTTTGGTCACCAAGATGTCAAAAAGATGTTGAGACTCTGGAAAGAGTGCAGAGAAGAGCAATAAAGATGATCAGGGGACTGGAGGCTGAAACATAAAAGGAACGGTTGCTGGAATTGGGGATGTCTAGTTTAACGAAGAGAAGGACAAGGGGGGACAGGATAGCAGTGTTCCAATATCTGAGGGGCTGCCCCAAAGAAGAGGGAGTCAAGCTATTCTCCAAAGCGCCTGAAGGCAGGACAAGAAGCAACGGATGGAAACTGATCAAGGAGAGAAGCAACCTGGAACTAAGGAGAAACTTCCTGAATGGGAGAATAATTAACCAGTGGAACCACCTGCCTCCAGAAGCGGTGAATGCGGTCCCTTCCAACATCATCATTATTATTATTATTATTTTCTCACAGGTCTTGAGGGTCCCTACGCCGAAGCCTCGGAAGAGCAGAATGGAACGGCTGGAAGAAATCCTGCTGGAGCTGAGGAAGCCCACGAACATTGTCCACGTCCCCCTAGGTAAGAGCTGAAGGGCTCGGACGCAGCTCCAGAGCATCCGAGAAAGACCCCCAAGGCTGATGGGTCAATCTAGGGGGGCTTTGGGGAAACCTGGAAGAGGGGATTCGCTGCAGGTCTGTTTGAGGGAAAGGCAGGAGCTGTCCTAGGTCTGTTCACGAAGAGAATCAGAGGTCTGGAGGCTAAATCATTATGATGAACGGTTGCAGGAACCAGGTTTGTCAAGTTCAGGGGTCTTCTAACTTGGCCCTTAGATGACTTGTGGACTTCAACTCCCAGAATTCCTCAGCCAGCAATGCTGGCTGAGGAATTCTGGGAGTTAAAGTCCACAAGTCATCAAAGGGCCAAGTTGGAAGACCCCCCCTGGACTTCAACTCCCAGAATTCCTCAGCCAAGCACGCTGGTTGAGGAATTCTGGGAGTTGAAGTCCGCAAGTCATCAAAGGGCCAAGTTTGAAGTCTAGTCTAACAAAGAGAAGGACTGGGGGAGGGGGGACATGATACCATCTTCCAATATTTGAGGGGCTGCCACAAAAAAGTGGGTGGGGTCCACCTATTTTCCAAAGCACCTGAAGGCAAGACAAGAAACAACGGATGGAAACCAATCAAGGAGAGAAGCAACCTAGAATTAAGGAGAAACTTCCTGACAGTGAGGACAATCAACCAGTGGAACAGCTTGCCACCAGAAGTTATGGGTGCTCCATCACTGGAGGATTTTAAGAAGAGACTGGACAGTCATTTGTCTGAGATGGTATAGGGCAGGGGTAGGCAACCTTGGCTCTTTTATGACTTGTGGACTTCAACTCCCAGAATTCCTCAGCCAGCATGGGGGAACTATGGGCCCTTCATGACTCGTGGACTTCAACTCCCAGAATTCCTGAGCCAGCCTGGCTCAGCTTGGAAACCTCTCCCTTTCCCCTCAGCATGGCTGGCTTAGGAATTCTGGGCGTTGAAGTCCACCAGTCATAAAAGAGCCAAGGTTGCCTACCCCTGGTATAGGATCTCCTGCTTGAGTGGGGGGGGGTGGACTAGAAGATCTCCAAGGGCCCTTCCAGCTCTATTTTGAATATGAATCCTTTTTTTTTCTGGCTGGTCATAACTTTGAATACTTGCTAAGCAAAAAATACCCATCGGGGAAAGTTGATTTGAGTTAATGGCTGCAACATTTGCTTAACCACTGTCGCCAAAATATCAAAAAAAAAAAAAAATCGGATCCGGTCACCTGATGCCCCAAATTACAATCAAAATGACCGACCACTATAAATCCAGCTTCACGTACGGTCATATGTTGAGGACTTAACTACTAAGCAGGTTACTTTATCGGCACCTTTCGATAGCCCCCTCCCACGATATAGACGCGTTCGGATGGGCGGGTTGTTCTGCCAAATCTAACTGGGTTAGAAGGCGGCTGATGGTGGTTCGCTTCCATTTCCCTCAGTGTGCGTCTTGCGGAGAAGGAAGGAGAATTGGCGGGAATACAGGGAAGCTTTGGAACTCTTGAAGGAGTTTCAGAAAGATTACAAATCTGAGGTAGCCATCCGTAACAAGATCGGCGAATCCCGGACGGCTGGTCAGGATCCGGTTCGTGAAGCTGATGTGAAGCTCCAAAGTCTTCCTGAGGTCAGGGTGGGGAGAAAGCTAGACGAGACCTCTGTCCAGGTCCTTCAAGAGAAGAACGACTCCCTTCCATCCAACCAATAAGAGAGATCCCGCCCATGTTGCCGTGCCTTAACCTACCTGTTTGTAGAAGACCTTCAAGTAGGACGTGGTTTCCTGGAGAACTTTTGCTGAAAGGACCTGCAGCCGATGACCTTTGGTCCTACCGCCTGTGGAGAAGACACCACCCTTGTTTACAGAATCACTTAGACTTGAAAGCTTCATTGAGGTCCTCCAGTAGGAAGGCCCTCACCTTGAAGTGCTTCTGGAAACCTTTGAGATGCATCTTGAAACCTTGAAGTGCCTCTTGAAACCTTGAGGTCCATCTTGAAACTTTTGAGGTGCATCTTGAAACTTCAAGGTCCATCTTGAAACTTTTGAGGTGCATCGTGAAACTTTGAGGTCCATCTTGAAACTTTTGAGGTGCATCTTGAAACTTCAAGGTCCATCTTGAAACTTTTGAGGTCCATCTTGAAACCTTGAGGTCCATCTTGAAACTTTTGAGGTGCATCTTGAAACTTCAAGGTCCATTTTGAAACTTTTGAGGTCCATCTTGAAACCTTGAGGTCCATCTTGAAACTTTTGAGGTGCATCTTGAAACTTCAAGGTCCATCTTGAAACTTTTGAGGTCCATGTTGAAACTTTTGAGGTGCATCTTGAAACTTCAAGGTCCATCTTGAAACTTTTGAGGTGCATCGTGAAACTTTGAGGTCCATCTTGAAACTTTTGAGGTGCATCTTGAAACTTCAAGGTCCATCTTGAAACTTTTGAGGTCCATCTTGAAACCTTGAGGTCCATCTTGAAACTTTTGAGGTGCATCTTGAAACTTCAAGGTCCATCTTGAAACTTTTGAGGTGCATCATGAAACTTTGAGGTCCATCTTGAAACTTCTGAGGTCCATCTTAAAACTTTTGAAGTGCATCGTGAAACTTTGAGGTCCATCTTGAAATCCTGAAGTGCATCTTGAAACCATGAGGTCCACGTTGAAGCGAACGTTCAAAATGGAAGACTGGCCTACTGGGAAGAGTCAAATAAACTGCTGCATGAATGATGGGCCTGTAGTTTGTTAGGCTGACTCTCTTTGACCAGCCTTGAGAAGAAACCATTGATGGAGACCATGTTAAGAAGTAATCAGTGGCCCTCAAGGCCTTCTAGATCTCTTGAGGAAGGTGTCACTAGTAGACGGAGACCACATTTCGGTGTCCTATTGTAAAACCAGCAATTTCCACACACATTTTTGCTGTTTTTTTCTTATTTCACATATCCTCTCCCTGTGGAGGAACGTCGGGAGCTTCCACAGAACAAAGATTCCCTTAGAAAAATTTCTTTTTTTATCTCGACAGCTGTTAATTTTATTTTCCTGATGATGCTTTTGGGCACCTTCTTAAGATCTTATGCAATAAAATTAATCTCACAAAGCATTTCACCCGTCAAAATACTCCGGTTTTGCTCTCACCAGCCACATTTAGCTCTTCGGGGAGTAGATACCACGAAGAGTTTTAGATCAAAGTTAATTCACAATGTGTTAATTCACAAGCGTTACCCCAGTAGGTGAACTTAACTGTGATCTATTTGTGGTTTTGATCTGGAGGGATAACCATGGATTCTTTCTATAGAGCTGATCTGAGTTCCTTCTAAGGATGAAAGTTGAGACTTTTCCCTCAGTATTTCTTGGCTAACCAAAATTTTATTTGTATTTTAAAAGAAACGGATTGTTGAACTTCAGGATGGGGTTAGAGATCCTATGTGTTAAGAAGACCTAGAGCAGTGGTTCTCAACCTTTTTAATGCCGCGACCCCCAACCGGTTGTAAGTCAAGAACTACTCAACCGGTCGTAAGTCGAGGACTACTCAACTGGTGCAGCACCGTTTGCAGAATGGGACTTTTGGCGGGCTCAGCAGGGCAGAGACAGCCTGGACAATTCCTATTGGCTTTGGAAAGCCAATAGAATTAGACTCTGTTCAAGAGAGCCTATTCTATTGGCTTTCAAAAGCCCATAGAATAAAAGGGAGTAGCACAGCTAAGGAAAAGGGGGGAAAAATGGCGGACTGCGTTGTTTGGCGACCCCGGTGAAATGGTCATTCGACCCCAAATGGGGTCCCGACCCACAGGTTGAGAACCACTGACCTAGAGGTATTTGGGCAGGAAAAGGATAACAATAACAGAATTTTAACCAATAGAGGAGAATCTCTGCAGCCTCTGAGTTGAAATGTGGGATCCTCGGTGCCCACCGAGCTGGGTGGTTTTCTTGTAGACATTTCATGACCCAACTAGGTAACAGCATCAGTGTAGTTTGGTCCTTCCGACCCTAGGATTCTGATAGATAGATGATATACATAGATATTAGATAGACATGATAAGGATAAATGATTAGATGATAGATATAAATTTATAAATGGATGGATGGGATAATTAGATAAGATTATAAATGATACATAACATAGATGATAGATTAGATGGTAGATAGATGATAGCTAGCTAGATATTAGGTATGATAGATGATAAGATAGATTAGATTGTAGTTAAGATTATAGAGAAACAATAGATGATATAGATGATAAATGATTAGATGATAGATCATAGATATAAATTTATGATATAGTGGATGGATATGGATGGATAGATAAGATGAAGATGGATGGATGATAGATGAAGATGGATAGATGATAGATAAAGATGAATGGAAGATTAGATAGATAGATAGATAGATAGATAGATAGATAGATAGATAGATAGATAGATGAAGATGGATAGATAGATGAAGATGGATGGATAAAGATGGATGGATGGATGGATGAAGATGGGTGATAGATATAGATGAAGATGGATGGATATATAAGATGGATATAGATGAGGGTGATGGATAGATGGATGGATAGATAGATGAAGATGGATGGATGGATAGTTGAAGATGGGTGATGGATAGATAGATGGATAATGACACAAATTAGATAGAGGACAGAATGAGAGATCAATGGAACTGTTTGCCTCCCAGAGATCTGGGTGCTCCATCCCTGGAGGGCTTCAAGAAAAGACTGGACAGCCATTCGTCTGGGATGATATAAGGATTCTTCCTTTGGGGTCAGTGGGTTGGACTAGAAGACCTCCAAGGTCCCTTTCAGCCCTAGAATCTTGATCCTGAACCTTTTGTACCTTTCAAATGTATTCGGGGACAGCTGAATTCTAGTGACGACTTGCAGGAAGGGGAGCGAGGGAATCCAGACCCTCAAGAGATCTGGGATCCCTCTTGCCAAACCAGGCTGAGTCCCACCCAAATTCACCAATGCTCTCTTTTCCCTCTTTGCAGCTGGTTTTTATGCCCGAGGCGGGACTAGAACTCACAGTCCCCTGGTGTTGGGCCCAAAGTCACCCAGCCAGCTTTTATGCCTAAGGCAGGACTAGAACTCACCGTCTCCTGGTGATTGGCCCAGAGTCACCCAGCTGGCTTTCATGCCTAAGGCGGGACTAGAACTCACCGTCTCCTGGTGACTGACCCAAAGTCACCCAGTTTGGCTTTCATATCTTAAGGCGGGACTAGAACTCACCGTCTCCTGGTGATTGGTCCAAAGTCACCCAGTTGGCTTTCATGCCTAAGGCAGGACTAGAACTCACCGTCTCCTGGTGATTGGTCCAAAGTCACCCAACTGGCTTTCATGTCTTAAGGCGGGACTAGAATTCACCATCTCCCAGTTCCTAGCCTGCTGCCTTCACCACTAGACCCAAACGGATTCACTTGCTGGTCTGTTCCCAGCTGCAACTACACAGGACACTTGCACACTGGTGTCTTAGCAAAATCAACCATAGGAAACATCACCAGTCCGGTAGTTACGGTAGAGAACACGCCATATCCTCCTGTCATAATCAGAATATTGGGCATCCTATCCAGCCCCCCAAATTAACTTTAGGAATAAAGTCCCGGGAGATCCACGAGCCTTAACAAACACACAGACGCAAACTCCTTTCTTAGTAAACAGATTTCTTTTTTTAATCAAAACATTGGACGAAGCCATGGTGATCCAGGCGGGGTTCCGAAAGTGACCGCTTACCGAGTCTTGGGATGGCACGGATTTCCAGGGACCGAAGACGTGGAGATCCTGAAGCGCAAAAAGATGGAAAACCAGACCGAGGTGGCTCGTGAGTAGAGGATTAAGGAAGCAGAGCGCTGCAGTGACCTTGCAACGTCCTTGAAACCATCCGAGGGTCAGTCCCAGATCAAATGGATGATAAATTCCAAATAAAATAATGACTGTGCACAAAAATACCCATCCTTGATGACCCCTGCATAGTGCAGGGGTCTTCCAACTTGGCCCTTTGATGACTTGTGGACTTCAACTCCCAGAATTCCTCAGCCACTGTGCCTAGCTGAGGAATTCTGGGAGTTGAAGTCCAGGGGTCTTCAAACTTGGCCCTTTGATGACTTCGACTCCCAGAATTCCTCAGCTAGCGTGCCTAGCTGAGGAATTCGGGGAGTTGAAGTCCAGGGGTCTTCCAACTTGGCCCTTTGATGACTTGTGGACTTCAGCTCCCAGAATTCCTCAGCCACTGTGCCTGAGGAATTCTGGGAGTTGAAGTCCAGGGGTCTTCAAACTTGGCCCTTTGATGACTTCAATTCCCAGAATTCCTCAGCTAGCGTGTCTGGCTGAGGAATTCTGGGGGTTGAAGTCCAGGGCTCTTCCAACTTGGCCCTTTGATGACTTGTGGACTTCAACTCCCAGAATTCCTCAACTAGTGTGCCTAGCTGAGGAATTCAGGGAGTTGAAGTCCAGGGGTCTTCCAACCTGGCCCTTTGATGACTTGTGGACTTCAACTCCCAGAATTCCTCAGCCAGCGTGCCTAGCTGAGGAATTCTGGGAGTTGAAGTCCAGGGGTCTTCAAACTTGGCCCTTTGATGATTTCAATTCCCAGAATTCCTCAGCGTGTCTGGCTGAGGAATTCTGGAAGTTGAAGTCCAGGGGTCTTCCAACTTGGCCCTTTGATGACTTGTGAACCAACTCCTAGAATTCCTCAGCCAGCGTGCCTAGCTGAGGAATTCTGGGAGTTGAAGTCCAGGGGTCTTCAAACTTGGCCCTTTGATGATTTCAATTCCCAGAATTCCTCAGCGTGTCTGGCTGAGGAATTCTGGGAGTTGAAGTCCAGGGGTCTTCCAACTTGGCCCTTTGATGACTTGTGAACCAACTCCCAGAATTCCTCAGCCAGCGTGTCTAGCTGAGGAATTCTGGGCGTTGAATTCCAGGGGTCTTAGTTGAAGTCCACAAGTCATCAAAGGGCCAAGTTGGAAGACCCTTGGCATAGTGGATCCTGAACGTCCGGCCTGGCATGTGCAGTGTTTTTAAACAGCCGGGGAAACCCGTTTGTGTCTCCCATTAAGACTCCTAAAAACATACCATACTGGTAGTCCTCAACTTACGGCCACAGTTGAGCCCAAAATTGACGTGGCCGAGTGAAACGCTCGCTAAGTGACTTTTGCCCCGCTTTATGACTTTCCTTGCCACTAAGTGAATCGCTGCAAGTGTTAAAAGTTAGCAACATGGACGTTAAGTGAATCTGGTTTCCCCCACGGACTTTGCTTGTCAGGTGCCGGAAATGGATCCCAGGACTCCGGGACCCCGTCATAAATATGAATCAGCTGCCAAGCGGCTGGATTTCGATCACGGGATCGTGGGAAGGCCGCAACAGTTGCGTGAAAAACGGTCCTCATTCGGTTTTTTTCAGTGCTGTTAATTTTAAGCGGTCACTAAATGAACCGTCATTGAGTCGAGGACTGCCTGTATTTAAAAAGGCAGACCGGGATTCGGGGGACCAAGTGAAAGGGAGATTAGGGTGAACATTTGGGGTGGGGGACCCTCTCCGAAGGGACCCTGCAGGTTGTCCTCACCTTACAACCGCAACTGAGCCCACAGCTTTTATGGTTAAATTGTTAAGTGAGTTGTGCCCCATTTTACGGCGTTTCTCGCTACAGTCGTTAAATGAATCACTGCAGTTAATCCCCCGGTTGGGTTTCCCCCGTTGACTTTGCATGCCAGAAGGTCGCAAAGGGGATCACGTGACCCCGGGACGTAAGTACGAGTCAGTTGCCAAGCCTCTGAAGTTTGATCACGTGACCGCAGGGACGCTGCGACCGTCATAACCATGAGCCGGTTGCCGAGCGTGCGAACTTGGATCGTTACATCGTGGGGATGGCGCAATGGTCCTACGGGTGAAAAACGGTTGTCAGTCACTTCTTGTAGGGCTGTTGGGACTTCGAACGGTCGCTAAACGAACGGCTGTGAGCCGAGGACCCCCTGTGCACACTCAGGTCCTGGCAGGGCATGTTGCTGGCGGTGTGAAAATCAAAATATTCAGCACGTTACTGGCGGTTTCTGCTCACAATGCTCCGAAGTTAGTCCTGTCTTTCAAAAAGTACGTCATTTAGAGCAGGGGTCCTCCAACTTGGCCACTTGAAGACTTGTGGACTTCAACTCCCAGAATTCCCCAGCCAGCTTTGCTGGCTGGGGAATTCTGGGAGTTGAAGTCCACAAGTCTTCAAGTGGCCAAGTTGGAGGACCCCTGATTTGTTAGATTTTTTTAAAGCTTCTTACACTTTCTCCCTTCTTGGCTTCCACGGGTGGCACACACCCACGGGAGCAAACGAAAGGAGACAATAGGGAGGATCGATGCAATATAAAAATCCCGTTTTGGAGGCTCTCCTTTCCCTTATGGACACCGGCTGCCAAAGTCCGAGCAAACTTTGGGAGGTCAATCTCCCAAAAGCTAAACGGAGGTTTCGCACTCAGCTCCGGCCTTTGGCGACCACTCCTGCCCAAATCTCTCTCCCTGCAGCCCCTCCCCCCACACCCTGTTTTTCACCCATGCCAGTTTAACGGCTGAATGCATAGCTACCCTTTGGGATAAGGAAGGAACGGAGGGAGGGAGGAAGGAGGGAAGAAAAAAAAAGGGAAAGAAAGAGAAAGAAAAAGAAAGAAAGAAAGTAGGGAAAAAGAAAGAAAGAAAGAAGAAAGAAAGGAGGGAAAGAGAAAGAAAGAAAGAAGAAAGAAAGGAGGGAAAGAGAAAGAAAGGAAGAAAGGGAAAGAAAAAAAAGAAAGAAGGGAAAAAGAAAGGAAGGAAAGAAGGAAAAAAGACAAAGAAAAAAGAAAGGAAGGAAGGAAGACAGAAAGAAAGGAGGGAAAAAGGAAGAAAGGGAAAGAAAGAAAAAAAGAAAAGGGAAAAAGAAAGGAGGGAAAGAGAAAGAAAGAGGAAGGAAAGAAGGAAAAAAGACAGAAAAAAGAAAGGAAGAAAGAAAGGAGGGAGGGAGGAAAAGAAAGAAAAAGAGGAAGGAAAAGGAAGGAAAGAAGGAAAGAAGAGAAAGAAAGAAGGGAAAGAGAAAGAAGAAAAGAAAGAGGAAGGAAGGAGGGAGGGAGGAAGGAAAGAGAAAAAGAAAAAAGAGGAAGAAAAAGAAGAGAAAGGAAGGAAGGAAAGAAAGAAAAGAGGAAGGAAGGAAAGAAAAAGAGAAAGAAAAAGAAAGAAAGAAAGAAAGAAAGGAGAAAGAAAGAAAGAAAGAAAGAAAGAAAGAAAGAAAGAAAGAAAGAAAGAAAGAAAGAAAGAAAGAAAAGAAACAAAGGCTTTCAATCCAAATCAAAAGCCAGGCCAAACGAAGAACGGACGCAACGAAAGGCAGTTTATTACTGGGAAGGAGGATCTTGAATGGGGGGGGGGGGCTTCGCAACGGAAGAGCAAAGTCAGTCTCTAAAGTTGCCTTTCCCAGCTCAGGGACTTTAAAAAAAAAAAAAAATCTGGACTTCTACTCCCAGAATCCCCCTGCCTGCCTGCTTGCTGGCTGGGCATTCTGGAAGCTGAAGTCCAGCCATGCTGGCTGGGGAACTCTGGGTGTCAAGACCCTTGGCCCATTTAAGTTGTGGACTTCAACTCCCAGCATGCCCCAGCAGGAGTGAACTTTAACCCCCAGCATGCCCCCAGCTAGGAGGGTGAAACGCCACCCAACTCCCAAATACCTGCCCCAGCTTGGGTAGACTTCCAACTCCCAGAATTCAGGCCGGCTGGGGAATTCTGGGAGTTGAAGTCCACACGTCTGGATTTTAAAATTCTCAAAGCGGAGAAATGCTGCACCAGACGGACGGGGGGGGAGGGGGATTGCGTGATTGAGGAAAAAGCTTTTTTTTTTTTTTTTGGTGTGTGTGTGTGTGTGTGTGTGTGTGTGTGTGTGTGTGTGTGTGTCTACTTTCCCAGGATTAATTTAAATTCTAAACTTTAAACTTAAGTTTAGCCACCAAGAGCTTCAAACCACCACGTGGGTCAGCCAAAGCTGCGGCCTTGGAAGTGCTGGGGGGGGGAGAAAAACTGCCCCCCACAGCCCCCCCCTTTTTTTAACAAGAGCGAGCGGGAATCGAACCTGCCACTCAAAACTCCTGCAGACTTTCTTTCTTTCTTTCTTTCTTTCTTTCTTTCTTTCTTTCTTTCTTTCTTTCTTTCTTTCTTTCTTTCTTTCTTTTTTTTTTTTTAAAGAAGTCTTGGGTTTGGGTCAAGCCACAAAACGGAACCGGGTTCTCCCGACGCCAGAAAACCAGCATTTCTCAAGATCCTGCAAACCAGCATCGGGGAGGAACACAATTCTGTCGAAACGAACACACACACACACACACACACACACACACCCCACCCCCGAATACCAAAAGTCATTTCGGAGGACTCTGCAACCATCTCATTCTTGCGCCAGACGTTTTGTGTGTAAATCTGGGCTACCCACAAAAAGTAAAATAAACCGAGATGGGAATCCTAGCCTGGCGGCTTCGAATCCAGATGTTTCACCTGGCTGTGGAGAGGCCCCATCGTAGATATTGGTCAGAAAGAGCGACGGGCGCCCTGCGTTTTGCGCTCTGCCTGCCCCAGAGCAGGGTGTGCGTTTGGACACTGCTGCAACACAACCCCACACCAAGAACTGATGGGGCTGGAGAGCCAAGGGGGGGCGGGGGGGAAATACCCCCCCAGGCAGCCAAAAATTCTCTCTGGCCCCTGATGCTTAGCTTGGACTCAAAGCAAGCAAGTGCCCTTTCTTTCCTCCGATGAGTTCGTCATATAGTTCTCGACTTACGACGGCAACGGCGTCCAAAATTTCTGTTGCTAAGTGAGACAGTCCTGCCGCGAATTTTGACCTACTTTACCACCTTCACCGCAGTTGTTCAGTTAGTGACACGGTTAAGGGAATCCCCCATTGACTTTGCAGGTCAGAAGGACATAAAAAGGGATCGCGTAACCCTGGGACACTGCGACCGTCGTAAATGCGAGTCAGCTCCCAAGCGTTGGGGAGGCCGCAACGATTGTGGCGAAAATGGCGGCAGCTCGCTTTTTTCCATAAGGTTGTAACTTTGAGCAGTCACTAAACGAACGGTTATAAGTCGAGGACTACCTGTATTATAGATTTAAATAAATTTGGGGGGGGGCAAATCCACCACTTCTGCCACCAGGCCTTCAAGCCTTCTAGCGGGGCTGCTCCTGAAACGACAAACGCCGCTCGCAGCGTCGGTTCGCCCGTTACCGTAACTGACTCGGATCTCGAGGCAGGACGAGCCGGACCGGCCATCCGAGATCCGAAACGGCCTTCGCTGCGAGTGAGATTTATAATCTCGGAGTCATCTCGGGGGAGGAAGGCTCCGGATCGTGGCCTCCGTCTGTCTCCCGCACCGACCGGAGAGAACTCCTGAACCGGCCGACGTCTACCTGGGACTCTCGGAAAAGTCGCGTAGCTGGCGAAGGGCTGAACCGGCCGACTCCGCCGGCCTGAACCGGCCGACGTCTACCCGGGACTCTCGGAAAAGTCGCGTAGCTGGCGAAGGGCTGAACCGGCAGACTCCGTCAGCCTGAACCAACTGATGTCTACCCAGGACTCTCGGAAAAGTCGCGTAGCTGACGAAGGGCTACTTTGCTCCGGTGACGTTCTTGGAGCGTAAGAAATACTGTTCGGCTCGCCCCTTCGGCCGCTCCAGTGTCCGGCTTTCCCTCTCAAACTGCCGCTGGAGCTGCACGGCCAGCCGCCGGTCGGCCTCCTCCTGTTGCAGTCTCTGCTCCGTCCTGCTCGGCGGCCGTTGCCTCTTCTGTCGCCGCGAGTCGGAGACCGGAGGGCCTTTGCGACAGGCGGCCGACGGCCTCAGCCGCTTGACTGAAGGGTCCAGGTGCTTGGTTTTGCACGGCCGCTTCTGCCCGCGCCGCAGGGAGGGGGTCTCCTCGCCCAGCCCCCTCTCAAGACGGAGGCCGTTGGAGAGACGGCGCAGTTCGCTCTCGTCCCAGTAGCGGCGCGGCTTCCGTTCGGCCGGAAGGGAGCCGTTCTCCAAGGCCGAGTTGACTCGGACGACTTTCCGGGCCATTGAAGTTTTGGCATCGTAGTGAAGGCAGGGCCCGGCCAGGCGGGGAGCAGTTTTCGCTTTGGGGGGCTCGGAAATCCCGGAATTGGGAGGCTTCTCGGCGGCTCTCGGCGGGAGGACGTGGGGAGTCAGCTCCGTCGCCTCCGAGTCTCTCCGACCGTTGGCGGAACGGTCGCACTTGGCTACAGAGAGGAGAGGGAGAGAGTCCGGCAACGAGACCAAGCTGGACATCGGCAAAGGACACTTGACCGGGAGGGGGAGATTGGGAGGTTCGCCCGGCTCGGGAGCCGAGGAGGTCAAGGTGGCCTTGCAGAGGGTCTTCTTGACCTGACGATCCTGGAGGATCCGCTCCCACTTCTTCAGGATCCACGGGCTGGCTTCGTACGTGGTGGGCTTCTGCAGACTCCTGGTCAAGTTCCTGGGGGTGGACTTGATGATGAGAGGGCTCAGCACGCGCCCGTCGGGCAGCTGCTTGGGCGGCGTGCAAGGCGAGCAGACGATGGGCTTGAAGTGGTTCAGCTCCTCCGAGATGCTGTCGTTGCTCTCGGGGCTGATGGAGCGCTCCTGCCTGGGCAGGACGGGGAAGGAAGAGGGCGCCTGGGGGGGAAGCACCAGGCGCTTCTCGGCAGTCAGATCCGGAGCAGAGAGGCAGCGGTTGTTCTGGGTGGAGGAGAGGACGCCCAGCAGGGAAACCGAAGCACCAGCGGAAGGGTTGACCTGCAAGAGAAGCCGTTTCAGTCAGCAGTGGCGCTACAAAAGGGAAGTCTAGGGAGATTCTCCGTCATTCCACGTCACGGTTGTCCCAAAGGTGCTAGGCTGCATTAACAGAGGGATAGAATCAAGATCACGTGAAGTGTTAATACCACTTTACAAGGCCTTGGTAAGGCCACACTTGGAATACTGCGTCCAGTTTTGGTCACCACCAGGTAAAAAAGATGTTGAGACTCTAGAACAGTGGTTCTCAACCTTTCTAATGCCGCGACCCCATAATACAGTTCCCCATGTTGTGGTGACCCCCAACCACTTATACATCATTGGGTGCCAGGGGCATGGCCAAAGAAAAGGGGGGGAAAATGGCGGACAGCCTTGTTTGGCGACCCCTGTGAAATGGTCATTCGACCCCAAATGGGGTCCCGATGCACAGGTTGAGAACCGCTGGTCTAGAAAGAGTACCGAGAAGAGCAACAAAGAGGATTAGGTGACTGGAGGCTAAAACATACAAGGAACGGTTGCTAGTATTGGGCATGTCTAGTTTAACTAAGAGAAGGACAAGGGGGGACAGGATAGCAGCCTTCCAGTATCTCAGGGGCTGCCCCAAAGAAGAGGGAGTCAAGCTATTAAAGACCCTGAAGGCAGGACAAGAAGCAATGGATGGAAACTCCTCAAGGAGAGAAGCAACCTAGAACTAAGGAGAAACTTCCTGACAGTGAGAACAATTAATCAGTGGAACTGCCTGCCTCCAGAAGCAGTAAATGCTCCAACACTGGAAGTTTTTAAGAAGAGACTGGGCAGCCATTTGTCCGAAATGGTGTAGGGTTTCCTGCCTGAGCAGGGGGTTGGACTAGATGACCTCCAAGGTCCCTTCCAACTTTACTACTATTATTATTATTAGTGCTTTTTCAAGAGGCAACTGGACTTCCTTGTTTTTCCTTGAAGACGTTTCGCTTCTGATCCAAAAAGTTTCTTCAGCTCAGACTGGATGGTGGGAAACAGAAGGATTTATATTATTTGCAGAAAAACTGGTCATTTGCATCCTTTTAGAGGGGCGTTGAGGCCACTTGGAGGCTTGTCTGTGTCCTCAGGGTCACCTGAGTGGTGCAAATGGGCGTGGAGCCTTCTTGGAACTGCTGAAAGGACTGTGTTCCACACCCATTTGCACCACTCAGGTGACCCTGAGGACCCAGGCAAACCTCCAAGTGGCCTCAACGACCCTCTAGAATGATGCAAATGACCGGCTGTCTGCAAGGAGTATAATCCTTCCGTTCCTCCACCATCCAGTCAGAGCGGAAGAAGCTTCTGGGATGAGAAGAGAAACGTCTTCAAATAATAACAAGGAAGTCCAGTTGCCTGAAAAAAAAAGCACCTTTGGGAGACAAAACGGGAGATAAATTCAGAACAACAGAGGACAGAGCAGAGGGGGAACCAGCGTTGATTCTGGTCACCTTTCCCACAAAATTAAAAATCAAATAATTAATGACAAGTAGTCATTGATTTACAGGGTCCTATAGGCGTATGACTGCATTCTACTTATTTCCAGTTTGGGGCCAAATTTTCAGTAAAATCCAAACTATAACGAATTTGTTGGTTTACAGTTACTGCAAAAAGGGTCATAAAGTTAGATCGGCTGGGTGACTGATCTATTTTACAACCTTTATGACAGAGAACGGGGGTCTTCCAACTTGGCCCTTTGATGGCTTGTGGACTTCAACTCCCAGAATTCCTCAGCCAGCATGCCTAGCTGAGGAATTCTGGGAGTTGAAGTCCAGGGCTCTTCAAACTTGGCCCTTTGATGACTTCAACTCCCAGAATTCCTCAGCCAGGGTGCCCGGCTGATGAATTCTGGGAGTTGAAGTCCAGGGGTCTTCAAACTTGGCCCTTTGATGACTTGTGGACTTCAACTCCCAGAATTCCTCAGCCAGGGTGCCCGGCTGAGGAATTCTGGGAGTTGAAGTCTGGGGGTCTTCCAACTTGGCCCTTTGATGTCTTGTGGACTTCAAATCCCAGAATTCCTCAGCCAGGGTGCCCGGGTGAGGAGGGTTGAAGTCCACAAGTCATCAAAGGGTCAAGTTTGAAGACCCCCCAACATAAAACAATAACGGACAGGCTCCACCATGGTCTCCAGGTACACGGCTAGTGTACATGGAATCTCTTTTAGAGGAATCTTAAGAATCTCTTTTAGAGGAAAACTCAAGATTTAATTATTTTTTTAAAGACAACAATGGCTTTCCCCACGTATCGCAAAGATCCGGTACCTTTGTTCTGACGGGCGCCGATCTCTGCCTGCTTTTCGATCGATTGCCCAGCGTATCGTTGCAACTTTGACTCCTTTTGACTTTGGAGCTAAAATTTCTACGGAGATTTTTGCAAAAGGGAAAAAAATAAACGGGGTGGGGGGGGGGAAGAAGAACATTAGCTGGTTTATTTAAGCCACACATTTAAGTTAGTTTATTTATTGCCATTATTAAAACACTGGCCTGCCCTTTGAAATACAGGCAGTCCTCAAGAGTTCGTTTAGTGACTCTCTGAAAAACGGACTTAGGACTGTTTTCACAGTTACGACCGTTGCAGCATCCTCCACGGTCACGTGATCAAAATTCAAACGTTCGGCAACTGGCTTGTACTTATGACTGTTGCAATGTCCCGGGACATTTTGCAATCTTTCGAAATGCAAAGTCAGTGGGGGCAGTTGGATTCGCTTAACAACTGCGCTGTTAACTTAACAACTACAGTGATTCACTTAAGCTCTGTGGTCATAAAATAGGGCAAAATTCACTGCACGGCCCTCCTGCTTAGCAACGTTAATTTCTCGTCGTAAGTCAAGGATTGCCTGCTGTTCAGCCAGTCCTTCTGAAAACCAGCCTCCTTTTTTAAAAAAAACACAATTCCTTTATTAAATGTAGAGGCCGCCCTGCTTACCGTGGACGGGAGTTTTTCCGATCCCCCGTCACAGCAGGGGAGACTCACCCGGCCAGCGAGGTGATGGGGTAGGCGTTGCCCTTGGAGACGAAAGCCGACCGATACGCGGGTCGGCCCTGGGAGGGCTCCTCGTTCTCCGAATCCGACAGGCACTCGGGAAACTGCCGGTAAGCAAAGAAAAATCAGGGATTGGGTCAAGGCTTAATGATTGAACAGTAAATATGTAATGTGGATGATGCAATAATAGGAATGACTCAGTGTGTGTGTGTGTATCCCTTTAAGAGTCTGAGTATAAAAGGGAAGATTTTTTTGCTGGAGTCTTCTCTCTCTTCTGTTTGACTGCTGTCACTGCTGTATATTGAAGTTTGCTGTTTCACCACATCTATCTTGTTTCTAGTGTATATTTGTAGATAGTGTCATATAAACCATCATTTAATTACAAACCACTGTTTACAGAGGGAGAGAATCAAGATCACATGAAGTATTAATACCACTTTATAAGGCCTTGGTAAGGCCATACTTGGAACACGGCATCCAGTTTTGGTCACCACGATGTAAAAAAGATGCTGAGACTCTAGAAAGAGTGCAGAGAAGAGCAACAAAGATGATGAGGGGACTGGAGGCTAAAACATATAAGGAACGGCTGTTGGAATTGGGTATGTCTGGTTTAATTAAGAGAAGGATGAGGGGGGACATGATAGCAGTCTTCCAATATCTCAAGGGCTGCCCCAAAGAAGAGGGAGTCAAGCTATTCTCCAAAGCGCCTGAAGGCAGGACAAGAAGCAACGGATGGAAACCAACCAAGGAGAGAAGCAACCTAGAACTAAGGAGAAACTTCCTGAAAGTTAGAACAATTAACCTGTGGAACCACCTGCCTCCAGAAGCGGTGAATGCTCCAACACTGGAGGTTTTTAAGAAGAGACTGGACAGCCATTTGTCTGAAATGGCATAAGTTCTCCTGCTTGTGCAGGGGGCTGGACTAGATGACCTCCAAGGTCCCTTCTACTGGATTTCGTTTAACAAATAAAATAAATAAAAGGTAAAAGATTAACCGGTTTGGCAAAGAAGCCGAGCGGATCCATCGGTCAACTTACACGTTCGTGGCTGACTCTGCCCATCAGGGATTCCTCTTTCTTCTGATCGTCCATTCTTCTCCTGTCCACTTCGGCATCGTCCGCCATCAGCTTGTGAATCAAATCCTCCGGCTTTTTGTCTTCTGCCCATTTTTCATGTCTCAGCTAAGGAATCGGGGAAAACCAAGGTGATTTTGTAAGAGGAGGAGGAAGAAGAAGAGGGAGCAACAGCGAGTCCTTGGATGAGAATTTAATTGTGTAAATGGGGGGGGGGTGTCCCTTTTAATGTCTCCAAAGATGTTCTCATCCAAGAAGATTTTTCAACTCTGACTGGATGGTGGGGGAAATGGAAGGATTTATACTCCTTGCAGACAGCTGGTCATTTGCCTCCTTTTGGAGACCCGTTGAGGCCACTTGGAGGCTTATCTGTGTCCTCAGGGTCACCTGAGTGGTGCAAATGGGTGTGGGGCCGCCTTGGAGCTGCTTTCAGCACACCCATTTGCACCACTCAGGTGACCCTGAGGACACAGGTAAACCTCCAAATGGCCTCAACGGGTCTCCCCAAAAAATGCAAATGACCAGTTTTTCTGCAAGGAGGATAAATCCTCCCATCTTCCACCATCCACTCAGAGCTGAAGAAGCTTCTTTGGATGAGAAGCGAAACGTCTTCAAGGAAAAACCCAAAGGTGCTTTTTCAGGAGGCAATTGGACTTCCTTGTTTTTCTTTGAAGACGTTTCGCTTCTCATCCAGGAAGCTTCTTCCGCTCTGACTGGATGGTGCGGAACGGAAGGATTTATACTCTTTGCATTAAAATTGGTCATTTGCCTTCTTTTTAGAGGGTCGTTGAGGCCACTTGGAGGCTTATCTGTGTCCTCAGGATCGCTTGAGTGGTGCAAATGGGTGATCTATCTATCTCCAGTCTACAACACGGTCCTTTCAGCAGTTCCCAGAAGGCTCCACACCCATTTGCACCACTCAGGTGACCCTGAGGACACAGGCAAAGCTCCAAAAGAAGGCAAATGACCAATTTTCTGCAAGGAGTAGAAATCCTTCCATTCCCCACCATCCGGTCAGAGCTGAAGAAGCTTCTTTGGATGAGAACTTTGTTCCTTCTGGAGTCAAAGTTTTAGGAATTTCCCTACGGCCAATAATGCAGTCCACAATTTCCGTTGCTAAGGGAGACGGCTGTTAAGGGAGTTTTGCCCCATCTTACAACCCCCCCCGTGCCATCGTCGTTAAGCGAATCACTGCAGGCGTTTTAAATGTGTAACCCGCGTGTCAAGTGACGCTGGCTTCCCCCATTCCGCTTGTCGGAAAGTCGCAAAAGGGGATCACGTGACCCTGGGACGCCGCAACTGTCGTAAGTACGAGTCAGTTGCCAAGCGTCTGAATTTTGATCTTGTGACCGTTGGGGATGCTGCAGTGGTTGTCAGGGTGGAAAAACGGTCCTAAGTCCCTTTTTTCAGTGCTGTTGTAACTTTGAGCAGTCACTAAATGAACAGCTGTTAAGTCAAGGACTGCCTGTGAATACACTGGATCAGGGGTAGGCAACCTTGGCTCTTTTATGCTTCATGCACTTCAACTCCCAGAACTCCTGAGCCAGCATGGGGGAAAGTTTAGCCCCTTCATGACTCGGGGACTTCAACTCCCAGAATTCCTCAGCCAGCATGGGGGAAACTTTGGCCCCTTCATGACTCCTGGACTTCAACTCCCAGAATTCCTCAGCCAGCATGGGGGAACTATGGCCCCTTCATGACTCATGGATTTCAATTCCCAGAATTCCTAAGCCAGCATGGGGGAAACTTTGGCCCCTTCATGACTCCTGGACTTCAACTCCCAGAATTCCTGAGCCAGCATGGGGGAACTATGGCCCCTTCATGACTCATGGATTTCAATTCCCAGAATTCCTCAGCCAGCATGGGGGAACTATGGCCCCTTCATGACTCCTGGACTTCAACTCCCAGAATTCCTAAGCCAGCATGGGGGAACTATGGCCCCTTCATGACTCGTGGACTTCAACTCCCAGAATTCCTGAGCCAGCATGAGGGAAGCTTTGGCCCCTTCATGACTCCTGGACTTCAACTCCCAGAATTCCTCAGCCAGCATGGGGGAAACTTTGGTCCCTTCATGACTTGTGGACTTCAACTCCCAGAATTCCTCAGCCAGCATAGGGAAAACTTTGGCCCCTTCATGACTCGCGGACTTCAACTCCCAGAATTCCTCAGCCAGCATGGGGGAAACTTTGGTCCCTTCATGACTTGTGGACTTCAACTCCCAGAATTCCTCAGCCAGCATGGGGGGCCCCTTCATGACTCGCGGACTTCAACTCCCAGAATTCCTCAGCCAGCATGGGGGAAACTTTGGCCCCTTCATGACTCGTGGACTTCAACTCCCAGAATTCCTGAGCCAGCCATGCTGAGGGGAAAGGGAGAGGCTTCCAAGCTGACTCATGCTGGCTCAGGAATTCTGGGAGTTGAAGTCCACCAGTCATAAAAGAGTCCAGGTTCCCCAGCCCCGCATTGGATAAATAAAATTTACCTTTCGCAGGTGGCTTTTATATTCCTCCTGAACGTCTCCATGCTTGGCCAAGGTGACGGGCGTTCTGAAGATAAAATCTAGCAAAAAGAAGAAGAAAAAGAGGATGTTTGTGGAACATTTTGAGTCCATTCACGAGTGCCGCCAAAAGGCAATTAAGATTGTCCTCGGCTTATGACTGCCATGGAGACTGGAACCGGCATGTCTAAGCAATGCGGTCAATTAAGTGGGCCATTACACGGCCACACCAGATTTTATAACCCTTTTTCTGCTGTGGTCGTTAAGTGGATCCCTCGTCCTCCGTTGATTTTGCCGGCCCGAAAATCCTTTGGGAAGGTCGCCAAGGGGCGATCACATGGGGAAGGGGCCCGCCAGGATGCTGGAAGCGTCGTAAAATTGAGCCGGCTGCCAAAATGCCCTGATCTCAGGGACGCTCGGACAGTCGTAAGCGCAAGGACTAGTTGTAAGTCGCTTATTTTAGCGCTGTCCTAACTTGGAATGGACACTAACCGAATGGTCGTTAAGTTGAGGACCAGCTGAATCCGACATGCAGATAGTCCTCAACTTAACAAATGTTCGTTTAGTGACCGTTTTGACAGTGAAAAACCGGACTTACGAACATTTTTCACATTTACGACCGTTGCAGCGTCCCCGTGGTCACGTGATCAAAATTCAGCCATTCTATCCACTTGAGTTGATATAATTAGAAATGTACCAGCTTGAATACAAGACAGTAAACGTTAAGGGGAAAAGAGAAGAAATATCTGATGCTGTAACCTGAGATTTGCGCTAAAGATTTTGTTACCAAACTATCGATTAATCTAGTCACGTTGCTTTTTAAATACTCAAATGTAAAAATTGGAAAATTAATAAACTATTATAAAAAAATAATAATCCAGCCACTCGGCAACTGGCTCGTCTTTATTTATTTCTAATATATAAATATTTTATTAATTTTCTATTTTTACAAACAAGCCCTTAACAGACAACATGTTGACTGGGTCCATTAATAATTACCTGGTACATATAAGCTTCTTCAAATTAAATTCAATATTATATACCGCCTCTCTTCTTCAAGTACTAAACCATTTTTCCACATTAAGCAAATACAATCCTTATTGTTATTAATAAGATACACAGCTGAATATCAGCATTTATTACAGGTTTCTAATCATATCAGTAATATCAGTTTAAAATATCTTTTCTAACCAAAACATATCTTAATTGCACTTGCACTCAATATCCATTTATTCAGTCAGTATCCCATTTTTGCTTTTTTCCCCCAGTTTTAATTTCCCACCCATATTCAAAATATCCCAATCGTTTATAGTTTCAAAACAAGTTATATTTGGGTAACCCAAAACTTCCCTTATTCAAACTTCTTTGCATTTTCTTATTTCCCTTTTCATGCCAAAATATGATATTCTGATTACCAATCTTATCTATCTAGTTATAATAACGTTTCTATTTCTAGAAATCTATTCTTAACTGTATTCAAACATCTAATTGATAATATCCCCTCTAATAGGTCAAAGCTTCTGTTTCCTTCAGTCTTACTCTAGCTGTCTTTCTTTGCCAACTAATTTTCCCAGTCAATGCATTTGGATCATCAAATAATTCTGCCTCTATTTTTGTGCATATTATTTTGGAAGCAAAAGAAACCCTAACCCAGGGGTAGGCAACCATGGCTCTTTTATGACTCGTGGACTTCAACTCCCAGAATTCCTGAGCCAGCATGGGGGAAACTATGGCCCCTTCATGACTCGTGGACTTCAACTCCCAGAATTCCTGAGCCAGCATGGGGGAACTATGGCCCCGTCATGACTGGTGGACTTCAACTCCCAGAATTCCTCAGCCAGCATGGGGGAAACTTTGGCCTCTTCATGATTCACGGACTTCAACTCCCAGAATTCCTCAGCCAGCATGGGGGAATCTTTGGCTCCTTCATGACTGGTGGACTTCAACTCCCAGAATTCCTCAGACAGCATGGGGGAACTTTGGCGTCTTCGTGACTAGTAGACTTCAACTCCCAGAATTCCTGAGCCAGCATAAGGGAAGTATAGCCCTTCATGACCCGTGGACTTCAACTCCCAGAATTCCTCAGCCAGCATGGGGGAAACTTTGCTCCTTCATGACTCGTGGACTTCAACTCCCAGAATTCCTGAGCCAGCCATGCTGAGGGGAAAGGGAGAGGTTTCCAAGCTGAGCCATGCTGGCTCAGGAATTATGGGAGTTGAAGTTCATAAGTCATGAAGGTGGCCATAGTTTAGGTAAACCAACGTTAAATATAAAATCTTGGGGGAATCCAGCAGAGAAGACCTGAGCCAAAACATTTGGAAAGTCATTCAATTCACCGAGCATCACTTGCTCCAATGGTGACATTTATGCACACTGATGATGTTACCTAGCTTGGTCATGAAATGTCGGCAAAAAAATGGCCAAGCTCAGAAAGCATCAAGGATCCCATAGTCCTTCCTTCCTTCCTTCCTTCTTCTCCTCCTCCCTTCTAGCAGTGATGATGTTCCCTAGTTGGGTCATGAAACGTCTGCAAGAAAACCACCCAGCTCAGAGAGCACCAAGGACCCCACAGTCCTTCCTTCCTTCCTTCCTTCCTTCCTTCCTTCCTTCCTTCCTTCCTTCCTTCCTTCCTTCCTTCCTTCCTTCCTTCCTTCCTTCTCCTCCTCCTCCTTTCTAACACTGATAATGTTACCTAGTTGGGTCACGAAATGTCTGCAAGAAGACCACCCAGCTCAGAGAAACACCAGGGACCCAGAGTTCAACCCTGATCTAACAAGATTCTCTTCTATTGGAACTGAGATTTATCTTGGTTATTTCACTGGGGGGGGGGCGGAACGTGGGGGGGGAAGTAACCTTCTCCAAAAATGCTCTCTAACCCCCTTTGGGGGGAAAATCCGCTGAGCCCCTCCCTCCCCACTGCACTGCAGTTACAGCCCCTAAAAACATGACACCAGAACGTGTGTTGTTGTTGTTGTTGCTTTCTTTGACATCTCTTAAGATATCCTAGGATAGATTGTTGAATTCGTTGGGCACGGTTGTGGTTGCGTAGGGACAGTCGCCACATTTTGGAAAGGACCGGTTTATTTCCGCGTCCTGTTTTGATTGTGTAAGTTGCCCAGCCTGCTCCGATTGTGTGACTCATGCTTAGCAGTTATTTAAAAAAAAAAAAAAAAACCACACACACACACACACAGAATTTCGCCATTTCTGCATGTGGCTAAGTCGGAAAATCCTTACGCCAGTAGAGTCTAAACGTGCCACAAAACACACACACACACACACACACACACACACACACACACACACACACGTTCCCACTGGCACTCCCTAGCTGCCTTGCCTTCTTTTATTTGATTTTTTTAAACCGAGATTAAAACTAAACCTCTTTGCCAAATTGAGGCAGGCAAAGCCCTGCAAAAATGGGCTGTGAGTCATCCTGGCTCCCCTGCTATTTTCTGGACCTCAAGATTTTATTTCTTTATTTATTTATTGACGAAAGCCCGGAAGATCCTGGGTAGCACACGGCAGTAACTGAGATAAAAATCAAACCTCCTAAAAAAAACCTTCACAGTTACACAAAGACAGCGAGCGTCCACAGGGTACGGCCTGGGCTTGTGAATGGAATGTTAATGGGGAATAAGAAGAGGGAGAGAATCTTTGGTCTGGGGATTTAAGGCAGCAGGCTAGAAAACGGGAGACGGTGACTTCTAGTCCCGCCTTAGGTACAAAAGGCGTGCTGGGTCACTTTGGGCCAATCACCAGGAGACGGTGAGTTCTAGTCCCGCCTTAGGCATGAAAGCTGACTGGGTAACTTTGCACCAATCACCAGGAGACGGTGAGTTCTAGTCCCGCCTTAGGCATGAAACCTAGCTGGGTGATTTTGGGCCAATCACCAGGAGTCTGTGAGTTCCAGTCTCACCTGAAGCATGGAAGCCGGCTGGGTGACATTGGGCCAATCACCAGGAGGCGGTGAGTTCTAGTTCCGCCTTAGGCATGAAAGCCGGCTGGGTGACTTTGGGCCAATCACCAGGAGACAGTGAATTCTAGTCCCGCCTTAAGCATGGAAGCTGGCTGGGTGACTTTGGGCCAATCACCAGGAGTCTGTGAGTTCTAGTCCCACCTTAAGCATGGAAGCCGGCTGGGTGACATTGGGCCAATCACCAGGAGGCGGTGAGTTCTAGTTCCGCCTTAGGCATGAAAGCCGGCTGGGTGACTTTGGGCCAATCACCAGGAGATGGTGAGTTCTAGTTCCGCCTTAGGCATGAAAGCCAGCTGGGTGACTTTGGGCCAATCACCAGGAGGCGGTGAGTTCTAGTTCCGCCTTAGGCATGAAAGCTGACTGGGTAACTTTGCACCAATCACCGGGAGTCTGTGAATTCTAGTCCCGCCTTAGGCATGAATGTCGGCTGTGTGACTTTTGGCCAATCACCAGGAGACGGTGAGTTCTAGTCCCACCTTAGACACGAAAGCCAGCCAGTTGATTTTGAGCCAGACTCTCAGCCCAGCCCACCTCACAGGGTTGTAGTTGTGGAGAAAAAAGGAAGAGGGAGGCGCGCTGGATATGTTCCCCGCCTTATTTGTAAAAACAATAAAAGCGGGATACAAACAAACGAAATCTCCCGAAAGACAAACCACGCCGAATGGGACTGTCTGCCCTTAATGCTCCCACGCCCGTTCACAAGCAAACTGGAGACTGGAGAGCCATTTGTCTGAAATGGTACTATAGGGTTTCCTGCCTGAGCAGGGGGTTGGACTAGATGACCTCCAAGGTCCCTTCCAACTTTACTACTATTACTATCCACAGCCAGCATCGGGGCCCACCCTACGCAACTGAACGTACTGCCCACTTGTGAACGCACACACTAGTAGTGTGTCAAGGTGGAAGGGCCGTCCTTTCAACCAAGGCGGAGGAGAACCGGCAGCTAGTAAAGTCAGAAAAATGTGGTTCCTCCTGTTCTCTTGATTCCAGACAAGGGATCTCCTAGCTCTCACGATCCAGGCGGATCTGGAAAAGAGACCTCTGGCGTAACCAAGATCCCTCATTGCTTCCTGTTTCTCTCTCTGGATCTGGGGAGGGGGGTGGGTGGGTCCGATAACGCTGCGAGGGTCCCACCGCGATGACGTCAACACTGTTAGAACGGAGGGTCTCCCAACCTGGCAAATTTAAGACGTGGGCTTCGAGACTCCCAGAATTCCCCAACCAGGCACGCTATCAGGAAGAAATTAAATGGCTGGGGAATTCTGGGAGTGGAAGTCCACACGCCTTCAAAGTGGCCAAGATTGGAGATCCCTGCATCAGAGCAAAAAGACACACCACACTTCACACCTAAGGTTCGCGTTTGGTCTCTAAGCCGGTGTTTCCGAAATTGGGGCAATTTTAAGAGGCGTGGACTTCAACTCCCAGAATTCCCCAGCCATAATGACTTCCTGTTTGGCTCTGGATCTGGGGAAGTGGGGATGGCTATCACACGGCTTCAAGGGTCTCGCCGAGATGATCGCAACCCTGTGAGAGCAACCCAAACACACCACAGTTGCGTCTTCTCACGTGCACTCTAACCCAGGGTTTTTCAAAGGTGGTCACTTCTGGACTTCAATTCCCAGAATTCCCCAGGCAGGTATCTTCCCTCCCAGCAGGCTGAGAGTTGAAGTCCACCCTTTAAAACAGGGGTCTTCAAACTTGGCCCTTTTATGACTTGTGGACTTCAACTCCCAGAATTCCCCAGTCAGACACCTTCCCTGCCAGTAGGCTGGGAGTTGAAGTCCACCCTTTAAAACAGGGGTCTTCAAACTTAGCCCTTTTATGACTTGTTGACTTCAACTCCCAGAATTCCTCAGCCAGCGATGCTGGCTGAGGAATTCTGGGAGTTGAAGTCCACAAGTCATAAAAGGGCCAAGTTTGAAGACCCCTGCTTTAAAATGTCCTGGTTTTTTTTTCCTCCCCCCCGCCTCCAAGCATGTGCTACGTCTGTCCTGGATTTCACCTGTTATGTGAACACAGATAGCGGTTCCCCGTTCCCCCGTAATCTTCTTTTGAGATTTGCAAGCCACCATTGGCTAAATTCACACGAGAGACCCTCTTGAAATAAAGCAAGGGTAACAGAGCTGATCGAAACTTGCCAAGGTGACAAAGGGTTAGTACGACAGCCCTGTGAGGACAGCCGCAAAGAGAGACAAGGCGTTTCCAGGTCTTTGCGGTCTTGAAGATGGATATCCAGGTCCCTCTTTCGGCCTTAAGCACAAGGAACAACACATTCTAGAATACAAGGTAGACTTGAATAGAGCTGGAAGGGACCCTGGAGGTCTTCTAGTCCAGCCCGCTGATCAATCAAGAGGACCTGTAGCATTTCAGTGGCTGTTCTGAGCCAAAGTTCACAATCTTAACTACTAAGATGGCTGCACTTCAACTCCCAGAATCCCCTTACTCAAATACTGCTTCTGTAGTCCTCGACTTACAACGATCCATTTAGTGACTATTCAAAGTTACAACAGCAGTGGAAAAAAAGGGACTTGGCACCATTTTTTCACACTTAACACCATTGTGGTCTTCCCACGGTCACACGATCAAAATTTTGACACTTGGCGACTGGTTCCTATTTACGACGGCCGCAGCGTCCCGCGATCCCCTTCTGCGACCTTCTGGCAAGCAAAGTCAACGAGGGAAGCTGGCTTCACTTAACGACCGCGTTACTAATTTAGCAAGCGCAGTGATTCGCTTAACAACGGTGGCACCTCACCTAACTCTTGCTTAGCAACCGAAATATTGGGTTCCACTGCGGTTGTAAGTTGAGGACCCCCTGGATTTCTCAACCTTGTCAAAGTTGGTTGGACTTCAACTCCCAGAATTCCGCGGTGGTCTTTACACCTCTCTGTGGGATGGGGAATTCTGGGAGTTGAAGTCCAGCCATCTTCCAGACGTCAACACTGAGAAACCTGGACACACAACTCAGCCAACAAATCTCTGGTCTGCCACAAAGACTCGCATCTAGCCAACATTTGCAGATCTTGCCTTCTTTTCCCGTGAACGCCACTGGAGAGGCCTCTTTTAGGAAAAACAAGCGCGCATTCCCACGACCACCTATGCATTAACTAGCGTGTCAAGCTTGCAAGCATCAACGCGGGTTGGCCAGAGAGGCCACCGTCGCATTCCCACGATCCCTTCGAGGGATACGCAGACAGCTCACTCCCCCGCCCGTTTCTCACGGCCTGTTGCTGGTTCTGGACTGGCTGCGGATGATGGGAAGGCGGGTGGCCGCGCAGGGTGGCTCAGTCCGCGTTCAAACGACGCCAGCGGCCACGCCCCGCTTCCAGGCGGCCAATGGCGGCACTTCCCGCTTCCCCCCGGGCGCCGCCGCCACGTGGACGCGCGTCTCCTCCCGTTCACACGTTACACGCGCGGGCAAGGGCCGGCCACGCACCTCGCGGCGGGCCCGGGTCTCCGGCGGGGCCTTCCCACTGGCCCCAACGCCGCGCCGGGGTCTCCGGGGCTCCGTCGGCGTCCGCGGGGCAGGCCTCGACCCGACGACGACGACCCCGGCCTCGTCGTAGCGTCGGAACCGACGACCCCGCGTCCCGCCCGCCTGGCCCGCCCGCCGCCGCCATCTTCTCCCGGCGGGAGGAGGACGGGGGGCGGGGCCGGGCACGCCCCCTGCTCCATATTCATGAGCGGAGCCCTCGGCGGCGGCGCGCGCCCTGCGTTGGGGCGGGTGGCCACGCCCTTCTGGTGAATATTCATGAGCGCCGGGCTTCTCGACGCCTTTCCCCCCGCCTTCCTGGCCGAAGAGGTGGAGCCTCGCGTGTCCCCGAAGGATGGATGGATGGATGGATGCGTGTCTCTTGCACGTGTGCATAATTACGCCTCCATGACACGCATCTTCTGTACGTCTGTATACAATTACATCTTTCTCTCTTTCTCACACACACACACACAAAGCATCCAACATATACTGTCAGAGTACCAAAACAGAACCCGTAATGGCTGTGAGGAAGGGCATAAAACAGGGGTCTTCAAACTTGGCTCCTTCATGACTCATAGACTTCAACTTCCAGAATTCCTCAGCCAGCATGGGGGAACTTTGGCCCCTTTATGACTCCTGGACTTCAACTCCCAGAATTCCTGAGCCAGCATGGGGGAACTTTGACCCCTTCATGACTCATGAAGGGGCCATAGTTCCCCCATGCTGGCTGAGGAATTCTGGGAGTTGAAGTCCACAAGTCATAAAAGGGCCACATTTGAATATCCCTAGCATAAAAGATACATTTTTAATCTTGACATACTTTGACATTTTAGATTTTACATTTTTGTCGTATTTTCATCAAAATCTGATGTGCATGTGCCATACATCTCTCTCTCACACACACACACACACACAATGCATAGTTATGTGCTCACACAAGACAGCTAGGCCTGGGGCGAACAAGCCATTTCGTCCAGATGTGCAAGTGCTACCCTTGGACAGGCCAATGGGTGAAGCGAGGTGCCATCACGAGGTGTCGCTTAATGACCAGGGATCCATTTAATGACCGTTGCAAAAAAAAGGCTGTGCATTTAGTATAGTTGTGCGATGTCTCGCTTACTGACTCTGCCACTTAACAATGAACTTTCTGATTCCAACTGTGGTCAGAACTGGGGACTCCCTGTATACGGATGAGGCCATGCAGTCAGTAAAGAGTTGAACTCAATGTTCTTGATTGTCCATCAAAGGTCAAGATGGGAAATTTCTACCTTTAAGTCCTAATAAGTAAAGAATTCCAGCTGTATTTAAGAGTTCAGAGAAGAGCAACACAGATGATCTGGAAGCTAAAACATATGAAATGAAAGACCAGGGGTGACAGGATGGCAGCTTTCCAATATTTGAGGAGCTGCCCCAAAGAGGAGGGGGTCAAGCTATTCTCCAAAGCCCCTGAAGGCAGAAGCAACAGATGGAAACCCATCAAGGAGAGAAGCAACCTGGAACTAAGGAGCAATTTCCTGACAGGGAGAACAATTAACCAGTGGAACAGCTTGCCACCAGAAGTTCTGGGTACTCCATCACTGGAGATTTTTAAGAAGAGACTGGGCAGTCATTTGCCTGGAATGGTATAGGGCAGTGTTTCTCAACCTTGACAATTTTAAGGCATAGGGACTTCAACTCCCAGAATTTCACAGCCAGCAATGCTGGCTGTGGAATTCTGGGAGTTGAAGTCCACATGCCTTAAAATCGTCAAGGCTGAGAAACACTGGTATAGGGTTTTCTGCCTGAGCGGGGGTTGGACTAGATGACCTTCAAGGTCCCTTCCAATTCTTGTTATTTTATTAATTAACCAGTGGAACTGCTGGCCATCAGAGGTTATGGGTGCTCCATCACTGGAGCTTTTTAAGAAGAGACTGGATAGCCACTTGTCTGAAATGGTATAGGGCAGGGCTTTTCAACCTTTTCACCCATTGTGCCACTTTTAGGATATGGCAACATCCGAGTACCACCCGTCGCCTAGCAAGGGGTCAAAAACTTGATGACCAAAAAAAAAAAAAAAAAAAAAAAAAGTGATAAAGCACAGGTACTCCTCGACTTGCAACAGTTCGCTTAGTGACTGTTTGAAGTTACAATGGCACTGAAAAAAGTGCCCCCCCCCCAGCCACAGCCGAACAAGACACCTGCCTGCCTGCCCGGCCGCGCTCTTCCTCCTGTCCGAGGTTTTCATTGTTGTGAGCATTTCTGTTGAGGATTGGCAGCAGGGGTGGGGTGGGGGGGGGGGTGTTTGGTTTTTATCCCCCTCGTCTGCTGGGTGGTTGCAGCAGGTTTTGGTCCCTTCACATGACCCTGGGACACGGTGACCGTCATAAATATGAATCGGTGGCAAAGCATCTGAACGTAAATCACAAGACCCTGGAGAGGCTGCAACGTTCCAGCTAATCGGCGCTTCTTCTGGGCTCAGCAGAAGCACCAGGATCAGCGCTGAGCTCCAGCTGGATCCCGGCGCTTCCGCTGAGCCCTGACAGCCCCGAAAAAGCGCCAATCAGCTGGAAAGCGGCACCGATCCTGGCGCTTCCGCTGAGCCCCGACAGCCCTGCAGCTCCAGCCGTCTCTCGCTCAGGCTTGTGCGGTGCTGCCCCCGGTTCAGCTCATTCCCCCCCTCCCGCTACCCCTTTTCTAGGATGGTCGCGTACCCCCTGCCAGGTGCCAATATACCACAGGTGGAACCCATACCCCTGGTTGAAAAGCCACGGTATAGGGCACGGGTGTCAAACTGGCTACATCACGTGTCGCAACGTATCACAGCTTTTTTTCTTTTGCATCGCCGGACCTGGAGTGGGCACAGCCTCCGCATGACGCAACCAGTCCGGCAGTTTGACACCCCTGGTATAGGGTTTCCTGCTTGAGCAGGGGGTTGGACTAGATGACCTCCAGGGTCCCTTCCAACTCAGTTATTCCATTTAAAACAGGAGTGTTTTTTTTTTTTAAAAAAAGAACACAACGAAGGCAGCTTTGGATAGGCTAGCTTTTGAAGTATTCACTTGCGTGGGAAACCCTCCACAGAATTTCCTGGAAGGATGTTGACCAGCCAGCGGTACAGGCAGTGCACCTATCCCAAATTAAGAGAAATAAACATAGCATCAGAAGACTGTATCTTTATTCAATTTGGCTATTCCGGTATAAATTTCTTGGGGGAGAGGGGGAAAAAAAAAACCTGGAGGAAAATGTTTGGAGAAAAGGCCTATAAAAAGAGGGCGAACTTGGGAAGGTCCACAACAGAGGCCACTTGACCCCTTATCCAACCCATAATTCTTTCCCAAACAAAGCTGGTCTCAGCTCCTGCCCTGGGGTTTGATATGCAAAAATGGAGTAATAATTACAGATTGCTATGAAGTTAACATACAGACGCACATCAAAAAAATATCTGTATTATTATTACTGCCCTGATGCATTCGTTGTAAAATGAGCCACGATCAACTCTGGCAGGTTTAAGAGGGGTGGGCTTCAACTCCCAGAATTCCCAGCCTGAATTCCCCTCCTAAAACATGTCAAGGCTGGGAAACATGGACCTGGAAGCTGATCAAACCAGAGCAAGCGTCATTTTCTTGCAACTGGGCAGTTTCGGGATGGATTTTTGATTTTTTTCAGCCAGGGATTAAACATCCTTGCTAGACGCAGGGCTGGAGTTGAGCTTTTTCAGGCCTAAACACTTCAGTTGGAAAGGCAAAAAGCTTTCTCCTTTGGCCTTGCAGTGGCCCAAGCAGCCAATTCATTCCAAGAAGTCATGAGGAATTTCAAGAATAAGTTTATTTGGGGGGGATATCTTCCCGGAAACCACTTTTTCGGGGCTGGCCTGTAACTCGAGCGACCGTATTTGGATGCAAACAATCCAGATAACCACAAATGGGGAGAGGAGATGCATGGATGTGCCTCCTTATCCAGGAGTCATCTGTATGCCCAAACATGAAGCCTTAACGCAGGGGTCTTCCAACTTGGCCCTTTGAGGACTTGTGGACTTCAACGCCCAGAATTCCTCAGCCAGCGTGTCTAGCTGAGGAATTCTGGGAGTTGAAGTCCAGGGGGGTCTTCCAACTTGGCCCTTTTGTGACTTGTGGACTTCTACCCCCAGAATTCCTCAGCCAGCGTGCTTGACTAAGGAATTCTGGGAGTTGAAGTGCAGGGGTCTTCCAACTTGGCCCTTTGAGGACTTGTGGACTTCAACGCCCAGAATTCCTCAGCCAGCGTGCTTGGCTGAGGAATTCTGGGAGTTTAAGTCCAGGGGTCTTCCAGCCCTTCGATGACTTGTGGACTTCTACTCCCAAAATTCCTCAGCCAGCGTGCCTGAGGAATTCTGGGAGTTGAAGTCCAGGGGTGGTCTTCCAACTTGGCCCTTTGATGACTTGTGGACTTCAACTCCCAGAATTCCTCAGCCAGCATGCCTAGCTGAGGAATTCTGGGAATTGAAGTGCAAGGGTCTTCCAACTTGGCCCTTTGATGACTTGTGGACTTCAACTCCCAGAATTCCTCAGCCAGCATGCCTAGCTGAGGAATTCTGGGAATTGAAGTGCAAGGGTCTTCCAACTTGGCCCTTTGATGACTTGTGGACTTCAACGCCCAGAATTCCTCAGCCAGCATGCCTAGCTGAGGAATTCTGGGAATTGAAGTGCAAGGGTCTTCCAACTTGGCCCTTTGATGACTTGTGGACTTCAACGCCCAGAATTCCTCAGCCAGGCACACGTGCCTGGCTGAGGAATTCTGGGAGCTGAAGTCCACAAGTCATCAAAGGGCCAAGTTGGAAGTCCCCTGCATTAATGGTGGCAAAAACCGCCATCAACTACCGCTAGAATTGAACTGTGTTCATCTGTGTGTTTGTGTGTCTGTACAATACTTGCCTGGTGTCGCCTGGGGACAACTGATTCGAATTCCTGCTCCTTTTCTCTCCCCTATAGTCCAGCAGAAAAAAAACCCATAAAACCAACCCTATCCAATGTTCAGAAAACTCCCAACGAAGTAAAAACCGAGGCAGGCCAGCCAGAGAGGGGCCAAGCGACCATCCAAGAGGCAGTTGTGGTTTTTGTCACCCACAGCCGACAACATCCAGAGGAAGACCTGCTGCTGTCCCTATAATGGAGTCCTTTATAGAATTTTACGTTTAGTTTCTTTGGCGTTGAGCCTCTCCATCCAAAATGGTCTTCCTTCTCGTTCTTTTCAATATCAACGGCTTCTTTCTTCAGCAGACCCTCCTTCCCCGCCCCCCCAAAACAGCAAAAGACCCCCCCCATTTTCCAAGCATCCCTTCATCCCAGCTTATGGAGGGGGCTGCTACATGCAGAGGGTCTATGCCGAAGCGGCGTTCTTTGGAACGGAGAAGAGCAAGGCCTGCTCCTCTGTGCAAACCACGTGGGGAAGATACGCGCCGGTGTTGACAATCGAGCAGCGTCTTCGAACCCCCAAGGGTGGTCCTAATCCAATCCTGGTGGGTTTCTATTTGTGGGGAAATTCACAACTGCCAATTAAGAGTAGAGGCCTTGGTGGAGGTCCCAGATGGGTGATCTTCTGGAGGCAGGATCAAGCGGGGTTGCACCATCTAAGGAACCGGGAGGAATCCGTTGGAAGGACTACAAAGTAAGTTGATGGTCTTCTTAGAAGACCCAAGCGTCCCTCAATAGCCTTGACTAGGCAGCCTTGGCGATTATTCCCAGAGAACGGGAAGGGGGCTTATTGGGCCAGGCGGTGGAGATTCCTTAAGAGAGCAGGCCAGATGTTTCCAGCTGCGGGTCCTAGCCGATCATGAGATCTCACCAGTTGGACGCAAGCCCTGCAGGATCACGAGGTCCTCTACAGGCCTTCTGGAAAGGGAGCCCTGTGGAACCACCAGAGATGTTCCTGGAGGGATCTCTGCTGGTTTCCTCAGGCTGCCATCTGGAGACGCGGGGCTCGGACCTCTGGTCAACGAGGCCAACTTGTGCCCCAAAGCCAACAGAAGAAGAAGTTTCCAGGAAAGGACTGCAAGCCCACCGCTGAGGAGGAAGGACATCCGTTCAATCTCCGAGCACCGATGGGAGCCAAAGGTATGGAGCAGCCACCACACCTGTGGGGAGGACCTTGCCTCAAATAGCTTTGCTTCAAGAAGACCAAGGATGGTGCCACCTTCCATCTAAAACATCTACCTGCGTGGCTGCCCTGGGCAGGCCTTCAGCACCAGGTGCCCATCACAGTCCAGAACCAAAAGCTTCCAGAGTCTCCTTGTCTGGATGCCGAGAGCTCACCTGGGCAGCCAATCCCGTGCCTCCCGGGTAGGGATTCCTGCAAATCGTCGGAGGACGGGGGATCATTTCTTTTGGAAGAAGCCCATGATGGAGGCCTGCTTGTTGGGCTTGGCAGGGACCAGCCCCCCTTTCTTGGTGCCCTTCTTCTCCTCTTTGGGCTCCTTCTTCGCGGCCGCAACGGAGGCCTTGCGAGCTGCGCCGGGCTTGGTGCGGACGTCCTCTTCGCTCTCCGTGCATGACTCGCTCTCGTAGGCCTTTTCGGTCACTGGGAAGAAGGGGAGACACAAGGTTACACACACAAAGGCCTGTTGGCGTCCTGCCTTTCGCGTTTTGACAAATGACTCAAGGTGATGGAAGTTAGCCAACACACCTCCTGCTTTCACAACAACCACCTTGTAGGGTGGGCTGGGCTGAAAGAGAAGGTCTGGCCCAAAGTCCCCCAGGTGGGTTTGGACGGCTAAGCGGCACTTGAACTCGTGGCCTCCTGCTTTCTCGCTTGCTGCCTTAGCCTCTACCAGGACAGCCTCCAAATCCTCAACAGAATTGTTCGCTGGATTAAATCTGCCTTCTGAGATTTTTAAACTACAGTAGCTTTTTTTTTTTTAATACAAATGTTTTGTAAACTGTTCCTCTTTCATGAGGCAATGTCTCTTTTTCAAGTCTCTTCGTTCGCAGGCAAGGGGATGGACGTTCTCTTTTTAAAAATATGTTTTATTGATTTTTTTTTTAAACACAATCACCTTAAGATTTGGTAAACAGCATGTTCCAAGATTGCCGCAGATGGGGACTGCAGCCAAGACATTAAAAGACGCTTGCTCCTGGGGAGGAAAGCTATGGCAAATCTAGACAGCATACTCAAAAGCAGAAACGTCATCCTGCCAACAAAAGTACGTATCGTCATGGCCATGGTTTTCCCAGTTGCAACGTATGGCTGTGAAAGTTGGACCATAAGAAAGACCGAGTGCCAAAGAATGGAGGCCTTTGAACTCTGGTGCTGGAGAAGACTCCTGCGAGTCCCCTGGACTGCAAGGCCATCCAACCAGTCAGTCCTGGAGGAGATCAACCCCGACTGCTCTTTAGAAGGCCAGATCCTGAAGTGGAAACTCAAGGACTTTGGCCACCTAATGAGAAGGAAGGACTCCCTGGAGAAGAGCTGGATGCTAAGAAAGATGGAGGGCAAGAGAAGAAGGGGACGACAGAGAATGAGGGGGCTGGATGGAGTCCCTGAAGCAGGAGGTGTGAGCTTCAATGGACTCCAGAAGATGGTAGAGGACAGGAAGGCCTGGAGGAAGGTGGTCCATGGGGTCGCCATGGGTCGGACACGACTCCGCAACTAACAACAACAAATAGCGTGTGGTCTGAGTTTACATTTACGATTAACAATTAGTTTAATTCTATAGTCCCCATACTGCAGTGGTTCTCAACCTGTGGGTCGGGACCCCATTTGGGGTCGAATGACCACTTCACGGGGGTCGCCAAACCACGCTGTCCGCCATCTTTTTCCCTTTTCCCTAGCTGTCCTACTCCCTCTTATTGGTGGCCACACCCATTTGGGGGTCACCACAACATGGGGAACTGTATTATGGGGTCACGGCATTAGAAAGGTTGAGAACCACTGCCATACTGGCTTTGCTTGGTTTTTCTCTTCTTCTAATAATATTCTCTTTTGCCAACCTTGAATTAATACAATTCTTATTATTTAAATGAATGACAATTTAATACAGACATTTCTAATATTTCTGGAAATAATAACCATATCAATATAACGCTTCTTTTCTAACTTCTTTTCTAACTTATTCCACTATCTCAGGGGCTACCCCTAAGAAGAGGGAGTCAAGCTATTCTCCCAAGTGCATGAAGGCAGGACAAGAAACAATGGATGGAAACTAATCAAGGAGAGAAGCAACCTGGAATTAAGGAGAAACTTCCTGACAGTGAGGACAATTAGCCAGTGGAACAGCCTGCCTCCAGAAGTTGTGAATGCTCCAACACTGGAAGTTTTGAAGAAGAGGCTAGACCAGTGGTTCTCAACCTGTGGGTTGGGACCCCATTTGGGGTCGAATGACCATTTCACGGGGGTCACCAAACCACGCTGTCCGCCATTTTTTACCCTTTTCCCTAGCTGTCCTACTCCCTCTTATTGGTGGCCACACCCACTTGGGGGTCACCACAACATGGGGAACTGTATTATGGGGTCACGGCATTAGAAAGATTGAGAATCACTGGGCTAGACAGTCATTTATCTGAGATGGTGTAGATTCTCCTGCTTGAGCAGGGGGCTGGACTAGAAGACCTCCAAGGTCCCTTCCAGCTCTATTCTATTCTGATGATCAAGGGGATGGACGTTCTCAACCAGCTGGTCAAAAACTGAGATCTCTCGTAGCCAAGGGACACCTGGGGCGACTTACCGATGCAGCCTTCGTCGTCTACAAAAGTTCTCGACTTCAAGACACGTTTCCGCTTGTGTTTCTTCTTTCCCACGGAAGCCTGAAAGACAGGAAGAGAACGACGAGTCCTCGCCATATTTAACCCCGATTGTGATAGGGCTGAAGTTGAAACTGTGGAGCATGTCTTATTATACTGCCCTAGGTATAACACAGCCAGAATTAAATTACTGTCTCTCCTTGGAATTGATCCCTCTGGTTCTAATGTTAGTAATTTGGTCTTATATTGTCTAGGGCAGTGGTTCTATCTATCTATCTATCTATCTATCTATCTATCTATCTATCTATCTATCTATCTATCTATCTATCTATCTATCCTATCTCCACCCATTTTCATCCATCTATCTTCATCCATCTACATCTATCTATCTATCTATCTATCTATCTATCTATCTATCTATCTATCTATCTATCCATCCATCCATCCATCCATTTTCATTCACCTATCTTCATCCATCCATCTTCATCCATCTACATCTATCTATCTATCTATCTATCTATCTATCTATCTATCTATCTATCTATCTATCTATCTCTCCATCCATCCACCCATCCATCCATCCATCCATTTTCATTCATCTATCTTCATCCATCTACATCTATCATCCATCTACATCTATCAATTTATCTATCTATCTATCTATCTATTTATCTATCTATCTATCTATCCCAATGGTTCTCAATCTGTGGGTTGGGACCCCATTTGGGGTCGAACGACCATTTCACGGGGGTCGCCAAACAACGCAGTCCGCCATTTTTTCCCCCCTTTTCCTTAGCTGTGCTCCTCCCTTTTATTCTATTGGCTTTTGAAAGCCAATAGAATGGACTCTCTTGAATAGGGTCTAATTCTATTGGCTTTCAAAAGCCAATAGGAATTGTCCAGGCGGCCCTGCTGAGCCCGCCAAAAGTCCCAGTCTGCAAACGGCGCTGCACCAGTTGAGTAGTCCTCGACTTACGACCGGTTGAGTAGTCCTCGACTTACGAGCGGTTGGGGGTCGCGGCATTAAAAAGGTTGAGAACCACTGGTCTAGGGGATGACTCCTCGTATATTACTTCTCAGGTTTCTAAATTCCTTTTAAGAGCTATAACTATTAGAGAACATTGTAATTCCCCTTAGCCAAGGCTTCTGGTGTTAACTGTTTGTGATCGTATTTTTCTTGTGTTTTCTTTTGTTGCACTTGCATTTGGGTCTGTGACCGCAAAATAAAAATTATTATTATTATTATAACCCCGACTGAACCAGTGCAATCATTAGTCACTGACAATTCCGGCCACTTTGGCGCTTTTATGAGTTGTAGACTTCAGCTCCCAGAATTCCTGAGTCAGCACGGCCGGTTGAGGAATTCTGGGTATTGAAGTCCACAAGAGCCAAGGTTGCCTACCCCTGGTTTAGGCCAATATTTTATCGGGGGTTAATAAAAGTGGGGTGATGTGCCTCGTAGACTACTTGTCTTGCAAGGAATACAACCAGGATACACCTGTCTGTCTGACCACTGGGACAAACAGACGCAGAGGGCTAAGGCAGCTGTGGGCTGGACCCCGCAGGCCTCGGCTCACGCCGTCACCTTCGGATTTACACCACCCGTTTCTACCTACCCGGGGAGTCCTCTGCTTGCGACCGCAACGGGGCGCAAGATTTCCGTGGCTAAGCGAGACGGCTTTTCAGCGAGCTTCGCCCCGTTGTACGGCCTGGGTTGCCACATTCGCGAAGCAGACCGCTGCAGTTGTTGACGTTGATCACGTGGCTGCAGTTGCTCAGGTTAGTAACGTGGCTGTGAAGGGATTCTAGCTCCCCAAGCATGGACGGTTGTAAAAGGGGATCACGTGACCCTGAGGCCAGACAATTGTCATTAAGTACATGCCAATTGGACAGCCACTGGTCTGAAATGGTGTAGGGTTTCCTGCCTGAGCAGGGGGTTGGACTAGATGACCTCCAGGGTCCCTTCCAGCTCTATTCTATTTTAAGAGACTGGACTGCCACTGGTCTGAAATGGTGTAGGGTTTCCTGCCTGAGCAGGGGGTTGGACTAGATGACCTCCAAGGTCCCTTCCAACTCTATTCTAAGAGACTGGACTGCCATTGGTCTGAAATGGGATAGGGTTTCCTGCCTGAGCAGGGGGTTGGACTAGATGACCTCCAGGGTCCCTTCCAGCTCTATTCTATTTTAAGAGACTGGACTGCCACTGGTCTGAAATGGGATAGGGTTTCCTGCCTGAGCAGGGGGTTGGACTAGATGACCTCCAAGGTCCCTTCCAACTCTATTCTAAGAGACTGGACTGCCATTGGTCTGAAATGGGATAGGGTTTCCTGCCTGAGCACGGGGTTGGACTAGATGACCTCCAAGGTCCCTTCCAACTCTATTCTATTCTATTCTATTCTATTCTATTCTATTCTATTCTATTCTATTCTATTCTATTCTATTCTAAGAGACTGGAGTGCCATTGGTCTGAAACGGTCTAGGGCTTCCTGCCTGAGCAGGGGGTTGGACTAGATGACCTCCAAGGTCCCTTCCAACTTTATTTTATTATTATTGTTGTTGTTGTCTGAATTTTGACCAGGGGGAGGCTGCAATGGTTTTAAGTGTGTAAAACAAAGGTCCCCAACCTGTGGGACGTGGCGTCTTGGCCACTGGGCCGAGTGAATGGCTGGCCAGTGTACACATGTATGCGCGCACTCCCCCCCCAGTCACGCTAGTGTGCCCTCAGTGTCATGTGGGCGCTAGCCCTGCCCCCAGCATCAAGCACGTGCTCACGCCGCCCCCGTTTGCGTCGCACGCATGCCTGTGGTCCCATGCCTCCCCCTTCCTTCCTCTCCAGGCCACCAACCTACAAAGGTTGAGGCCCTCTGGTGTAAAACCCTTGTAAGTCACTTTTTTCAGTGTCGTTGTGACTTCCAGCAGTCACTCAATGAATGCTTGTTAAGTCGAGGACCACCTGTTTATTCAGCCATAGTTTCATTTCATACAGCATTAACCTTGTGAACTCTCAAGCTTCCTCCTTCCGTTCTCTATTCAAGTTGGACAGTATTTAATACTTATTTGTTACGTATATGTAGGGGGGTGGGTCTATACATACGTTGTTCATAGTATGTTTAGGTGTGCGTCATGTGTGTGTTTCACTTTGAGAGCGGGCAAGTCAATTTCATTTTCGATGTGTGCCGTTGGGCCCACAGTAAAAAAAAAAAATGACAATACAGGTTATCTTATCTATCTTATCTTATTGAGGCTGGAGGCACTATTCATGAATTTCCAATCCAGGTTTGAAAGAGCTACGACGAAATTTTCAGTGTTTCTCAACCTTGACCATTTTAAGGCGTGTGGACTTCAACTCCCAGAATTCCACAGCCAGCAATGCTGGCTGTGGAATTCTGGGAGTTGAAGTCCACACGCCTTAAAATGGTCAAGGTTGAGAAACACTGGGCTACATAAACACCCTCAGTGTTCCTTTCCTTTCTCCCTTTCTCTTTTCCTTCCTTCCTTCCTTCCTTCCTTCCTTCCTTCCTTCCTTCCTTCCTTCCTTCCTTCCTTCCCTCCCTCCCTCCCTCCCTCCCTTTCCTCTCCTTCTTTCCCATCTTTCTGTTTCTCCTTCCTCCTCTCATCTCTCATTCTTTCCTTCCTTTGGTCTCTTCTCTCTCTCTCTGTCTGACAGACGTTTTTCTTTCTTTCTCATCTTTCTCTTCCCTTCCTTCCTTCCTTCCTTCCTTCTCTCCTCTCTCACCTGTTTCTCCTTCCTCCTCTCATCTCTCATTCTTTCCTTCCTTTGGTCTCTTCTCTCTCTCTCTGTCTGACAGACGTTTTTCTTTCTTTCTCATCTTTCTCTTCCCTTCCTTCCTTCCTTCCTTCCTTCTCTCCTCTCTCACCCCCACACCTCTGGACTTAGGCATATTTACCACCACTGGTGCAGGGGCTGGCGGAGGCTGAGGCTTCTGAGCTGGCTCAGGGGGAGAATCTTCAGAAGCTGCTGGCGAGGAGGCAGCGCCTGCAAGAAACACAAGCAAAAGGTTGTCAACTTTGACTCGCTGTCCCCTGTTGTGTGTCTTCAGCTGTATCCTTTCCTGGCATCGCTCCCCGAGCACCCATGACTGAAAGAAGGACCGGAACATGACTTTCCCAGGAGAGACTGCTTCCTTGCTTGGCCATACTGACAGATCTCAATCTAAGAAACGCTGGACCAAAGCCTGTCTCAATCTCCCTGTCTTTGTCAACTTTTTGTTGGGCTATTCTGTTGTGGTCCTGAAGTAGCCGCAAAGTAGGTCCTGGATTCGAAACTGGCTCGCCATGTTAAGATTAAGGAGGTCTGGGATGAAGCTGAGCAGCAGGCCTCCAGTTAGAACACAACAGAACTGAACAGAATAACAGGAGTTGGAAGGGACCTTGGAGGTCATCTAGTTCAACCCTCTGCTCAGGCAGGAAACCCTATCTATACCATTTCGGACAAATGGCTGTCCAGTCCCTTCTTAAAAGCTTCCAGCGTAGGAGCATCCACCACTTCTGGAGGCAGGCTGTTCCACTGGTTAATTGTCCTCACTGTTATAAAGTTTCTCCTTAGTTCTAGGTTGCTTCTCTCCTTGATGAGTTTCCATCCATTGCTTCTTGTCCTGCCTTCGGGCGCTTTGGAGAATAGCTTGACTCCCTCTTCTTTGGGACAGCCCCTGAGATACTGGAACACTGCTATCATGTTAACCCTAGTCCTTCTTTTCATCAAAGTAGCCATGCCCAGTTCCTGCAACCGTCCTTCATATGTTTTAGCCTCCAGCCCCCTGATTATCTTTGTTGCTCCTCTCTGCACTCTTTCTAGAGCAGGGGGTCTTCAAACTTGGCCCTTTGATGACGGGTGGACTTCAACTCCCAGAATTCCTCAGCCAGGCTGGGTGGCCTCCACATAGACGCGGGTTGGGAAGCCTAGCCAAGGATTTGTGAGGGTTCAAATTGGCTTAAAGGGTGGACTGCAAGGGTCGGTGGACCTCATCCTGGCCTCTACTCACTGACAACGCTGCTAACATCGGATGACCTTGCTCTGACAACATATGGAGATGCAGCCTTTTTCTCTCTTATGCTTTACTCTTACGAGTTAGATGATACTGGGGGGGGGGGAGGAGGAATGTGATGGGAGTTAAGTTAGCCATAACAATATTGTGATCGTGTGTGAATTCAGGGCTTTTGAAATAAGAGATGATAAGGAATGGCAGGACTGGAGAACTGGAGGGAAGGCCTGCATTTCAAGCTAATTGGAGAATGTGATTTATGACTGTTAATTGGAGGAGGGAATTGTGCTTTGATACCATGTGCTCAGGGGAGGGGAATTCAGATATTTGGCTTGGCCTATGTACTGGATGCTATGCCACTGGAATAAAGATTCTTTAAGGTAAACAATGCCTCGAAGTTCTTTGAAGAGCTTCATCTGTCGGAACCAGGACACTCACCTTCCCCATCGCTGCTGCTGTCTGACTGAGGCAGTTTGATCCGACGCCTTTTCTTCTTCAAGTGGCCGGCTCCTTTCTCCTCCTCCTCCTCCTCCATGTCTGTCCTCTTTGCTCTGGGAGAAAGAGAGATCAGCTTAGACGAAAAGGACGGAAAACGAAGAGTTCTGCCCAAGGCAGGTAGCCCCCGACTTAAAACTACTCCTTTAGCGACCGTTTGAAGTTACGACGGCACTGGGGGGGAAAAAGGGACCGATGACCTTTTGGGGCACCACCGTTGCAGCATGCCTTAGAGTCCCGTGATCATAATCCGGATGCTCGGCAACTGATTCGTCTTTATGACGGTTGCAACGGCCCGGGGTCCCGTGATCCCCCTTTTGCGACAAGAAAGCCAACGGGGGAAAAGTCAGATTCGCTTAATGACCGTGTGATTAATTTAACGCCTGCAGGGATGGACTGAACGACTGTGGCAAGAGAGGTCATAAGATGGGGCAAAGCGCAGTTAACAAACGTCTCGCTTAGCGACACCGGTATCCGTGGTGCGATGAATCGCACGGGTGACTGAAGCAGGCCAACTCTTTGCAGCCTTGTCACCGAGAAAAACGCAAACCCACTACCTTCTCTTCTCTCTCTGCTGCCCTCTGGCCGGCTCGGCCTCCTTGCTGGGCTTCTCATGACCTGGAGGAGATTTTGGGTCGGTGGAAGGAACGGCTGGCTTGGCCGCTGATCGCTCTTCCTTCTGTTGCTCGGGCTCAGCACTGGCTTTGCCTGCACCTGAGTGGAGAAGATGGGAAAGCTAACATAGAATAGAATGAATAGAATAGAATTACAGAATAGAAAAGAATAGAATTACAGAATAGAATTACAGAATAGAATAGAATTACACAATAGAATAGAATTACAGAATAGAATTACAGAATAGAAGAGAATTACAGAATAGAATTACAGAATAGAAGAGAATTACAGAATAGAAAATAGAATTACAGAATAGAATTACAGAATAGAATAGAATTACAGAATAGAATTACAGAATAGAATAGAATTACAGAATAGAATTACAGAATAGAATAGAATTACAGAATAGAAAAGAATTACAGAATAGAATAGAATTTCAGAATAGAAAAGAATTATAGAATAGAATAGATTTACAGAATAGAATAGAAACAGAATAGAATTATAGAATAGAATAACAGAGTAGAATAGAATTATAGAACAGAATAGAATTACAGAATAGGAATAGAATTACAGAATAGAATAGAATTACAGAATAGAATAGAATAGAATAGAAGCTGGAAGGGATCTTAGAGATCTTCTAGTCCAGCCCGCTGCTCAAGCAGGAGAACCTATATCATCTCAGACAAGTGACTGTCTAGCCTCTTCTTAAAAATCTCCAGTGATGGATCACCCACAACTTCTAGTAGCAAGTTGTTCCACTGGTTAATTGTCCTCCCTGTCAGGAAATTGCTCCTTAGTTCCAGGTTGCTTCTCTCTTTGGTTAGTTTCCACCTGTTGCTTCTTGTTCTTCCTTCAGGTGCTTTGGAGAACAGCTTGACTCCCCCTTCTTTGGGGCGGCCCCCCTGAGGAACTGGAACCCTGCTATCATGTCCCCCCTCGTCCTTCTCTTCAACTGCAGCGATTTAATTCAATGGGGCAAGAAAAGTCATAAAACGGGGGCAAAACTCAACAGATTTCTTACACAGCAACATAAATGTTGACCTCAGTTCTGGTCCTAAGTTGACTACCTGTATTTATGAGGTCTGCAGTGTCCTGTGTGTGTGTGTGTGTGTGTGTGTGTGTGTGTGTGTGTGTGTGTGTGTGTGTGTGAGAGAGAGATCCCCTTCTTCTTCCAACCAGCCAAGTCAAAGGGGAATCCAGATTGACTTAACAACCGTCTTACGATCTTAACAACTGCAACGATTCGCTTAACAAATGTGGGGGGAAAGGTCGTAAAACGGGACAAAACTCACTTAACAACGGTCTTGCTTAGCAACAGAACATGCAGGCTCCAGGGTGGTCGTACAGCGAGGACTGCCTGGTACTTACAACGGAGAATAAAGAGAACTGCTTACCCTCTTTGCTAACGGCAGCTTTCCCAAAGAAGTTATTCAGCGTGTTTCCTTTCGCTGGGGCTTTGCTGTTGTTCGTTGAAGCCTAAAAGTAAATTAAAAGAAACAATTATAAAAGAGATAACGATCAAATCCAATAAAACGCTGTGATGGGCTATGAGCTGCTACCCAGGCAGGCCTTGACTTATGACCGCCAAGCAGTCCAAAATTCCCTTCGTTAAGTGAGACACTTGTTTAGGGAGTTTTGTCCCATTTTACGATCTTTTGGCCTCCGTTGTTAAGGGGATCACCGCAGTTGATCAGTTAGTTAAGTGATTTGTTAAGGCAGTGGTTCTCAACCTTTTTAATGCCGTGACCCCCAACCGGTCGTAAGTTGAGGACTACTCAACCGGTCGTAAGTCGAGGACTACTCAACTGGTGCAGCACCGTTTGCAAAATGGGACTTTTGGCGGGCTCAGCAGGGCAGAGACAGCCTGGACAATTCCTATTGGCTTTTGACAGCCAATAGTATTAGACTCTATTTAAGAGAGTCTATTCTATTGGCTTTCAAAAGCCAATAGAATAAAAGGGAGGAGCACAGCTAAGGAAAAGGGGGGAAAAAAATGGCGGACTGTGTTGTTTGGCGACCCCGGTGAAATGATTGTTCGACCCCAAATAGGGTCCGGACCCACAGGTTGAGAACCACTGGGTTAAAGGAATCTGGCTTGTCAGAGGATACAAGGGGATCACATTGCAACCGTCGTAAATGTGAGTCAAGTCGCCAAGCGTCCGAATTTTGATCGTGTGACCGTTGAGGAGGCCACAAAGATCTTAACTGCGGGAAAACGGTCTTAAGTCCCTTTTTTCAGTGCTTTGAACGGTCGCAAAATGAACCGTCGTGAGTCGAGGACCGCCAGTGTAAAGCCTAAATGTTGTTGCTATGGAGACTCGGATTCAAATCCCACCTTCAACCACAACGGAAAAGCTGATATCGAAATGGTCCCACCTCTCAAGGACGTCGCTCGAACTGGACTGGGAAAAACACAAGTTAAGGACTACCTGTTTGCTTTAGAAGCTTCTGTTGTCCTTGACTTACGACCACAAAGGTCAAAATTTCCGTTGCTCACTGAAACATTTGTGAAGTGAACTTGGCCTCGTTTTACGACCTTCCTCGCCAGTCGCTAAGCGAATCACCACAGTGGTTAAGCGAGTCACACGGTCGTTAAGTGAATCCGGCTTGCCCCCATTGACTTTGCTCGTCGGAAGGTCGCAAAAGGGGATGACGTGACGCTGCGACCGTCATAAGTATGAGTCAGTTGCCAAATGTCTCAATTTTGATCGTGTGACAGACACACACACCCAGGATGCTGCGACCATTGGTCGCCGAGCCTCCAAATTTTGATCACGTGACCCCGGAGGGGCTGCGACGGCCGTTAAGGGTGAAAAAAGAGCCACACGTCCCTTTTCCCAGTGCCGTTGTAACATGGAACCGTCGCAAACCGAGGACTTGCCTATATTTTCTCTATATTCCGGGTTTTCAAACCGTGGTGGCTTGAAAGTGCCAGCTCCCAGAATTCCCCAGCCAGCCCAGGTCCTTCTGCAAAGTACTGAAGCAGGAAAACGTACCCCGGGGCTCTCTTTGGCGTCTAGGTGAGACTCCTTGTGGCCATTCTTGGGTCTGGGGGCTGGTTTGGCCGCAAACATTCCCAGGATGCCTTTCGCCGGCTGGGCGGGCTGCTTGGACGACGTGCCTGGCGCCTGGCCGTTGAGCACGGGCGCGTCCGGCCCTTTTGTGGTGGGGGGAGGTTGGGGGGGGTCCTGGGCGGGGGTCTCGGCCTGGGAGTCTTCGGCGACAGGCCTGGGGATGGCGGCAGCACAGCAAATGGCACTGAATCTAGCAAGATAAGATGAGATGAGATAAGATGATAAGATAACCTTTATTGTCATTTTTTTTTACTGTGGGCACAATGGCACACGTCGAAAATGAAATTGAGTCGCCCGCTCTCAAAGTGAAACACATGCATGAGACACACCTAAACATACTGTGTACAACATGTGTACCAATCCATTTCCTTGCCAGCTGGACTAAATATCATTCCAGATAGTCCTCCGCTTATGACCATCTCCGACCCCAAAGTTCCCATTGTTTTTTTTATTATTAAAAAGTTTTACAAAAATTACAAAATATACCCCCAAACCCACCCACCCTTCCCCCCTCCCCTCCTCTCCTTTCCAGAGCTGAATACAGGGTAACAAATATAATAATCATAATCTAACTAACATTAACCAACTATATAAACAAATATAATGCGCTTTAACTCCCCTTTAACACAGAGTAAACAATTTGCAAATAAACTTAATCATATAAACAAATTAAAATCCTAATTCATAAACAATACAATATAATGAAAAATTCACTATAATAAACTAATAATAATAATAATATTCTAAAATTTATTCATAAAATAAATGGAACTTTTTAGTCCCATATTTATTCTGAATATAGTCTATCCATCTTCTCCAAACTGAAATATATCTCTCTAGTGCAGTGGTTCTCAATCTTTTTAATGCCGCGACCCCCCAACCGGTTGTAAGTCGAGGACTACACAACGGGTGCAGCACCGTTTGCAGACTGGGACTTTTGGCGGGCTCAGCAGGGCAGAGACAGCCTGGACAATTCCTATTGGCTTTGGAAAGCCAATAGAATTAGACTCTATTCAAGAGAGTCTATTCTATTGGCTTTCAAAAGCCAATAGAATAAAAGGGAGTAGCACAGCTAAGGAAAAGGGGGAAAAAATGGCGGACTGCGTTGTTTGGCGACCCCCGTGAAATGGTCGTTCGACCCCAAATGGGGTCCCGATCCACAGGTTGAGAACCACTGCTCTAGTGAATGATCCTTCAAATAAGCCGAATTTTTTGCCATTTCTGCTAAATTTGAGACCTTAAGGGTCCATTCTTCTATAGTCGGCAAGGAATCTTTCTTCCAATATTGCCCTACCAACAGCCTTGCTGCTGTTATTAAATTCAACATCAAATTAGTTTCTTTAACAACAAAATCTACCATAATACCCAACAAAAATCGTCAAGGCGTAAACTTTATCTTTCTTTTAAAAAATAATTTTGAATGTTCCACCAAATTTTAATCCAAAAAGCTTTTATATTTCTCCACATTTCCCGTTGTGAAGGGAGACGTTTCAGTGAATTTTGCCCAGTTTTACAACCTTACCACGGTTAAGCGAATCGCTGTGCTTGTTAAGTCGGCCACACAATCGTTAAGTGAGTCTGGCCCCCCCCCCACTGGTCAGGAGGTTGCAAAAGGGGATCCAGCTGACCCGGGGAGACTGGGATGGTCGCCACGGGACCGGAGGGGATGGTGAAACGGTCGTTAAGGGTGAGAAAAGGGTCGTAAGTCCCTTTCCCCCCTATACCGCTGTAGCTTGGAATGGTCACTAAATGAGCTGTTGTTAAGTCGAGGACTACCTGTCAAGTTGGCAGCCACATTGCTGCTGTCAGGAATTAAGGAAAAACTTCCTGACAGTGAGGACAATCAACCAGTGGAACAGCTGGCCACCAGAAATCCTGGGCGCTCCATCACTGGAGGTTTTTAAGAAGAGACTGGACAGTCACTTGTCTGAAATGGCATAGGGTCTCCTGCTTGAGCAGGGGGCTGGACTGGAAGACCTCCAAGGTCCCTTCCAGCTCTGTTCTATTCTATTCTATTCTATTCTATTCTATTCTATTCTATTCCATTCCAATTCATATTCTATTCTATGCTATTCTATTATTTTATTTTATTCTATTCTATTCTATTCCATTCTATATTCTATTCTATATTTCTATTCTATTCTATTCTTTCCTATTCATATTTTATTCTATTCTATGCTATTCTATTCTTTCCTATTCATATTCTATTCTATGCTATTCTATTATTCTATTCTATTCCATTCTATATTCTATTCTATATTTCTATTCTATTCTTTCCTATTCATATTCTATTCATATTCTATTCTATTCCTTTCCATTCCATATTCCATTCTATATTTCTATTCTATTCTATTCTTTCCTATTCATATTCTATTCATATTCTATTTTATTCTATTCTATTCCATTCTATATTCTATTCTATATTTCTATTCTATTCTATATTTCTATTCTATATTTCTATTCTATTCTATTCTATTCTTCTTTTCTATTCTATTCTATTCTGTAATTCTATTCTATTTTATTCTATTCTATGAGGAAAAGGACTGACAACCTGTGTCTGTCTTCAACAATGAAGGGAGACAGGGCGGAAAGGCTCCACACTCATTTACATCACTCAGGTGACCCTGAGGACACAGGTAAAGCTCCAAGTGGCCTCAATAACCCTCTAAAAAGGATGCAAATGACCAGCTGTCTGCAAGGAGTATAAATCCTTCCACTCCCCACCATCCAGAGCTGAAGGAGCTTCTTGGATGAGAAGTGAAACGTCTTCAAAGAAATAAACAAGAAAGTCCAGTTGCCGCGCGGAAAAGCACCTTTGGGATAACCAGGGCCTGGACGACAGAGAATCTCCCTCGAAAACTAAGTTCCCTCCCTGCGTTGCTACCCCCCAGTGCTGCTCCTCCCCCCAACCCGGGTTACTCATGTCAGGCTGTCAGCTTGCGATGCGTGGCTTAGCAGAATGTCAGCCGCGACGCCCTGGCCAAGAGCCAACTCACTTGCTGCAGTTCTGGAGATTGGTCTTGAGGATGTCGTAGTCGGTGTTGAAGAGAGGGCTGCTGTCCCTCAGCAGGGCCTTTTGGATGCTATAGACGTGGACGCTGGCCACCGTGGAGAGCTTGGCTTTCATGGCTGGAAAAGGAGGCAGAAGGCATATGAAGACAGGAGAGAAGCCTCCCAAAAACGAGTGGGGAAAACTGGGTGATCTCCCTCTCAGCTCAGCCCACCTCACAGGGGGGGAAAAAACAACAACAACAACAAAGAAAATCGTATTTTTCAAAGGTGATTTTGAAGTTTTGTGCAAACGTACCTTCTAATTTATCTTCTTTCACTACTGCAACCTTATGGTACTGCAAAGAAAAGGTAGCCTATTACTTCAGCAAATATTTGTTATTGCAAATATTTGTTATATGTCAACGTAGGTCAGTGATGGCGAACCTCTTAGAGATCAAGTGCCCAAACTGCAACCCAAAACCCACTTATGCATCGTCGGGTGCCAGGTGGGCGTGGCCCATTGGGTGGGCGTGGCTGCGGTGGTAACGGCAGACTGGGTGGGACTAAAAAGTTCAATCAATCAATTCCAACTTTGCAAGATCTTTTTTTTCCCGCGAGAAGTTGAAATTGATTGATTGGACCTCTTTTTTTTTTTGCACATGGCGGCGGAGGCCTAAAGCGAAAAGGTTTTATAAAACCCAGCTGAAGGCCTAGGACTGGGGCGACGGCGCGCGTGCCCACAGAGAGGGCTCTGAGTGCCACCTCTGGCACCTGTGCCATAGGTTCGCCACCACTGACATAGGTCATCTCCATTACACGTTTTCTGGACGTGGGTAGAACTAATTCTCAGGGAAGCAATTGAAGCCTGCAATTCCAGGTTTCAACTGCCACCCCGGCTATCAACATTTAAATCCAAATGTCGAATGCAAGAGAAAGTTCTGACTTACAGTGTGTCCGTTCTGAACGACGTTCCCTGCCAGTAAATAGGTGACGTGCAACTGGGCTCCTGCGTTCTCCTTCCGTTTCCTCTCTATGTAATCGTATAACATTCTGTAAAAAAAAAAAAGAGCGCAAAGACTAGAAGTTAAAATAGATAATTTTGGAAGTTTTCAGTAACTGTCCCCTGCAAAACTAAACGGAGCACATATCGTCCAAATTAAACTGTGCAGCTCGGGATTAAACAGCTATAAATGAAAAGCGGTTTGGTCAAGACAACAAGCTAGAAAGCAGGAAACGGTGAGTTCTAGTCCCGCCTTAGGCATGAAAGCCGACTGGGTGACTTTGGGCCAATCACCAGGAGATGGGGAGTTCTAGTCCCGCCTTAGACATGAAGGCCAGTTGGGTGACTTTGGGCCCATCACCAGGAGATTGTGAGTTCTAGTCCTGCCTTAGGCGTGAAAGCCAGCTGGGTGACTTTGGGCCAGTCACCAGGAGACGGTGAGTTCTAGTTCCGCCTTAGGCATGAAAGCCAGCTGGGTGACTTTGGGCCAATCACCAGGAGATGGTGAGTTCTAGTCCCACTTTAGGCACAAAAGCTGGCTGGGTGACTTTGGGCCAATCACCAGGAGACAGTGAGTTCTAGTCCCGCCTTAGGCATAAAAGCCAGCTGGGTGACTCAGGGCCAATCACCAGGAGACGGTGAGTTCTAGTCCCGCCTTAGGCAGAAAAGCCAGCTGGGTGACTTTAGGCCAATCACCAGGAGACGGTGGGTTCTAGTCCCACCTTAGGCATGAAAGCCGGCTGGGTGACTTTGGGCCAATCACCAGGAGACGGTGAATTCTAGTCCCACCTTAGGCATGAAAGGTGGCTGAGTGACTTTAGGCCAATCACCAGGAGACGGTGAGTTCTAGTCCTGCCTTAGGCATGAAAGCCGGCTGGGTGAATTTCCTCCAATCACCAGGAGACAATAAGTTCTAGACCTGCCTTAGACATGAAAGCCAACTGGGTGACTTTGCACCAATCACCAGGAGACGGTGAGTTCTAGTCCCGCCTTAAGATATGAAAGCCAAACTGGGGGACTTTAGGCCAATCAACAGGAGACAGTGAATTCTAGTCCCACCTTAAGCATGGAAGCCGGCTGGGTGACTTTGGGCCAATCACCAGGAGACTGTGAGTTCTAGTCCCGCCTTAAGCATGAAAGCCAGCTGGGCGACTTTGATCCAAAAGGTCACATTTATGACAGTCACAGCATCCTGGGGTCGTGTGATTCCCCTTTTTGCAACCTTCTGACAGTTGGAAAGACAGGTGCACTTAACAACTGTGTGACTAACTTAACAAGTGCAGTGATTCCTAGCAAGTGTATCAAGAAAGGCTGTAAAATGAGGCAAAACTTACTTAACAACAGCAAGAGCAGTTTTGCACTCAATTGTAGTCATCAGTCAAAGACTACCTGTGTCAGAGATGAGTAGTAGTCTGGACTACTACTGTAAGTACAGACAAGAGAGATCGATACTTACTGCTTGGCTTGATTCACATGAACTCCCAAGGTAAAGCTCAGCCATTTATACGTTACCTGCAAAGCAACGCATATCATTATTTTAACCAAAATGCCAACAGCCACCACAGAATGAACCTCCATCACTGCAATAATCCCAGAGTTGGGAAGAGTCCTGGAGTCCAAGACGGACCTCTCCAGCCTCTGCTTGAAGACAGAGCTGACACCTGTACAGGTAACTGACGCTACACGTATTGTTTCTTCACAATGCAATTATTCAGAATAGCTTGCTGGACCTCTGGGCTGACTTTTGGGGGAGCCACAAACCTCGGCTGGAGAAAGTCACTTGAGTGGGGTTTGCAGGCAACTATGCAGGCATAAATAAGATTACTATATAAACAGGAGGTGCTCCCAACTATTGTTTGGACGATTTATTGTTCTGGATACGTCATCGTGTTCTTTTCTCATTTAGACACTCTCTCTCTATGTATGTACATAATGTGTGTGTGTGTGTGTATAGTTTATATATTTATATATATATTTATTGTTCTGGAGGACCACAATCTTTTTTTATTTACTCTCTCTCTCTCTCTCTCATCTATCCCCATCCATATCTACCTACCTACCTATCTCCATCCATATCTATCTATCTATCTATCTATCTATCTATCTATCTATCTATCTATCTAACTATCTATCTATCTATCTATCTATCTATCTATCATCTACATCCATATCTACCTACCTATCTCCATCCATATCTACCTACCTACCTATCTCCATCCATATCTATCTATCTATCTATCTATCTATCTATCTATCTATCTATCTATCTATCATCTACCTCCATCCATATCTACCTATCTCCATCCATATCTACCTATCTCCATCTATATCTACCTACCTACCTACCTCTCTATCTAATCTATCTCCATCCATTACCTATCTATCTCCATCCATATCTACCTACCTACATCTATCTACCTACCTACCTCTCTATCTAATCCATCTCCATCCATTATCTATCTCCATCCATTATCTATCTCCATCCATATCTACCTACCTATTTATCTCCATCCATATCTACCTACCTACCTACCTCTCTATCTATCTCCATCCATATCTATCTATCTATCTATCTATCTATCTATCTATCTATCTATCTATCTATCTATCTAATCTCCATCCATATCTACCTACTTACATACCTGCCTATCTCCACCTATCTCTATCTACATACACTTACATAAACACTCATACATGTATATATATATATATACATATATACATACATACAAACATATAGATAGATAGATAGATAGATAGATAGACAGACAGACAGATAGATAGATAGATATAGATAGTGTGTTTGTATATATAGTTTATATGTAAATATTTTCTGGAAAGGTCATCCCACACACAGAGAGAAAAATACATTTATCACCATTTATCATCCTATTCCCTAATGCAAGAACGATTGGGGGGGGGGCACAGCCTAACCAGGCCTGCCACTTGAAGGCTCAGCCGCCCTTCCCCCCTAAAATGTTGGGGGGGGGATGCATGCAGCTTCTGGCTCTTGGAGGGACGCCAGGCCCAAAAGGCCAGAAGTATTATGGGATGCGGGGTCCCTGGCAGACTTAGACCAGGGTAATAAGGATCCCTTCGAAGAGCCTCCCCCTCGACTCCCCCTTCCCGGGTCCCCCCCTCAAGACCCTCGGCCTACTACCATCCCTACCACCCGCTGCGGATGATGGGACTTGGAGCAGAGCACGTTGCGGGAAAGGGTGTCGGAGAGGAGTAGGCCCGAAAGGGCCGCGGAGCCCGAATAAAGCAATTAAACGCATAATTGGCTTTTTTTTTCCTGGACACGCAGCCCCTCCCCCCGCCCCATTTAACCCCCGCACTCCCCCCCCCACACCCCCGGCATCATTCGCACTCACGACTCGGTTCTGGTCCGTGACGAACTCGTCGATGTTCTCCAGGTAAAGTTCGTCCTCCATGGCGGGCCGGGCCGGGCCGCGAGAGCCCCACAGCGCCCCTTGCCCTCCGCGACCCTCCACCGCCGCCATGGCAACGGCAGGCCGCGCCTCTCGGCTTTTGCGCGCGCGCGGGCGCGCGCGCTACGGCGGCCGAGAGGAGGAATTTACGTCACGCGGAACGTCGGCCTCAGCGAGCTACGGGGGCCGCGCGGGGACAGTTCCCTGCAACCGCCGCCGCCGCTAAAGCGCATGCGCCCCGTCCCCGAGTGGGCGGGGCAAAGGAGCGCTCGCTCCTTTAGCATCGTCAACCTGGCGCTCTCGGGCCCGATGGGGTTTTTGCCTACCAATGGAGGGCAGGGGATGATGGGATTTGGGGAGGGGGGGCTGGAAGGCCCCTGCGGGCAAGTCCTGGACTTAGGACCCCAAACTGAGCCCAACATTCCTGTTGACATTTGTTAAGTGAGCTTTGCCCCACTTTACGACAGTTGTTAAAATTAACATCCCGGTCGTTAAGTGAATTCCCATTCGCTTTGCTTGTCGGAAGGTGGCAAAAAGGGGCTGCGACCGTCGTAAATAGGAGTCAGTGGCCAAGCGTCCCAATTTTGATCACGTGGCCCATGAAGATGCTGCAACCGTCATTATGTGTGGAAAACAGACATAAGTCACATTTTTCAATGAGGTTGTAACTTGGACCGGTCAGTAAACAACCTGTTGTAAGTACAGGTACTACCTGTATTAAAAATAATTGCCTTCTCCCTTCGATTTCCAGCCCATCCTCCTCCCCCCCTTCTCTCTTAGGTCCATGTGTTCGAAATGGCTTTTACACACACACACAAACACACACACAAGCACAAACACCGATGCACAATCTAGGAAGGCTGAATCTCTCTCCCTTTTCCCCTTCCTTCTCTTTCAGCAGCCCCCTTTGCGGCTTTCCTCTGGATGTTTCCTGTTTTGTGAATTTTGGGCCAATTTCCTGCACAGTTTACGTGCGCCTCTTTGGGCCTTGCGTGCGCTGACTGCTGCTTTGACGTTTTTTTTTTTTCTGCTGGCACAGCTGGAATGTGCCAGTTTTTTTGGGGGGGGGGCGTGTTTGTCTTCCACCCTGGAAAAGGCTATTTTGAGAGGTGTGTTTATATTCCTCTCCTACGGAATGACCTTTGCAGCATCCCTTTGGGTCAAAATGATCACAATTAATAGAACTGAATAGAAAATAGAATAGAGAAGAGAAAATATGGAATAGAATAGAATAGAATAGAATAGAATAGAATAGAATAGAATAGAATAGAATAGAATAGAATAGAAAATATGGAATGGAATGGAATGAATGGAATGGAATAGAATAGAATAGAATAGAATAGAATAGAATAGAATAGAATAGAATAGAATAGAATAGAATAGAATAGAATAGAATAGGAATATATAGAATAGAATAGAATAGAATAGAATAGAATAGAATAGAATAGAATAGAAAATATGTAATGGAATAGAATAGAATAGAATAGAATAGAATAGAATAGAATAGAATAGAATAGAATAGAATAGGAATATATACAATACAATAGAATGGAATGGAATGGAATGGAATGGAATGGAATGGAATGGAATGGAATGGAATAGAATAGAATAGAATAGACCAGAATAATAACTTTATTGTTACCTTGAGTGTGCACTAATCCACATACATTAAAATAAAATTTCATTGCCTACAGCTCTCAAAGGGAGACTGTCTCCGATATACACTACATAAACATGACATAAATAAATAAATAAATAAATAAATAAATAAATAAATACAGAATTATGCACATACCCACATATATTATATGATGCAGAGAAACAACAGTCTAGTTTGGGTGATGTATAACTTGTCCGTGGCGAGAAAAATGAATCTTACAAGTTTACCAGACAGACGTTGCTTTCGAAAACCGGTTCATTTTTATGACCGTGGCCGTGCCCCGCGGTCACGTGATCAAAATCCAGACGCTTAGCAGCTGACTCGTATTTACGATCATCGCCGTGTCCCCTGGGGAGGGTCACGTGATCCCCTTTTACGACCTTCTGACAAGCAAAGTCAATGGGGGGGGGGGAAGCCAGATTCTAAGATGACCAACTTTTTTACAATGAAAAAGAGGGCACAAAAAAATTGAAGAAAAAAATATCGTAAATAAAAGAAACATTTTATTCATTGCAACAATAATACAGACAACTTGCACGTGCAAAGTTTGCCAGCCGGGTGTTTTGGTGCGTTCAGCAGCAATTCCTATTGGCTTTCAAAAGCCAATAGCAGGAGTAGCACAGCTCATGCAAAAGTTGGAAAAAAACCATCAAACAAAGGTGCCGGAATGCCGTTCTGAGCGTTCTATGAGAAAAAAAAGCCCTGCAGATTAGTCTTCAAATATCGAAAAGGAGGACATGAAGGAGGACACTTTTTGAGGGAGGACAGAACTTACAAAAGGAGGACTGTCCTCCCTAAAGCAGTGGTTCTCAATCTTTTTAATGCCGCGACCCCCAACTGGTCGTAAGTCGAGGACTACTCAACCGGTCGTAAGTCGAGGACTACTCAACTGGTGCAGCACTGTTTGCAGAATGGGGCTTTTGGCAGGCTCACCAGGGCAGAGACAGCCTGGACAATTCCTATTGGCTTTTGAAAGCCAATGGAATTAAACTCTATTCAAGAAATTCTATTGGCTTTCAAAAGCCAATAGAATAAAAGGGAGTGGCACAGCTAAGGAAAAGGGGGAAAAAAATGGCGGACTGCGTTGTTTGGCGACCCCCGTGAAATGGTCGTTCGACCCCAAATGGGGTCCCGACCCACAGGCTGAGAACCACTGCCCTAAAGGAAGACGGTTGGTCACCTTACAGATTCACTTAACAACTGTTTGACTAACTTAATAGCTGCAGTGATTCACTCAACAACTGCTGCAAGAAAGGTCGTTAAATGGGGCAAAACACACTTAAGAAATGTCTCGTTTAGCAACAGAGATCCTGGGCTCAGTTCTGATCATTTGAGATCTATAGGTTCTCCTGCTTGAGCAGGGGGCTGGACTAGAAGACCTCCAAGGTCCCCCCAGCTCTGTTATTCTGTCGAAGGATGCACGGAGTCCTACTTTACAAAAACAGTTAGCTTGGACTTGACTTGCTTCCTTCCGACCCCAAATTATTATTAGCTGGAGGGAGATGAAGAGAGAAAACACCAGGAAGTGCTGATTTGCGTCAGAATGTGCTCCTTGCGCTGCAGGATGCAAAAAAATCCTCTGGAATTCCCCCTGCCAACAGCTGGAGGAAAGTGATGCAACCCGGAATACAAACACTTCCGATGTTTTTCCTTGATGCTCTGGCCTCATTTGGAGATGTTGCTGTTTGTCTGTGCTTTACTTGCCCAAAGGCCTTGAAAAGCCAGGATATAAATCTGAGCCATAAACAAGTAAAAGAAATACTGTATATTTGTTTAGAATAGAATAGAGCTGGAAGGGACCTTGGAGGTCTTCTAGTCCAACCCCCTGGTCAAGCAGGAGAATCTACACCATCTCAGACAAATGACTGTCTAGCCTCTTCTTAAAGACCTCCAGTGATGGAGTGCCCACGATTTCTGGTGGCAAGCGGTTCCACTGGTTAATTGTCCTCACTGTCAGGAAGTTTCTCCTTAATTCCAGGTTGCTTCTCTCCTTGTTCAGTTTCCAACCATTGTTTCTTGTCCTTTCCTCTGGTGCTTTGGAGAATAATTTGACCCCCTCCTCTTCTTTGGGACAGCCCCTCAAATACTGCAAGACTGCTATCATGTCTCCCCTATTTCTTCTTTTCTTTAGACTAGCCAAACCCAAATCCTGCAACCGTTCTTTGTATGTTTTAGTTTCAAAGGACCTATTTCAAAGTATGTCTTGCCACTTAAAAAAGCTGCGACAAGCAATCAATATAGAAAAAGAAAACGGTTGCAGGAATTGGGTCTGTCTAATTTACCGAAGAGAAGGACGAGGGGGGACATGACAGCAGTGTTCCAATATCTCAGGGGCTGCCCCAAAGAAGAGGCAGTCAAGCTATTCTCCAAAGCGCCTGAAGGCAGGACAAGAAGCAACGGATTGAACCCAATCAAGGAGAGAAGCAACCTAGAACTAAGGAGAAACTTCCTGACATTGAGAACAATTAACCAGTGGAACCACCTGCCTCCAGAAGCGGTAAATGCTCCAACATTGGAAGTTTTTAAGAAGAGACTGGGCAGCCATTTGTCCAAAATGGTATATAGGTTTCCTGTCTGAGCAGGGGGTTGGACTCGATGACCTCCAAGGTCCCTTCCAAGATCATCATCATCATCATCATCATCATTATTATAAAACTACCAATTTTGCAATTTATATTGCTCGAAGTTCAGCAGATTGCAAATAGTATGTCCTTATTGGGAAACAGCAAAAAGTTTCAAGTTAAAGCTTGAAGGACGAGGGGGGACATGACAGCAGTGTTCCAGTATGTCAGGGGCTGCCCCAAAGAAGAGGCAGTCAAGCTATTCTCCAAAGCGCCTGAAGGCAGGACAAGAAGCAACGGATTGAACCCAATCAAGGAGAGAAACAACCTGGAACTAAGGAGAAACTTCCTAACAGTGAGGACAGTTAAACAGTGGAACTCCTTGCCTCCAGAAGCAGTGAATGCTCCATCACTAGAGGCTTTTAAGAAGAGATTGGACAGCCATTTGTCTGAAATGGTGTAGGGTCTCCTGCCTGAGCAGGGGGTTGGACTAGATGACCTCCAAGGTCCCTTCCAACTTTATTATTATTATTATTATTATTATTATTATTATTATTATTATTATTGACAGAAAACCATAATAATTGATTGTTGATTGTGGTTCTGTGGTTCTGCTGGCAAAGTGGTTGTTAAATGCATTGTGCCTGATTTAACAACTGCGGCAAGACAGGTCATAAAATGGGGCAAAACTCACTTAACAACTGTATTGCTTAGCAACGACTGCTGCGGTCGTCAGTCGAGGATTGCCTCTACACCTTGTCGCAACTCTGCCGCAGCTGAGGCACAAGGCAATTCCTTCGGATGGCTGGGAATTGTTTGCTAAACTCCATTCTTAGATTTAAAGACCGGAAAACAGCTGTAAATGAAGCATGATTGAGACAGAGCTGGCTTCCTTGTCGTATTTCCAAAAGGAAACGGATTTATTAAGTCAGTGGGACTTCCTGCCAGCTCCTAAGGCTGTGCCACGGCAGGCCAAGAAGGAAAAAAATGGTTTTTTTCCTTCTCCCGAAATAAATGGGTCGTGTATCCTCTGGAAAGATGGGGGTGCTGAATGCACGCATCCCAAAGGAATCAGGACAAGGTGAGTGTGTTATGCAAGTGCATGCTCAGAATTTATAGTGCAGTTGGGACTAAGGCCTTCAGGTGGAACCTAGGGATAGAAATAGAGATAGAGATAGAGAAAGAAATAGAAATAGAGAAAGAAATAAAAATAGAAACAGAGTAGAGTAGAATAAGAATAGAATAAGAGTAGAATAAGAATAAGAATAGTATGGAATAGTATGGAATGGAATAGAATAAAATACTTATACGTAAGGGTGTAGGTCTATACATATGTTGTATATAGTATGTTTTAAATGTGTGTTATGTATGTGTACACTTGAAAGCAACAACTAAATTTCATTTTTAATGTGTGCCGTTGTGCCCACAGGAAAAAAAATGACAATAAAGGTAATCCTAATCTAATCTAATCTAATCTAATCTAAGGTAGGGTAGGGTAGAACAGAACAGAACAGAAATACAGAATAGAATAGAATAGAATAGAATAGAATAGAATAGAATAGAATAGAATAGAATAAGATAAAATAGAAATACAGAATAGAAATACAGAATAGAATAGAACAGAACAGAATAGAATAAAAATACAGAATACAATAGAATAGAATTACAGAATAGAATAGAAATATAGAATTGAATAGAATTACAGAATAGAATAGAATAGAATTACAGAATAGAACAGAACAGAACAGAAATACAGAATAAAATAGAATAAAAATAGAGACTAGAATAGAATAGAATAGGACAGAAGAAGGAATAGAATGGAATGGAACGGAACGGAACGGAACGGAACAGAATGATTGGATACCCAAGGAATTTGTCTCCAGTGCTTAAGCACTCAGTATACACACAGACAAGAAAGCTATATAATCATGAGATACCAATCAAATGTTGCCTGCATTACCTTCATGCACTGCTTCTCAGCCGTAGCAACTTGAAGACTTGGTGTGGACTTCAACTCCCAGAACTCATTGGGCAGCCATAGGCAGGAGAATTCTGGGACTTGGAGTTGTAATGTACCTGGCCAGCCCACAAAGGCGAGCAGCTGGTTTAAGCACAAATAGGAACCCGGTCTCTCTTCATCTTGCGTTACTGACGTGGTTTGTGAAGCATATTCCGCCACCGTGATCCTTTTTTCAAGTTTTAACAAGTGAGAAAGTCAGCAAATGCTAAGAGCAACTGTGCCCTGTGATGGCAACTCCTTTGGGACTCTTGTTCCCAAGTTGGCAGCTCAGAGGTGACTGGGTCCGTCTTCGCCCCACCTGCCATCCTTCCTTCACCCCCTCCTTTATGCTGTTTTATTGCATTATTGTAAAATACAAAGAGGGCATTGTATTTTTTGGAGACAGTGGCGTTTCTGCCAGGTTGACCGGAGATTGTTCACACAGGGGGGAAGAAGGTTTATGATAACTTGGGCTGAGTTCTGCAGAGGGAGGGAGGGAGGAAAGAAGGAAGAGAGAGAGAGAGAGAGAGAGAGGGAAAGGAGAGGAAAATGAAGATAAAATGAAAGGGGAAGGAAAGGAAGGTGGGGGGGAGGAGGAACGTTGAAAGAGGAAGGGGGAAGGAAGGAAAGAGATGGAAAGAAGGGAGGGAAGGAAGAGGAAAGGGAAGGAAAGTGAAAGGAAAGTGGAAGGGTAGAAGAAAGGAAGGAAGTGGAAGGAGGGAGGGAAGGAAGTGGAGGGAGGGAAGAAAGGAAGGAAGGAAAGAAGTGGAAGGAGAGAGGAAAAGAAGTGGAGGGAGGGAAGGTAGGAAAAAAGGAAGGAAGTGGACAGAGAGAGGGAAGGAAGGAAGAAAGGAAGGCAGAGGAGGGAAGGAGGGAAGGAAGGAAGTGGAAGGAAGGAAGAGGGGGGAAGGAAGGAAGGAAGAAGAAAATGAAATGAAAGTGGAAGGGATGAAGGAAGGAAGGAAGGAAGGAAGGGGAGTAGAGTAGAGGGAGGGATGAAGGAAGGAGGGAGGGAAGGAAGAAGAAAGTGAATTGAAAGTGGAAGGGATGAAGGAAGGAAGGACGGAAAAGAGGGAGGGAGGGAAGGGAGGGAGAAACATTGAGGAAGGGAAGGAGGGAAGGAAGGAAATGGAAGGAAGAGGAGGGAAGGAAGGAAGGAAGGAAGGAGAAAGTGAAAGGAAAGTGGAAGGGTCGAAGGAAGGAAGGAAAGGGAGTAGAGTAAAGGGAGGGAGGGAAGGAAGGAGAAAGTGAATTGAAAGTGGAAGGGATGAAGGAAGGAAAAGAGGGAGGGAGGGAAAAAGATTGAGGAAGGGAAAGGAGAAGAAGGGCAGGAGGGATAGAAGGAAGGAAGGCACGAAGGAAGAAGAGGGAGGGAAGGAAGGAGAAAGTGAAAGGAAAGCGGAAGGGATGAAGGAAGGAAAAGAGGGAGGGAGGGAAGGGAGGGAGAAAGATTGAGGAAGGGAATGGAGAGGAAGGGAAAGAGAGATAGAAGGAAGGAAGGAAGGAAGAGGAGGGAGGGAAGGAAGGAGAAAGTGAAAGGAAAGCGGAAGGGTGGAAGGACGACGGAAGGGAGGCAAGCAAAGAAGGAAGGCGAAAGTGAAGTGAAAGTGAAAGTGAGGACGGAAGGGAGGGGCGGGATGAAGAAAGAGAAAGTCCCTCCCCTCCCCGGGCGCAGACACGTGCTGGGGGGCGTGGCCCGGGGGGCGTGGCCCGCGGGCGCCCGGCTGCAAAAGGCCCGGCTGCCATGCGGGGCCCGGCGGTGCGGCTGGTGCGGCTGGGCCGGGCGTCGCTGGCGGAGTCGCTGCGGGCGCAGGAGGCGGGGGCGGCGGCGCTGCTGCGGGCGGGGGTTGGGGCGGCGGAGCGGCTGGTGTTGTGGGAGCCGCGGGGCCCGCTCTACACGGCGGGGCTGCGCGGGGCGGGCGGCGGCGCGGCGGCGGAGGCGGCGGAGGCGGCGCGGCTGCGGGCGCTGGGCGCGGAGGTGGCGCGCGTGGGGCGCGGCGGGCGGCTGACCTTCCACGGGCCGGGCCAGCTGGTGGCCTACCCGGTGCTGGACCTGCGCCGCCGCCGCCTCGCCCTGCGCGCCTACGTGGCCGCCCTGGAGCGCCTGGGCCGCGACGCCTGCCGCCGCCTCGGCCTGCCCGCCGCCCGCGCCCTCCCGCCGCCCCGCACCGGCGTCTGGCTCGGAGACCGCAAGCTCTGCGCCATCGGTGAGCCCGCGGGGCCCGGACGGCTCGGGGACCGGGTTCTCCGCCACCCTGAGGCTCCGGGACGGGGGATAGGAAAAGGACTACCAGGCCCATGGGGAGGGGACTACCGTGCCCATTGTTTTCGGCCACCCTGGGGCTCCAGGACTTGCCAGGCCCATGGTGCCTGGCCTTCGAATGGGGAGGGGACTACCGTGCCCATGGTTCTTGGTCACCCTGGGTCTCCAGGACGGGAGATAGGAGGAGGACTGCCAGGCCCATGGTGCCCGGCCTTCGAATGGGGAGGGGACTACTGTGCCCATGGTTCTTGGCCACCCTGGGGTTCCGGGAAGGGTGATAGAAAGGGACGGCCAGGCCCATGGTGCCCGGCCTTTGAATGGGGAGGGGACTACTGTGCTCATTGTTCTCGGCCACCCTGGGGCTCCGGGACGGGTGATAGAAAGGGACTGCCAGGCGCATTGTGCCCAGCCTTCGAATGGGGAGGGGACTACCGTGCCCATGGTTCTCGGCCACTCTGGAGCTCCAGAACGGGTGATAGAAAGGGACTGCCAGGCCCATAGTGCCTGGCCAGCTCAGTCTGTACGATGCCAATGAAGATGGGACTACCGTGCCTGTGGTTCTTGGCCACCCTGGGGCTCCAGAATCTATGATAGGTGGACTGCCAGACCCATGGTGCTTGGCCAGCTCACTCTGTAGGATGCCAACAGAGAGGGGGACTTCCGTGCCCATGGTTCTTGGCGACCTTGGGGCTCCATAATCTGTGATAGGAGGATTGCCAAGCCCATGGTGCCCAACCAGCCCTGTCTGCATGTTGCAAATGAAGAGGGGATTACCATGCCTGTGGACTCAGCCACCTTGGGGCTTCAGAACAGGTGATAGAAAGGGACTACCAGGCCCATGGTGCCCAACCAGCCATGTCTGCAGGCTGCGAATGGAGAATGGACTACCCTGCCCTTTGACCTCAGCCTTTCTGGCTTTCTCCAGTGCTGGGAGAGAAGGGACTGCTATGCCCATGGAGAGGGGACTACCCTACCCATGCTTCCCTCCCTTTCATCCCGCAGACTCCTTCCCAGGACTCCGGAAGGGAGCAGAGAAGGGAAAGGCAATTTTGGGACAGCTTATGGGGCCGACTGAAGTCATCCCACCCCCCCAAATGACACAGATTGTGATTTGCAAACAACATCCTTGACTTAACAAACACAATTTGCTAAACAACACCGTTGTTTAGTGAGCTTGGCTCTGTTTTACGACCTCCCTTGCCCTTGCCACCGTTGTTAAGTGAATCACTGCAGGGGTGAAGTCGGTTGTTAAGTGAAGCCAGCTTCCCCTTGACTTGGCTCGTCAGAAAGTCGCAAAAGGCAGTCGCGTAAATCCAGGACTTGGCAACCGTCCTAAGTACGAGTCAGTTGCCAAGCGTCCGACTTTTGATCGCGTGACTATGGGGACGCTGCGACGGTCGTAAGTGTGAAACACGGTCCTAAGTCGCTTTTTTTTTTCCAGTGATGTAACTTTGAATGGTCATTACTGGACAGCCATTTGTCCAAAATGGTCTTGGGCAGTGGTTCTCAACCTTTTTAATGCCGCGACCCCCAACCGGTTGTAAGTCGAGGACTACTCAACCGGTCGTAAGTCGAGGACTACTCAACGGGTGCAGCACCATTTGCAGAATGGGACTTTAGGCAGAATCAGCAGGGCAGAGACAGCCTGGACAATTCCTATTGGCTTTTGAAAGCCAATAGAATTAGACTCTAGTCAAGAGAGTCTATTCTATTGGCTTTCAAAAGCCAATAGAATAAAAGGGAGTAGCACAGCTAAGGAAAAGGAGAAAAAAATGGCGGACTGCGTTGTTTGGCGACCCCCGTGAAATGGTCGTTCGACCCCAAATGGGGTCCCGACCCACAGGTTGAGAACCACTGGTCTAGGGTTTCCTGCCTGAGCAAGGGGGTTAGACTAGATGACCTCCAAGGTCCCTTCCAACTTTATTATTATTATTATTATTTTATTACTATATTATTATTATTATTATTATTATTATTATTATTATTATTATTATTATTATTATATGATCTGTTGTGAGTCAAGGATTATTAATATGGTAGGAATATTAATTAAAATATTAAATGCAATATTGCATCTCTCCTGCTTGCCTCCAGGTGTACATTGCGGGAGACACATCACCTCGCACGGATTGGCCCTCAATTGCTGCACTGACTTAACCTGGTTTGACCACATCGTCCCGTGTGGCCTGGAGGGGCTGGGGGTCACCTCCCTCAGCCAGGAACTCCAGAGACACGTCTCGGTGGAAGAGGCCACGCAGCCCTTCCTGGAAGTCTTCCAGGAAGTCTTTAACTGTAGTTTAAGCGAGGAACCTGGTTTGGAGGAATGAGGGACGAAGAGGCCGGTTGCGGCGCGGGATCCTGGCTTGTCTGTTCTGAAATGATTAAACTCTGGATTTTTCCGGCTAGTGGGTTTTCTTCCTGGTGGACATGACGCAAGGTCTTCGGATACAGGTAGTCCTCAACGTACGACCACAAGATACCCCCAAATCTGCTGCTAAGGGAGGAATTTGTTAAGTGAGGTTTACCCCATTTTACGACTTTTCTCACGGCTTTTTGTTGTTAAGTGAATCACTACCACCGTTAAGTTAGGAACAGAGTTTCCCAATAACTTTGCTTGTCTGAAGGTTGCAGAAGGGAATCACATGACCCGGGACTCGTCATAAATGTGAGTCGGTTGTTACCCAGCCGGCTTTCATAGCTAAGGCGGGACTAGAATTCACCATCTCCTGGTGATTGGCCCAAAGCCACCAGCAACCTTTCGCGCCTAAGGCAGGCCTGGAACCCTGTCTCCTGCTGATTGGCCCAAAGTCTCCCAGTTGGCTTTCATGTCTAAGGCAGGACTAGAAGCTGTATCCTAGTTCTTAAGCCAGCACCTTAACCACTAGACCAGGGGTAGGCAACCTTGGCTCTTTTATGTCTCGTGGACTTCAACTCCCAGAATTCCTGAGCCAGCATGGGGGAACTATGGCCCCTTCATGACTCGCGGATTTCAACTCCCAGAATTCCTCAGCCAGCATGGGGGGAACTATGGCCCCTTCATGACTCACGGACTTCAACTCCCAGAATTCCTGAGCCAGCATGGGGGAACTGTGGCCCCTTCATGACTGGTGGACTTCAACTCCCAGAATTCCTGAGCCAGCATGGGGGAACTATGGACTCCTTGATGACTCGTGGACTTCAACTCCCAGAATTCCTGAGCCAGCATGAGGGAACTTTGGCCCCTTCATGACTCGGGAACTTCAACTCCCAGAATTCCTGAGCCAGCATGGGGGAAACTTTGGCCTCTTCATGACTAGTGGACTTCAACTCCCAGAATTCCTGAGCCAGCATGGGGAAACTATGGCCCCTTCATGACTGGTGGACTTCAACTCCCAGAATTCCTCAGCCAGCGTGGGGGAATTATGGCCCCTTCATGACTCGTGGACTTCAACTCCCAGAATTTCTGAGCCAGCATGGGGGAACTATGGTCCCTTCATGACTCGCGGATTTCAACTCCCAGAATTCCTCAGCCAGCATGGGGGAACTATGGCCCCTTCATGACTGGTGGACTTCAACTCCCAGAATTCCTCAGCCAGCATGGGGGAACTGTGGCCCCTTCATGACTGGTGGACTTCAACTCCCAGAATTCCTGAGCCAGCATGGGGGAACTATGGCCCCTTCATGACTCGGGGACTTCAACTCCCAGAATTCCTGAGCCAGCATGAGGGAACTTCAACTCCCAGAATTCCTGAGCCAGCATGGGGGAAACTTTGGCCTCTTCATGACTAGTGGACTTCAACTCCCAGAATTCCTGAGCCAGCATGGGGAAACTATGGCCCCTTCATGACTGGTGGACTTCAACTCCCAGAATTCCTCAGCCAGCGTGGGGGAATTATGGCCCCTTCATGACTCGTGGACTTCAACTCCCAGAATTCCTGAGCCAGCATGGGGGAACTATGGCCCCTTCATGACTTGGGAACTTCAACTCCCAGAATTCCTGAGCCAGCATGGGGGAACTATGGCCCCTTCATGACTCGTGGACTTCAACTCCCAGAGTTCCTGGGCCAGCCTGGCTCAGCTTGGAAACCTCTCCCTTTCCCCTCAGCATGGCTGGCTCAGGAATTCTGGGAGTTGAAGTCCACGAGTCATAAAAGAGCGCAGATTGCCTACCCCTGCACTAAGCCAAACTGCCTCTCAATCACACACTTTGGCTTTGTATAAATAAAACCACACTTTGCGAATGTGCCCAACCTGGAGTGGGCCGTGGAGCAGACGGCCTCAAGGAAAGGAGACCACAAGATCCACCTCCAGAGCTTATGCAGTCATTGATATATAGAGATTTAGTTTAAATAAAGCATCATCAAATAGAGAGAGAGTATGTGGACAATACAATACAGGCAGTCCTCAACTAGTGACCGTTCAAACTTACAACGGCGTTGAAAAATGTGACCTATGACCATTATTCACAGTTAATGACCTTTGCAGCAGCACCCCCAGGGTCACGAGATCAAAATTCAAACCCGCTTGGCCACTGACTCATATTTACGACGGTCGCAGTGTCCCGGGGAGGAGGGGTCACGTGACCCCCTTTTGTGACCTCCTGACAAGCAAAGTCAACAGGGGAAGCCCGATTCGCTTAACGACCAGGTGACTGACTATCAGCTGCAGTGATTCGTTTTACGACGGCGACAGGAACGGTCGTAAAACGGGGCAGAACCAACTGAAGACAGGTCTCCCTTAACCGCAGAAATTTGGGGCTGGATTGGGATCGTAAAGCGAGGATTACCTGGTGCAGGAGATAAATGTTTCACGCAGGCCGGTTGTTTCGCCAACGTTGTGGTTGACTTTGGACGAAAGTGAAGTGAAACCAGTTCAAATTCTTTAACTGCTTCTGTCTGGACAGGAATGGAATGAGGTCTGCCCAGCTTCGATTTAGGACTTTGGAAGAAACCGAGTCGTCTTTCGAACTCGGCACTTCCCCGGGGGCATCGACACACGTTTGACCTGAATTTCCCTCCAGGGAGGAGCCCCGTTGAAGCCTGTCCTCGACTTAACTCATTTAGTGACCGTTTCAAAGTTACAACGGCACTGGAAAAAACGCTTATGTGATTAAAAACCTAAATTTGGCCTGTTGGCAATAGTGCTTTTCTAACATAGTGGTTTTGGAAGTATTTACGTATTTTATTTTATTTTTCCATACCATAAAAAACAAAATAATAATAAAATAAAATAAAATGTAAGATCTGTTTGAAGATTCCAGGATGGCTCTCAACAATGGAAGCATTTGTACATCCAAATATAATAATAATAATAAAGTTGGAAGGTACCTGGGAGGTCATCTAGTCCAACCTCCTGCTCAGGCAGGAAACCCTATACCATTTCAGACAAATGGCTGTCTAGTCTCTTCTTAAAAACTTCCAGTGTTGGAGCATTCACAGCTTCTGGAGGCAGGTGGTTCCACTGGCTAATTGTCCTAACTGTCAGGAAGTTTCTCCTTAGTTCTAGGTTGCTTCTCTCCTTGATTAGTTTCCCTCCGTTGCTTCTTGTCCTGCCTTCAGGCGCTTTGGAAAATAGCTTGACTCCCTCTTCTTTGGGGCAGCCCCTGAAATACTGGAAGACTGCTATCATGTCCCCCTCGTCCTTCTCTTTATTAGACTAGACCAGGGGTAGGCAACCTTGGCTCTTTTATGACTCGTGGACTTCAACTCCCAGAATTCCTGAGCCAGCAGGACTAGACATACCCAATTCCAGCAACTGTTCCTTATATGTTTAATTAGTTCCTTATTAACCAAAGAGCTGCTTTTCTCCTGCCTTTTGGGAATTTTTTTGTTGTTGCTTGGAACTCATTAAAATACAGTTTTTGAGTTCCAAGACACCCATTTGACTTAAAATCAAGAATGGCTTTCCCCCACCGTTTCTGCGACCCCTCAATTAATTATCAAGGTTGGTTAGTTCTAAACCTGGATCTGTTGGCGACAAGAGAAGCAAGTGGCATCAACTCAGCGTGGTGGATTAATTGCGGTTTCATGCTGCAGGGTGCAAGGGGCAGAAAAGTTACGAAGCACAATTTATTCATAATTAAATATATCGGTCTTCCCAACTCACAGGTGAAAACATTAAAAATCCGCAACAAACATGGCGGCAGCCTCAGCACAAGCATATTTATTATTAAACATTTATCCATTCGACATAAAAAGTTCTATTTATTAACGATTTGTACATTCGACGTAAATGCGTGGATTAAAATAATTCATCCATTCGACATAAAACAATTTATTTCAGCGACCATATTCATCCTGTCAACGTGCTGCACGGTGGACAGGTGGGCCGTCAGCTGAGGCTGATGGGAGTTGTAGTCCAGCCATTTTTGCATTCCCAAGGAATAAGAAGAAGAAGAAGGGACCTTGGAGGTCATCTAGTCCAACCCTCTGCTCAGGTAGGAAACCCTATACCATTTTGGACAAATGGCTGGAGGACTTAAGATGCATTATCCCTTGTTGCCCAGTATTGATTCCCCTCCCCCCCACTCCCAGCAACTACAATGGCCATGCTCCCTGCCCAGGCCTGCTAAGAATCAGCATCGTTGGAACTGTAGTCTCACGAAGGGTGGACCACTGTCTTGTCTGTCTGTCTCTCTTTACCATCAGCTACCATGCAGAGGGACTGGATGGTTTTCAGCTCCCCTCCTGCCGTGTGGTCTGGGGAGGATGGATCTTGTAGTCCAATGCTTCATATATGTATGTATGTATATTGTTTTCTGAGGTTTTCGCGGGTGTTTTTATGTAGGTCTTTGGTTATTATAGAAAACCCGAATAACCAAAGACAGACAGATAGATAGATAGATAGATAGATAGATAGATAGATAGATAGATAGATACCGTAAATGCCGGCGTATAAGGCGACTTCCACGAGCGCTGAAATCGGCGCCAAAGACGGGGGTCGTCTTATACGCCGAGTCGTCTTATACGCCGGAAATACTGGTAGTTTCTGGCGTATAAGATGACGTTCTAGGAATGCGGCCCGGCTATAAAGACGGGGGTCGTCTTATACACCGGGTCGCCTTGTACGCCGGCATTTACGGTAGATAGATAGATATTTGTTTTTTGAGGTTTTCGCGGGTATTTGTATGTAGGTCTTGGGTTATTCGGGTTTTCTCCGGGGTAAAATTGGAAGTGTCTTGGCGACGTTTCGACGAAGTCCCATTCGTCATCTTCAGGCTGGTGTTTTCAGCTTCGTGCTTCGAGGAGCACGAAGACATTTCCAATTTTACATGGGAGAAAACCCGAATAACCAAAGACATACATACATACATACATAAATACATACATACATACATAGATATTGTTTTCTGAGGTTTTCGCGAGTGTTTGTATGTAGGTCTTTGGTTATTATAGAAAACTCGAATAACCAGAGACCAGAGGCCGGAGGAGTGGGTTGGGGGGGATGGGAATGTGCCCAATCAATTTGGGGGGGGAGTTGCAATTCACAGCTTTAAGCCCCCCTTTATCCCCCCAAAGCGCCCCTGCCGACCTATTTTATTTTATTTATTACACTTAACACACAAAGTAGCTGGGAGCGACTTACAATATGAAACAATAGAGACGGGTTAAGTAAAAGATTGGAAAAATGCAAAATGTGATTTACGGCCCTAGTTGAAAGATGGGGTGGGAGGGGGCACGGGCAGTCCTCGGCTTTACGACCACGAGTGCGCCCCAATTTTTTGTTGCTAAGCGAGACCCTTTTGTTAAGTGAGTTTTTCCCCACCTTGCTGGCCCCAGTTGTGAAGTGAATCACGGCAGACGTTAAGTAAACACGGTCGTTAAGCGAATCTGGCTTCGCCATTGATTTTGCCGGTCGGAAAGTCGTCAAAGGGGATCAGGTGCGACCCCCCCCCCCTCCACGGGACGCCGTGACCGTCATAACTACGAGTCAGTGGCCCAGCGTTCGAATGTTGATCACGTGACCCTGGGGGGGGGAACACTGCGACGGTCGTAAGTGTGAAAAAACGGTCACAAGTCAATGGACACTAACTTAACGTAACTCGAGGACTGTAGAATAAGGGGAGGGGAACGGGGGGGGGATCTGTTACGAATCTATCCACCCCCGAACCTGAAGCTCCTCCTCCAAAGCCAGGTCTTTTGAGCCACCTGGCCTACCTTGCAGGGCGGGCGTGCGAAGACCCCTGGGAACCGACACGAAGCGGCTGGCTGATAGATCTGCAACCTGCGCCCGCGGCTCGTGCTCGCCGCCTGCTCCTGGCGCCCGTGGGCTTCCCCCCCCCCCCCGTCCCTGCAGCCCGCCAGGCAGGAGTTCCACCGGGGAAGTTGATCCGGGATCCCCGATCCGCCGGCGGAGGAAGGGCTGGCGGAGCTTCGCCTCTCCACCCCCCCCCCACGCCCTGCGCTCCGAGGCGGCGCCCGCGGACGGGGCTGGGCCAGTCGCATCTGGAGGGCGCCGCGGGGCAGAGGTGAGTGCGAATCCGGGTCGGAGGGGCCAAGCGCCCAGTCCGGCGCTTGGGTGAGTAGATCGGAGCCGGAGGACAGCCTGGGCGGTCCGGCCAGGGCGCCTCTGGGCACGTGCAGAGCGCCCCTCGCTTGCTCGGCCCGGGCCGGGGTCTGCAGGCGAGAAGCCTCGGGGAGGGGGTGGTGCTGATCCGGTTGCCCGCAGAGGCTCCGCAGATGGTCAGGTGGAACCCGAGTCGGTCTAGTTTGGGGGAGGGTTGTGGGAACGCAGCCCCTGGCTTAGGTAGAAGAGGGTTCTTCAACCTGGCCAACTTTCAGACAGGTGGACTCCGACTCCCAGGGCTGGGGGGTTCTGAGGGCTGAAGTCCCCCCCCCCACCGTCTTGAAGTTGCCAAGGGACGGGAACTCCCAGCCTTAGAAGGTCGTGTGAACTGGAACGGAAGCCAGGTAGGGTCTCTTTGCGAGGCAGATCCAGGGATGGGGAGGGAGCCAGGTGGAGGATTAAAAAGCACCCGTGGGAAACTAGACGGTTCCTTACAATCAGGACTGGACTGAGGTCAGTGGATTCCCAGCTCAGAGTGAGCAATGTGTGTGTGAGAAAGAGGCTACAACCTGTTCAGAAAGCTGTCTGTCTGTCTGTCTCTCTCTCTCTCTCTCATCTATCTATCTATCTATCTATCTATCTATCTATCTATCTATCTATCTATCTATCTATCTATCTATCATCTACTTATCTTTATCTATCTCTATCTATCTATCATTTATTTATCATCTCTCCTCATCTATCTATCTATCTATCTATCTATCTATCTATCTATCTATCTATCTATCTATCTATCATCTACTTATCTTTATCTATATCTATCTATCTATCATTTATTTATCATCTCTCCTCTCTCATCTATCTCTCTATCTCTCTATCTCTCTATCTATCTATCTATCTCTATCTCTATCTATATCTATCATCTACCTATCTTTATCTATCTATCTGTCTACCTATCTATCTATCTGTCTATCTATCTATCTATCTATCTATCTATCTATCTATCTATCTATCTATCATTTATCTATCTATCTCTATCTATCTATCCCTATCCACCCACCCATCCATATCTATATCTATTGATCTCTCTCTCCCTCCCTCCCTCCCTCCCTCCCTCTCTCTTTCCTATCTATCTATCTATCTATCTATCTATCTATCTATCTATCTATCTATCTATCTACCATCTCTGTCCACCCATCCATCCTTATCTATATCTATCTATTGCTCTCTTTCTCCCTCCCTCTCTCCCTTTCTCTCTTTCCTATCTATCTATCTATCTATCTATCTATCTATCTATCTATCTATCTATCTATCTATCTATCCCTATCCACCCTCCCATCCATATCTATATCTATCTATTGATCTCTCTCTCCCTCCCTCCCTCCCTCTCTCTCTCTCTTTCCTATCTCTCTCTCTCTCCATCCATCCATCGATCCATCCATCCATCCCCTGTGCAGAAATTGTGCAGCCTTTCCACCATATTTTATTTTACGTTACGTTTTATTGTATTTTACTATTTTCTTTTATCTCGTTTTCTTTTGTTTTGCTTTGCTTTTCGTTTCACGTAATTTTATTTTTATTTTACTTCGTTGTTCCTCACACAGTCAGCCAGATGTTCAGAGTGGATTTGACATTTAGGTCCATCTGTTGTGTCCTTCTCAAAGGGTCCAGAATGGGCAAGATGTGGACCTTTGAGGGTGTTACTGATATCCTTGCAGGATGCAAGCTGTTTTTCTTTCATATTACTTAATTTTATTTGTTTTGTTTGACTTACTTTTTTGGTTTATCTCATTCGTATTTCATTGGATCCTACTTTCATTTACATTTATATATTTTGCCTTATTTTATTTACGTGGCTATTCAGAGCAACTCTGGACAGCTAATGAACACCCTCTGCAAAGGATTCTGCTTCTGGGTTTGATAGGAAATTATAAACTTGCAAAGGGCCCAATGACTCTGATTATTATGGAATACTCTGCTCCCCCCATCTTTGGCATCAGCCTCTTTGCAGGGACCCTTTTCCAGCTCTCTTTGGCTGTCGGTGCATTTAGAGGCACCTTGAGGTTGTATTTACACACCCGTCCTGGAATGAGTGGAAATTGTAAACACTGAGGTCAGCCAGAGAGGAAAAGCAGGAAACAGAAGCTGTAATAATTACTTTATGAACAGGGGCCATTCACAGAACAGACGGGCGTGATAACAGGGAGGTTGTGATAGTGGTGAACGGATGCACACATGTGGTGGATTTTTAAAAATTTTAAATAGCACACAGACAAGCCAGCTTTGGTCCTGGTTCACATCACTGGAGGAAAAAACGGAAGTCTCTTAGATTTGTAGAGTAATGTTTCTCAATCTTGGCTACTTTAATTTAGGTGGACTTCAACTCCCAGAGTTCCTCAGCCAGATATGATGGCTGGGGAATTCTGGGAGTTGAAGTCCACCTGTCTTAAAACATCCTGGCTGGAGAATTGTAGGAGTTGTAGTCTACCCATCTTAAAGCAGGCTGGCTGGGGATTTCTGGGAATAGAAGTTCATCCGTCTTAAAGCAAGCTGGCTGGGGATTTCTGGGAATAGAAGTTCATCCGTCTTAAAGCAAGCTGGCTGGGGATTTCTGGGAATAGAAGTTCATCCGTCTTAAAGCAAGCTGGCTGGGGATTTCTGGGAATAGAAGTTCATCCATCTTAAAGCAAGCTGGCTGGGGATTTCTGGGAATAGAAGTTCATCCGTCTTAAAGCAGGCTGGCTGGGGAATTCTGGGAATTGAAGTCCACCCATCTTAAAGCATGCTGGCTGGAGATTTCTGGGAATTGAAATCCATCCGTCTTAAAGCAGGCTGGCTGGGGAATTCTGGAAATTGAAGTCCACCCATCTTAAAGCAGGCTGGCTGGGGAATTCTGGGACTTGAAGTCCATCTGTCTTAAAGCAGGCTGGCTGGGGAATTCTGGGGCTTGAAGTCCACCGGTCTTAAAGCATGCTGGCTGGGGAATTCTGGGAATTGAAGTCCATCCGTCTTAGAGCATGCTGGCTGGGGAATTCTGGGAATTGAAGTCCACCCATCTTAAAGCAGGCTGGCTGGGGAATTTTGGGACTTGAAGTCCATCCATCTTAAAGGAGGCTGGCTGGGGAATTCTGGGACTTGAAGTCCATCTGTCTTAAAGCAGGCTGGCTGGGGAATTCTGGGATTTGAAGTCCATCTGTCTTAAAGCATGCTGGCTGGAGATTTCTGGGAATTGAAGTCCATCCATCTTAAAGCAGGCTGGCTGGGGAATTCTGGGACTTGAAGTCCATCTGTCTTAAAGCAGGCTGGCTGGGGAATTCTGGGACTTGAAGTCCATCTGTCTTAAAGCAGGCTGGCTGGGGAATTCTGGGACTTGAAGTCCAGCAGGCTTAAAGCAGCCAAAGTTGAGAAACCCTGTTCTAGAGAGATGGCAATAAAGCTAATCTCTTGGGACAGGCAAAGGAGAAATTGTACCTTTCAAGTCAGACGTTTTTCAAAAAGTTACGAAACTTGGTGTGGGTGTCAAGTTCACCTGAGCAGTCACAAGTTGCGCAACCAGTGGGTGAACATCCTGTCTCCGGTTCTCTTAAGAACACAGGGCAATATATCTCAGAAGGCTGAAATTTGCCTCCCATTTCCCAGGGCTTTTTTTTTTAGATATTGTTAGTTTAAGAGTTGCTGCGTCAACCGCAAATGCATTTCTTAAAACGGGATTTTTCTTCGATCGATGTTCTACATCCAGGCTAATATTCTACAGCAGTGGTTCTCAACCTTTTTAATGCCGCGACGCCCAACCGGTTGTAAGTCGAGGACTACTCAACCGGTCGTAAGTTGAGGACTACTCAACTGCTGCAGCACCGTTTGCAGAATGGGACTTTTGGCGGGCTCAGCAGGGCAGAGACAACCTGGACAATTCCTATTGGCTTTGGAAAGCCAATAGAATTAGACTCTATTCAAGAGCGTCTATTCTATTGGCTTTCAAAAGCCAATAGAATAAAAGGGAGGAGCACAGCTAAGGAAAAGGGGGGGAAAATGGCGGACTGCGTTGTTTGGCGACCCCCGAGAAATGGTCGTTCGACCCCAAATGGGGTCCCGACCCACAGGTTGAGAACCACTGTTTTACAGATTTGGTGGGTGGGTGGGCTCTTGTACAGGTGGTCCTTGCGCAAAAGGGGATCACGTGACCCCCGGGGCGCTGCGACCGCCGTAAATGTGAGTCAGTTGCCGAGCGTCCGAATTTTGATCACGTGACCGTGAAGGGGGGGGTGCAGTGACAGTCGTAAGTGTGAAAAACGGTTACTGTTGTAGCTTTGAATGGTGACTAAATGAGTGGACGTAAGTTGAGGACTCCCTAGATTTCAGCTTTTCACCGGGACCTTGGGGTGGTTTCTGTGGCAATCGGTCTTCACGTTGTTTCTGGAACAATGACCCTGCCAGGTGGGCTCTCCCTTGGATTGTTTCCAAGGTGGGTCTCCTCAAGCTAGGCCAACGTCTTGACCACCAGCCAGGTGGGCACCAATGTCCTCTGCAAAAGAGTGGCTTTTTAATTCCCCCCCCCCAGGTGCCAGGAAGGGTTTTGGGCCCGAGAAAGGCAGGTGTGGCTGTTCCTTCTGGACTCCCTGCGGGGTTCCAGAAAGGAAGGTGCAATCTGTCCATCGGCTTCTTTGACCTCTGGACTCGCTGACCTCTGCAGCTCTGAAGAAGCTCATGAGAGGGATTAATTCTGGGGACAGGGATTCTCTCTTTCTCTCTCTCTCTGTTTTTCTCTGATTTCTCTCTCTTTCACTGTCTCTGTCTCTCTTTCTTTCTTTCTTTCTTTCTTTCTTTCTTTCTTTCTTTCTCTCTCTTTCTCTCTCTCTGTCTCTCCCTGTCTGTCCGTCTGTCTCTCTTTCTCCTTTTCTCTCTCACCCTCTCTCTTTCTCTCTGTTTTTCTCTGATTTCTCTCTTTCACTCTCTCTGTGTGTG